AAAAAAAAAAACAGTACATGATCAGCACTACAAAAACGAACCGAGTCTATACCACTGTTTTATTTTTCAAACAAGACGTTAGCAGCAGTCTAAGAGGTGGACCTACATCGGCTGGGTCCGTTTATCGTATGGTAATTACAGCTGATATCATACCTATTGGAGGGACGTAAAACCTTTCTATGTATATTTCGCTTTTTGGCATGGTCACTATGTGAACTGATTGCTCTTAAAGGGCTATAGATAGCTTTTAATTGTCATAAAGAAAAGACCAACAATGCTAATGGTGACACGACAAGTAATAAAAAGCTATCCAATTTCTGTCGTCAGCATTGCCTTCAAAACTGCTATCTCGTCCAGTGAATACCATACGTTTGGAACGTTGAATAGTAATACCGCACAAGCATAATGTAAGTGAAGATAATTTTCAATCTCTCATGTTGCTGATCATCACTCCTGCCAATCTCTACAAGGATTCTAATAAATCAAAGTAAACAAGTTCATTTCCTAAATGATATGGTGGCGTTGTTACAATGTTTATATTATCATAGAACGGTCATTGTTTCATTAGGACTCAACTTTCTCTCAATAGAATGCCAGTGTGTTGATGATTGGTACTTGATTACGTACAATGAACAGTGGCATTAATCTCTCTATTTTCAGTGATATAGCGCTATTTGGGAAGGGAAAATGATGAAATAAATTTAGTATTCCACAATCCATTCTTCGAGTGGTACCTGTTTTGCTGGTAATGGACTCAACATCTATTGCTTTACCTCATTTTCACTAATTAGAATTATTGGTAAGATCAATGACCTCACTTAGCCGTTTTAATCAATGTAGCCTTTAAAACATTGCAAAGAACTGAAGCCCCAAAATTATCAACGCATACAACAATGATGTCAATTGACACACCTATCTGATTTGGTCCTTCCTTCCACCGCCGCTTATGGATCAGTTGATATACACCGACGTTTGTGCTCATCTTTGCCCAAGAATAAAAAATCTCCATTATTTCACTTCAGTTCCAAACTTTCCGTTCCTTGCAGAGCTCAGGGATACTTTGTACCGAACATATTCAACCTGTTTTTCACATCGTCCAATGACAGTAAAGACATAATTTAAGGCGACGGTCTATTCCGATACTTAAAAGGAAAGCTCATGCTAAACAGCTGCTTCAAAAATTATCCTCAAGCTGCGTACATTGTCCAAGAGAGAGCTCAATGACCTCATTTGCATGATATGAAGAGCTGATATCCAGTATTTGGAAGCCGAGAGTACATCATGTATGCGTAGTTAAAAAAGAAGTTACTATTGCAAATTGTCATTTATTGACGCAACGTCAAAAAAAGGTGTGAATCACACCCTATAGATGGTTTAAATTGCCTGTGTGGAGTCAACAAGTAGAAATCCAGTCATCTTCATGTAAAATAATGTAACCTTGCAGATCAAAGCCGAAATGGCGAGTTTGCTGGAAGGCGTTGATGGAGCGAGCTTCATCAGAGATAATATATGATTACTGCCAGAGATCAGAACTTTTAAGGTTGTAACTTACGTCTATCATATAAAATGATGAAGATAGTGTATCCGGATAAATGTGAAAAGCGGGTGTGTTCTCACAAGTAAATTACATATAGATGGCTATCGACCTTTTCCCCCTTGACTACGATCCTAGCCAAGTAAGCTTGGGGTACCTCAGTGACCAGCCACGGGCCATGCGTACTGCTGTGATATGGCAGTATGCCTCTGTCACATGTGTCTCTTCTCCGAGTCTCTTCACCAGTTCCTTTGCGTAGCTGCGTGCCTTATGCTTTTGCGCCTAGCTGACTGCCTGTGGTTCTGTGCGGGGTCGCTTGTCTTCCAGCTTTTCTCATGGCCACCACTCTTCTTCTGTCTCTTCTTGGAGCCGATCGTCTGCTGCTACTTCCAGTGCTGCTTTTACTGACTGTTCTTCCCGCGCTAATTCGAGGGCGACTTTCCTTGCCTCCAAGTCGCCGCCCGCAAACCGGAAGATCGCAACGCCTTTGGGTCGCTACTCTCGTCATTGCATACCAGTAAATGTTTCCCAAAATCTTGTTAGCCCGGCCGTAGCTTCTATGGCACCTGGTCAAGTCATTCCTCTGGTTACTTCGACCTCTGTGATTGCCACTACTTCTGTGACTGATTCTTCCATACAATTTTTTTGTTTTTGGGATTCTTGATCTATAATTAACGACATTGATCAGCAAAACTGAAGTATAGATTGAACGATATAAAAGCAGAGGCGCAAATGAAGCTTACTTTTCTTTGAGAATAGGATAGCGTGTAAGGCAGAACCAACACACTGACAGAGGTAGAAGTTCAATACGAACTTTTTTCAAATTTTCTATTTTTTTTTTATTTTTTTTTTGTATCTAACAATGTGAAGAAATAGCCACAGTTAATGGATGAACATCTGTTCAAGCGTACAAGTTAAGTACTACTCATTTTACAATGCTGTATTGCTGGGGCCATCCGACAAGCTCCTTGAGCTTCTTCGGGAGCGACGCTAACAATGGAGAGAAGTTTTACATAGGTGAGTTAGATTTTCTTAGTCAAATCGAGTCCAATGTTAATATGCTTACAGCGCTCCCGCTTAGCCAGTAGTATCTACGATACCACCGGCAACAGCCTCCAAACCGCCGCCTGGGAACTCCTACAGTTGGTTGAAAGGGTGAATCAGTTAGAATTTGGAAATTATGTAGAGGTGTCGTTGGAATGGCAGGGTAGGTTCTAACATTCGAAATGAGATCCGCCTCATTGAGGTCAACAGGCGGCGGTTGGAGGTTCTCCTCCTCTCTCTCAGCAATTGGAGAGCCAGGCTGAGAACTGCCTTTATCCAGACCTTGGATAGCTTCCAAGCGCTGGAACAAGCCGATAGCCTAATGATAGAAGAAAGATTGACAGATATGAATTTTGGTCTACTACTGCATTTAGATATTGAAAAGTTACTTACATCTTCAACGCTATCGACATGCTCGGCAATGGGACCGTTTACTGGGCTATGCGCGGCCTCTAACACCAGTGGGGGCACGGTCCCACAGCGAGAAGGCATGAGAGGAGAGCTGTCCCGCGACAATGGGCTTGCGGGACGGCGGTACTGGCCAGCAGCACCGTGATCGGCAGTAGCCAATGAAAAAGGACAGGACTGGACCGACGAAGCGGGAAAAGCAGTAGCAGAGCGAACATAACGAGAGGGACACGGTGACGCTGATCCAGCAGCGGGGACAGAGATACAAGGCGACGGTGTAGAAGAAGGACACGGCGATGGTGAGGAAGAGGAGCATGGCAACGCTGATGTAACAGCTGATGTGTTGGCCCGTCTATGGCACAATCTACGTCGGATTCGTCGACCGCCAGCGGCCGTAGAAGGAGAGCGAGAACGAGATCGAGAAGTAGAAGACGACGATGGTGGAGGGGAAGACGTGCGATCTCGCTGCTGTCGTCGCTCACGACGCAAAGACTGCGAAGTTGGAGAGAAACGGCATGCAAAACGACCTCGAGACACGGCAATCCTCCGTCAAGGAAGCTCAGGAAGAGACTGGGGGAAAGAAACTAGAGAAGGAGGATCCAAGGAGGAAGAGGCAACTTCAGAAGACAAAGCAGTTACAGAAGCAAGAGTATCCACAGAATTCGAAGCAACCTCAGGCGCAATTACGAGCGAAGTAATTATCATGGCGAAGAATCAGTCACAGAAGTAGTGGCAATCACAGAGGTCGAAGTAACCAGAGGAATGACTTGACCAGGTGCCATAGAAGCTACGGCCGGGCTAACAAGATTTTGAGAAACATTTACTGGTATGCAATGACGAGAGTAGCGACCCAAAGGCGTTGCGATCTTCCGGTTTGCGGGCGGCGACTTGGAGGCAAGGAAAGTCGCCCTCGAATTAGCACTGGAGGAAGAGTCATGAATGGAAGCACCAGAAGACGGAGCAATCACAGGCGCAACCACGGGCGATGTAACATCCATAGGCATAGGCTCAATCACAGAAGTAGTGGCAACCACAGGCGCACTTCTTCATGTAATGGGTTGGGACATGAGGCATTTTCTCCAAATATTTTTTGGAGATACAGAGCTCTTTGGTCTCTGAAGAATATCAGAATTTTTAGAGATTGTGCATGTATACAGCCAGAAAAATTTGAATGAAAGGAAAGACAAGTGTAGAATCAGTCTCATATATCAAATTTTTTATTGGAAATCATCCTAACTAATCAGTCTACTCCTTATTTCTCTTCGTTCCCTTTTGTTTGAAGTATACCATCAATATATGCCTATGCCGTAGACTCTATCTTTTGGGACTTTTGCCGCACAGGGTTTGGTTGAACGATTTCCTTCAGCCAGACATCAAACTATGCTTAAGTTAGCAGCTCGATACGGTATGATCCAATCCCAGTCTGGAATTGTTGTCTGCAAATTAGCTGATTGCCTTGTTCTATTTGTTGAATAATAGCAACATCAGTGCAAGTCCGAAAAGACTAACAGTAACAAGTCAGTGGACTACATTCTCTGCTTAGTATGCTAAAGTAACTAGCGCTTCATAGTGCTCAGCTTAAGATGAAGGACACTACATTGGATACTTCTAGCCTCACGCGTAACTACCAAAAGCATTCGAAGTCGTGAACGCTCAAGATGAGAAGGCTGAAATCTGTTGTTTTTAAACAAAGGCTTTAACTCACTTGTGCCTTGGTGAGCATATCCTATACTTTCCAATAGTGGTATCAGAGCTCCTAATATGAGACCATGTTACAGAGAAAGCACAGGGAGCAAGAGATGAAAGCATACTATCGAAAAGATGTTTGATTGGTATAACGCGATAAACAAGTAGTTTGCTCAATCGAGATCGACCAAAACTTCTAACATGAGGACACATTACAGGGACAGTATATAAGCAAGATTCAAAACTTACTCTTCAAAATTGAGCAATTTATATACCACTACCAACAAGTACTTCACTCAATTTCAACATCATCAACATATGTATTTTGCACTATCTTCAGCGTCTTGGTAAGGACACATTTCAAGTTGGTATTGAGAAAGTCAGAGTTTGCTAACGTGCTGATACATTCTAGAAACGCATAAAGACAAAGTCCAACACACAAGCTCAAAAAGCTGCGTCTGTAATATACTATACTCTCCAAATATTCATTCAATTTTAATACAAGTACATATGTAGTATTGTCTATCTTTGGCGCCTTGGTAAGCACATACCTCTTTTTCCAAGTTAGAAAGCCAGAAATTCCTGACTCATGAGACCAGTCCGCAGGGAAAGCACTACTAGCCAAGTCAACACAAACTCATTTAAAGTCGTCTATTTACTATACCGCACCAAGAAAGTACTACAATCAACTGATTGACACAAGAAAAGAAACTTTTGACTATCTACTTTGCCTTGGTCAGCTTGCTTCTCACTTCGAAATTGAAATAGAGAGAAGCTACTAATATGAAAACACTTATAGGGGAAAAAATAAAGCTAGATTCAATCTATACTTTCCTAAAACTAGTATGTGATCCACCAGGCTCAACAATTTTTTTACTCAACTCAATGTCATCGCCATATGTGCCTTTGGCTATTTACTTATTCTTTTCAATGTGCGTTTTATAATACATAGCCATAAAAAAGTTACAAGCATCAAGAACTTCCTAAGAATAATATGAGTGTATTGCGTCGGTGATATATGAAAAGTAAAGGATAGGAGATTGGGGATTCAGGAGAACAAGCTCTCTGAACAGGAGCATTCGTGACCTAGCGGATACAGTTGGAATGACGGGTATCGTAGAGAAAACTTTGAATTCGCGTTTTGTAGCAATCAGCTAGTGGAATTGCTTTCTCCTTTACAACCTATATTCTTGTTTTACCTCTTACTTTTGATCTTTGAAAAGTCTAAACTTCATATCTCAATCGCTATAGACTTCGTTGTTTTAAAAATTTTCATTGGTCACATACTCAGCACCCCCCACAGTCAACGAAACTGCCGACATAGACCTACCATTATGGCTGAAGGCTTAATTACACAAGTATCTTACTCACAGGATATATCAGACATTGATACCACCATTTCTAATGAAGATCCTTTACCAAGTACTCTAAAGTTCGAACTGCGTGGGAGGCAGTTTGTCATTGCCCGCGAGACATTGGTAATTCATTTCCGCCGCGGCATTACGCAATCAATCACGTCTTTTCATTAAATGCTATATTTGTAGATTTCTCTTCCAGAGAGCTTATTAATATCCATGTTCCCACATGGACTAGCTGTTAAGATTGGCGACGAAAGCTCCTTTGCGTCCATTGAAGACCCTGTGTACACCATAGATTATAACCCCGACTGCTTGGATTTTGTACTCCGCTTTTTGGAGAGCTGCAATGGAACATTTGCCGAAGAGAGGAGCATGAGAGAGGACATCTTATTGGCCAACGCAGCATTGGGAGATATAGCAACGCTGCATTCAGTACAATATCAACTTTTGACAAAACAAGCAATCATCGTGCTTAGAGAAGAATTAGAGTACTATGCTTTACCACCTCGATCGACCATAGGGAAGAACACGAACGGCATGAATGATATCAAGCGAAGCTGCGGGCGAAAACTTGTGGCACAGAATCAAATATTTGCTCCGTTAGAACGCAATATTAAAAAAGAGGATAATACTGCTGAACAACATTTGATTGACATGCTCTGCCAATCGGGTTATTCACGGAACGACGTTTGGGATCATAGAGCTTTAGAACCCAAACAAACGTGTATAATGAGTATCGCTCTTACAAAATTGAAAACCAATTCAGACGAATCGTATTTACCGACCGCTCAAAAAATGCTGTTATTTTGGAAGAAACCTGCAGTAAGTATATGCACCTTTGAGCGCACACAATTGCCGTTACATACTTACTCCATCACAATAACTTTTAGAGAAAATGCTGGTGGGAAGGAAGCGCGGTAGAAGTGCATAGTACTCCCGTGCGCGTATGGTGTCGTCGTACCTGGACATTGGAGTTAGTTTTGATCTGACGCTGGGTGTGTGTTCCTTGGTTTTCTGAACCCAAATTGGAGCAGATATTCTCCGATGTCTCAGCGCACGTGCATATTTGATTGGTCAATAAAAAGTCTAATTTACAATTTGCCTTTTTTGACAATTATGGTTGCCAATGGTTGAGCTCTATTTCCACACGTGCAGTCTATAGCTATTCCTCATAGAGATTATCGCGTGCACTCACGTTAGGTACATTGGATGGTTTTGATTCGACTCTTATTTCATACCCAACCTCACGTGTGGCTAATATCTAAGATCTTTCACAGCCCACAGATTGTTTTTCTAGGCAATCGATCAAAAATATAACCAAGCCATCTCTTTTTTAAAGTTTCTTACTTCTTCTTTGACTTTCTCTTTCAAATTTTTTTCCATGCCATCGTACTTTTTTAAAGAAGACACTACCCCTGCCACCCAGGAGGATTCAACAGATGAATCTCATACTCTTTTGATCCAAGCACAGAGGGAATTTATCAATCATAGGTATGATAAAGCCGTACCTCTTCTGGAAAGGGCAGCTTCTTTTGGTTCTTTCAGAGCCGCCATGAGCCTAGCTTCTGTCTCTATGCGAGAAGAACATATGACAGTGTGCCAAAACTGCCACACTGCTGCCAAGTGGTACATCCGAGCTTTGGAACTGCTGGCCAGCAAGAATACCCATCTACCTTGCACCCCTGAGAGCTTGGAGCTCGTAGAGCAAATTGTCGAGCTCTTGTCAAACCATATGCTCACTAATATCACATCAAAGGAGGGACGTACTTTAAGCAGTATGCTGTGGTCCATGTCAAAAGACTTTAAGCCCAGAGCTGCTATGAAATTGAATGAGGCGGAATTGGCGAAATTAACGCCATTAGAGCAAAACCAAGTTTTCTATGCCCGCGCCTTGTGTATTGTCATCTATAACTGCCGAGGTTTCCTATACCAAGCCGATCGAAATGCAGATAAGGCGAGACATTACTATATCAAATGTGTCAACGTTCCACCCACCGGCATCCACTCCTGCGATATCGCTCAGCGCTCAGCGGAGATGAGCTTGGGGTATTTGGACCGCGACAACGGCTCAGCCTGCTCACCGCTCTTGGCGCCCTCATCACCTACGTCCTCAATACATTCATCACATCAATGTGCTGGCTGCAATACCGAAAAGCTGATGATGCCAGTGTGCTCTCGCTGCAAAGTTCGCCGATACTGTAGTAACAAGTGCAGGATTGACCATGCTGCCGAGCACGAGCAAGAATGTTTATCTGTGCAAGCATCCCGTCAATGATTCCCGCTTACTACACCTATCTAGTTAACCTTATTGTAAAATCCTCCCTTACCGTTGTCATCGCCATCGCTATCCCCTTTCCATTCATTCATGTCACTAGCTTGGTGTGGTTGACAAAACCCGCTCAAACTTTTTATTTCAAGCATTTTCAATATACTCGCATCGGCAAACCGGCGTTGCCCCACTTAAAACAAACAACAACTAAAATTGCCCCGTTATGTGAAAGAGTGTGTGTGATGTATCCCCCAGATTGGATAAGACCAAGTTAACATTGACCTTGCCTGTATAATTTACGTTGTTGGTCTGAGTCGCCTGAGGTTGATGTTTTCAAATTTAGACTTTTCAGCTTACCTGGAAAATTTTTTGATCGCCACTATTTTGGCGAAAAAAAATGAGATGGCGTTATGAACATCGGAAAAAAAACAATACATTACGTGTGAACATTGCGGTTTATTATGTCTGACAAAGCCAAAATAAATGCTACAGACTTTTTTTATTAAGAAAGAAGGTAGTTCCTCTACGACGATATCAGTAGCATAGCAACCTAATGGTCCTAGAACGCTATTGTCACTTCATTGTAGCTCTGCACGATGTTCTTTTTTAGATGCAAGCTGCGGTCCAGCTTTTGTGGTTACCAAGTCCTATCGGCGGGAGATGATTTAGCTGAGTGATTTCTGAACATTCCATGGAAAGAAAAGCACAAGCCTAATACTTACATGTGCACGATTTTTGTATCCTTCGCTTTTCTTGGCAGTACTGGCGTGATGGTATGATCCAGTCAATAGCCGTTCGCATCCTATACATCGCTGTTGGTGATAGGGCTGCTCTCTGCTGCAGTATCCACAGATCTAGTACAATCAAGGTTAGATAGGGAAATGAATGTACCGGAAAACTCTTCGTGGTGATTGCCACATACCATTTTTTGAGCAATCTATGGGCGATAGAAAATACAAAAACATTAATGTCAGATAACCATTTTTCTAGCTAAACCGTGTTATCTCCCTATCGTTCATACCTCATAGATATGGCTCTCAGCTTCGTCGTGGCACTTGTCACAAGCATAAACTATTTGACAGACAAAGATGAGTTAACATGATCAATGCAAGACCTGTGTGACACCGCGGTGGAATATTCACCTCGCATACAGCATTCGAATCTCATCCATCTGAGAGAAGAAAAAAATGTGAGAAGGTTCAGTTTGCACAGCTGTATATGTTAGCCTGTGAACGCGACACTTACCTATGAGATTTTCGAAAATGCCGGCAAGTTCCAGTATTTGGTAACGGCTATAATGAAATAAGTGGCGATCAATTTAAAGATCATGGCGTGCGTCAAAGAGCACGAGGACCAACGCTACCTGACCAAGTGATATTTTGCTGTGCGACTTCTCTTGCAGATTTTTACGTTGCACCTTTAAAATTTCCTGTTCATCAGCCTGCAACCAGTCAGACGCAAGTCCACCTATTCTGACCATGGTACATTTATCGATCATCAGCGATAATGGCGTATGACAAGCTCGACATGCCACTGTCACTTTTTGCCCAAATGATGCGACTGTTATGGGGTTTTTACAGTTTGAGTCGCATCTAGCACATACAGCCAAGTACTTTGATGGTAAGACTTGAATAGGTGTGCATTTTGCTGTTTGCACTAATCCGAGGGTGATGGAGTTTTCATGTATATAATCTGTTGTGCCATGTTTAGTAATAATCAATGGGGAAGCTTTCCATCCTGAGCCATATCAATTCACCTGGGAACACTTTAACGCCATAAATTTGTGTACAGGTTGAGCAAGCAAGCCATCGTTCTCCAATGCTAACTTCCACAGAGGATGATTCGTCTGCCTTATCTAGGATTTCTACAGGGAGGTCGGTTATAGCAAATTTGCTTCGACATCGATTACATTTGAGCGAGAGAGAGATAGAAGCGACTTGTAAAAGTGCAATATTCTCCAGAGATACATCGGGGTGACGTATCTCCATGCCACCCCGCGCTCTTGAATGTTTGCTTCCGGCCGAAAACGAGGTTGGCTCACTATCAGAGCCTGATGATGGGCTGCCTAACAAATTAACTTGACTTGAATTGTCATTCTTTTCAAAACTTGATATTTGCGAAGGAGGGATCAGTTCCTTCGGATCTGTCACATAGACCTTTTTGCTTTTGATAGCATCTAGATCGTCTGTAATATTGGATTTTGGTGATGGTATTGGTGGTGCAGACACTGTTTGTTGGTCAAGTCCTTCATTGACAGTTGCATCTCGGGGTTTACTTTGCTTCATGAGATCATCCAAATTACGAACAAGCCAGTTCAAATGTTGAAATAATGATGATGGTGCTTCTACTACATGTTGCTGGAATCCATAGGCAATATTCCTGGATGAAACTTTTTAGCGTGGTAATTCGAACAAAGCATGGTAGGCAACTAGTCAAGACTACTAACAATAATCTCCAATCTTCCAAATTGTCGTTCATTATCTCGATTTGACAAGGTTCGAGAGGGTAGACTGGCGGTACTGTAATGCACATATCCATAGTATCTCCAAAAATACTTTTCAAGCCGAATGAGGGGTCTGATAGCTCAATACGGAGGTATATAATGGTACCATGATTGTCAGATCTGCTCCAATTACATATCAGATGGCTGTAATATAATACGAGGTACTTTGTAAAACATCTCGATTTTCTTACCGTAGCATGCGGTAGCTATCTGGAAAACGAGTTTCCAACTGCTTCAGATGGCGATCACGAGCCAGCTTTGCCTTCTCTAATTGATTGGCACTATATCTACTTCGAGGCTGCGGTTGAGGCTTAATGCTGCTGGGAGCACTGTTCTCCACTTGTAATTCCTCTGTCGAGTTTGCCTCTGGTGCATTGGCTGAATTGCTCTTGAATTTTACAAAACGCATGGTGGTGGCTGGAGGTCGACTGAGAAGGGTTTCCATATGTTTTTCTAACCAGGTAGTTTGTTGAATCAATGTAGGTTGGGTCTCAGGCGAATGGCTACTCATATGCTCATTATATCCTCTCTCAAGATTACTGCGGCAACAAAAGTACGGTCAATTTCCAAAAGATGGCACAGTACATAGAAAAATAAATCTTCCCATACATGGCAAACCCTTTGGGTATATCGCAGTTTTGAACTTTAATTGTAGTGGGCGATCGAGGATAGTTGGTAGGCACTGATATCTGGATAACTAGCGATGTCAGGTCGTAAGTAAAGTCGTGTGGAGGTTTGATACCGACTTGAACAATAGTACTTGTCGAACTATTCCTGTATTGATGCAATTGATCGACGATGATAAGCGAGAAATCTCAAAAAGTATGTAGAACTAAAGCATTCTCACGTAAGTGTACGTACATAATAACGGCGAAAGTCGAAGCATAGTGACGCTCCAATTGCGCTATTTGGGATCGTTGGATTCCTTTTTGAACCTCGGTGGAATGTAGATCCTGTCAAATGCACAAAATCAGCAAGTTTAAATGTAGCCATTTGCTTAATTTCTACCAACATACAGTAGATCTGCGACGAGAACCCGAGGCGATTGGTCGTTGATCTCTATTGGAAAGAGCGTGTGCTTGTAAGTCCGCAATGAGGGTATCTGGCAGGGTTGTTTGCTTGCTGACAGCTTGTAGAATGTGAGCAAACGAGCATTGTTCGCCGGCTCTGCAAGTGCCTTTAGAAAAAAAGCGGCATGGAGGTGGAAACCGGCGTGCTTGAGGTTGATTCAACATTGAATAAATAAGCTATAAAAAACACGACTCTAAAAATTAAAGTGGCCAATTTATTCCAGGCGCTCCAGTGCAGGCCAATTTTCCCAATAAAGACTGCAGCCGCATCTGTGCAACCATACCCTCCATCTTCATGGACACATTTCATCAAACCGCCCCAGAATCAACGCGTGGACTGTTTGATCTTCCAGAGCATGTAAGTGAAGTCTTTCTATTCAAAAACCTCGTTAGTGTGTCGTTATTGAAGTTTTACCCGCTATAGGCTACCCCTTCAAGGGACGCTTCAAAACGTCGCTCGGGACAGGTTCTGGCCGTCAACAGCAGTGTAAATAGTGCCTCAGATGGTTCAACATCTGCAAGAAACTCGATCAAACGACCCGTTCGATCACATTCTCGATCAAAATCGGCTATCACATCAGATATGTTCGATAATCAAGCTAGACGTGGAGGGCAGAACGCGTTCGGCCTGCAAACCTTGGCGGAGGAGACATCGGCTAACACCTCAAAGGAGATGAAACGCCAGTCATCAGCTGGTAATGGTCCCCAGTCGTACAAGGCTGCTCTATCTCAAGATCAGGATGAGTCGGTTGCCATGTCCTCTTTGCAAGATATGATCAATACGCTCAAGTCCTTGCCGCCTATACCGTCCACCAATAGATCTTCCACACAGAACGGTGCGGATGAAGCTCCAGTTCGTCGAGGTCATCGCAAGCAACAATCCTTATCTGCGATCAACCTGCAGAAAAGCCGATTCTCCCAGTCGTTTGAGCAAGGCCGTAATCTTCATTCTTCCATTCAGGAATTTCATACTATACCCGAGGTACCAGAAAAGAGAAGCAGTAGGCTCTACAGCATTCCTCAGAACGGTAATCGCAAATCTGATGATGAAGATGGCGCTGATAACTATTCTCGTGGAGATGCTCTTGCGGAAGCAGAGGCAAAGTTGATGGGAACTTATAAGCGTGATGACTCTGCAACCGACAGCTCCAATACTTCAGCATCAAATAAAGAGAGAAGGAGATCCGGACGCAGATACTCGGATTCGAATGGTAGCGACCGCCCTTCCTTCAGCACCGTAGCTGCTGCCAATTCGTTTTCCAAGCGCACATCGCTTCAACTTCCAACACTTACAGAAACAAGTGAAGATCCCAATGGTAACAAGAGCAAGCGATTGACTTTTAATAAGCCCTTGGATCTTTCATTAGAGAAGAAGGGCCATAGACGTTCTACCTCCAGAAACTTCGATTCCGATTGGAGAGCAGGTATGAGAATCAAATGAAAGCTCTAAATGTAGACTTTGGATATATCTAACGTGACAATCAATATAGGCGCCGGTAATAACTCGCTTCTAGCCCCTCCATCTGTGCCAAGCTCTAGATCGTTCAATTTGGTTCCATTTACTCCTACCAAGGTCAACTTCGCCAGAGACGATGCGAACCCTCATCAACGTCGTCCACTATTTGCAGCCCATCTGCCTTTCTCTGCGCTTGGTCCGCTGTTCAAAGCACGCCAGCTGATTCGTGGTACTCTGCGTGTGAACAAACGAAACCGTTCAGACGCTTATGTCACATCGGACGATTTGGAATCAGATATCTATATCTGTGGTTCTCGTGATCGTAACCGAGCCCTAGAAGGCGACGTTGTGGCTATCAAGCTTGTAGATGTGGAAAAGGTTCTTCGAGAGAAGAAAGAAAAGGAAGAAGCAAAATTAGCAAGAAACGGAGGCAAGGCACCAGCCCGTAGACCAGATGAGGAAGATGAAAATGAAATCATTTTTGGTGGAGATGATGATGTTGACAAGGTGAAGCCCAAGTACAGTGGTGTCGTTGTTGCCATCTTGGAAAGAGCTCAAAACCAAGTATTTTCTGGGTACGTCTCCATCTTGTTACAATGACGTCCAAGGAGTTTCAATACTAAAGCCACCCTAACTTTTGTAGATCGCTTACCTTGATGCGTCCTAATACTAAACGCTCTCAAGACGACAAGTCGGAGGATGCGAAGGAGGCTCCTAGAATCGTGTGGTTCAAGCCTACCGACAAACGTGTTCCACTGATTGCCATTCCTATTGAACAAGCTCCTGAGGATTTTGTTACCAACACTGCCGTATATGAGCACAGATTGTTTGTGGTAAGTCATCAAGTGATTCACATATCGTGTGGTATACCTGCAAGAAGACATAGATTATAACAATGGCTACATTAGGGTTCCATCAAACGCTGGCCTATTACTTCACTCCATCCATTTGGTACCCTTGAGCGTGAGCTTGGTGTCATCAATGAAATCAGTGTTCAGACACAAGCTCTCTTAGCCGATAACAATGCTCCCATGGCTAATTTCTCTGAAGCTGTGAAGGCATGTCTCCCCGAACTGCCCTGGGTTTTGACCGACGTCGAAGTATCTCAGCGCCGTGATTTGCGTTCCCAGCGTGTATTTACCATTGATGCTCAGGATGCCAAAGGTGAGTTACAAGTGAAACAAAGAAAGAGATGATATTACTTATGACAAAAACTAATAAGCTTGTATTTTTAGTATTGGATGATGCCATCTCTGTACAAAAGTTGGGCGATGAAACATACGAAGTCGGTGTGCACGTTGCTGATGTTTCTTCCTTCATTGAACCACACTCTCCTCTCGACAAGGAAGCAAGAGCTCGCGCTAGTTCGGTTGACTTGATTCATACCACTGTTCCACTAGTACCCAGTGAACTCACAAATGAGGTTACCAATCTAAACAAGGGAGAAGATAGGTAAAAGTTATTGACATGATTTAAAAAGTGCAAAAGAAGGGGGGCGCGCACGACCAAAGCAAATCTTGAATATTGGCTGACTTTTTGATTTGGCTTTGTAGACTCACCTTGTCCGTTATATGGAAGGTCAGCAAGGAGGGCAAAATCTTGGATACATGGTTTGGTAAAACCGTTGTGAAGTAAGTGTTGATGCCAAGAAAATGATAGGAGAGATGATATGAGGAATTATTATTTATATTGTATTTCTCTCGTTCAAGCTCTGTTGCTCAGCTTGCTTACGAGGATGTTGAGAATATACTTGCGGGACAACCTTATGAAAATACCCCTGCTGATACCGACGTTGCGGCTCATCTCATTGAGGACATTCAGGCGCTGGACGAAATCTCGACCACTTTGCTTAACAGTCGTTCTCACACTGGAGCAATGTGCCTTACTCGTGATGAACTCGTATTCGAGTTTGGTGAAGATCAAGTCCCCACCGGCGTCACTATCAAGGAAAAGAAAGCTATTCGTAAAATCATGAGAGAGTTCAAAATTCTTGCAGATGTGAGTGTCGCTCAAAAGGTGTCCAGCTGTTTCCCTGAACAGACCATTTTGAGAAGACAAGCTCCTCCATTGGAGCGAAAAATTGTAAGTTACAGATGTTTATGTTTGTCTTTAATAACTTGAAAACTAGTCCATTTTACTAATATGATGGCGGTTTTCTATAGGTCGAATTGCATCAATATGTTAAAAAACTTGGTTACAACATCGACATAACGTCCTCGGAGGGAATTCAAACATCTTTGAATGCCATTCAGGATGAACAGCTTCGCAAAGCAATCACCATCATCATTCTCAAGACATTGCAACCTCCTAAATATTTCTGTACCGGCACTATGGATATCTTGAAGTACTCTCACTACTCACTCAACATCCCACTTTTTGCTCACTTTACATCACCTTCTCGTCGCTTCGCTGACTTGATTGTGCATCGCCAACTGAAGAATGCATTGGAGAAGGGTAAGTTTGAACCAGGACCGGCATGGTAATCTTGAACAATGAAATTATATACGCCACTTTTGCTAACCACACTTTGCATGTTTAGAACCCCAGTTCTACTTGGACCGGGATACAGTGCAGAAAACATCCCAACACTGTAACGTAAAGAAGGAAGCCGCTTTGAATGCAAGATACCAGAGCAGCATGTTATTCCTCGCTCTTTACTTCAACAGCTTGGCCAAAAAAGCAAACAGCAATGTAGTGTTTGCTGATGCTATCGTGATTGCTGTGTTCGACGGATACTTCGACGTGATCTTGACTCAATTCGGATTCGAGAAACGCATTCATACCGATAACTTGCCTCTCAACTCCCACCAAATGGATCCTAATAGCGACAATTTGACTTTGTTCTGGAAGAAGGGTATCTCCACCACGGCGCTCAACAGCGAATTTGCTTACCTCGAAGAGGATGATGAAGATGTGGAGTTGGATGAAGATGCACTTGCCGACGAAATGCAGAAGAGTGAACCATCCGACGACGGCAGTGACCCCGTCATCCATGACAACAGCGTTGAAGCAAAACCGCAAAATGGAAAGATGGATACCAAGGAAGAAGATGTCAGGGCTTTAGCTATTAGTAACGATGTGGAGGAGGCAACAACAGATACCCCAGTAGTCGCTTACAAGCGCCTAAGCAAACGTAATTCAAGTGCCATGATGTTTGCTCCTAGCCACTCCGGCTCACAAGGCGGCCCTATATCTAATCCAACGTATGATGGCATGCAATGCTCACAAACGATCAAGCCTTTGGATTCAATCAAGGTGGCTATCCACGTTGAAATGACTCAAACTCCACCTCTGCTTAGAGTGCTTGCAGCAAATCCATTTATGTAACTGCCTTGCCTACTATCCCGTTTCTTTCGTTTCTATTATTTTGCATTCATACTATCCTCTCTTTTGGGCTTAATGCCGCCAAACGACATTCATTTTATAATCCTTCTATGTTCATTTATTCTCACAATGGTTTCATGATAATAAATTTTCTGTTTAAAATAAGAAGATATCTACGGCCAGTAGGAATGCCAAGGCGTCATTGTACCCATGGTTCAAATCTCTGAATGGAACGAGTTCTACGGGATATGAAATGTTCCAGCGATATTGCTATTCTCATCATTTCCAGCTTATCCAAGCCAACCATTTTGGCAGCGAATTCCGCTACAAATTCGTATTCATCGTAGTTATAATCCATATACCGATCTTGGTACTGGTAGTTCTTGACAAGTTGGGTGACAGAGAGGTAATTCTGATCTTCCTCTTCAGGTGCTTCATCAAATCCATGAAAAGACGCGTTTCCGATAGAGCTTTCACGCCACGCCACATCTCCAGCTTGACTTTCAACAAATTCGTTTGTGCCATCTGAATCCTCTTCCAACTGATCGTGAGTTCGTTTTCGGTCATTATGTGCATCTGGTTTGTTGGTTGGCTCAATCATCGGGGAGTAGAGTGGTTGCATATCGGATGCAGCAACTCGGACATACGGATCACGTATGAAGGATAGGGTCGTCCCTTCCTGCCAATATGAATTAAATTTTGTTTTTTTGAGTGGGCCAGGTAGGTGGGAATCCTCTTCGGCCTCTCTTCTTTTGAGATCCTTGGTGTACTTGCGTAATAATTTAACCAAAATTCTATCTAAAATGTCGGCACGCAAAGGTGAGTCATTTCATTCTGCCACTCCGCAAATTCATCTCGTCATGACTTTACCTTTATGCGAGCGATTAGTCAAGCCTGCATGTATAGTATGCTTGTACATATCTGCCACCTCTCGCAAATTTTGAACGTCAGATTCATCCTCTCCTGGTATTCTGTGTTGGATTTTGCATTACTACACCGTTGATAGGCACTTTCACCTTCAGTCAGATGATAATCATACCTTCGGCCACCGTTAAGCATATTGCTTTGCCATCGGTACACATTAGCTCGCAGGGCCTTTAACCAAATATCTTTGGGAGGAACATATATGCCAATATCTTGCAGTTCATGCCTAAAAGGAGAAGTAAAAAGGTTCAGCAAGCGCACTTAATTTGTGTAGGTAGCATTGCCATGACGTACCTGTCACTATCATCTAGTCTGTAATATAATTTGGCAATGAACATAGTGACCGCCATAATCTTCACATCCATTGGAGCCGAGGTGACCATCATGGTGTTACGTGGTTGCTTTGCGTCTGATCTTGCAATCACTACTTGCTTGCTAAGTTTCAGTTTATCAAAGATGAATTGAGCCAAAACGTAAGATTCAACTGCATAACGTAAAGGGTAACAATGTAACGTTAATATGATTTATTCTTCATCTCTCATCCCTTCGTCTTTAGCTTTACCTGGAAGCATGATTTCACGCAGACCACGCTGTAGGAGAGGCACGGAGTTGGCGTCTGGAAACTCAAGTTTACAGATGCTGCCAAAGCATCCTATCCACTGTCGAGTCTGCAGGTACAACGTAGGCATATTCGGAATAATCTTTGGTAAGGATAAAGGAATTAGATGCCCAGTTCATCACACAAACGCATAAGCCAGTACAAAATAAATCATACCTTGAGTGCTGTTAGCTTTCGTTGCGCAATAGTGTCCAGAATCTCTGAAGGCAAATTCTTGGTCAGAGAAATATATGGAAGCTTTCCCACAATAGCCCATCTGAAAGAAATTTATCGCTTAGTAAATGGTTCATACAAGCCATGCCCTCATCAATAGTCAGATCCACATATTCACCTCTGCAAATCCGCAAGCATGACAGGCCATCGTAACCAGACGCAGCCCAGGTAGCAGAAAATTAAAAGTTGAGTATACGAAAGATGTGGCCATATCTTGAAGCTAGGGTTGCGGATAATTTTATCATTGCCAAACAAGAGGCTTTCATTGGTATCCATGCTGGGCATAGCCATCATATCTGCCTCGTCAAAGTCATCTTCCTCAACCGGATCGTTGTTGTCTTCTTCTTCAAGTGCTTCTATTTCATCGTCAGGGACTGTTGACTTGGTAGCTACTGGTGCTGTCTGTTTACGATACTCAAAGTGGACTTCCGAATGAGACACATACAATAGCCACAGTTCTCGTACTATGGTCTGAACATAAGGAATAGTGTTAAAATCAAAAGCCCTGGCTATGTCCGTTTGGGTTGCAGTTCCTGGCTTTGCTTACCTCAAGGTCAGCAGGCGCAGCATACTTTGTAATAAGTACACGTACTAACTGGCGCAGACATTGCTGGAACATTTGATGATAGATAAACAAGGCTCTGGGACCCGACAATCCTAACAAGGGAAATGATCAGATTTTGTGCTAGTGGGGTAAACTTCGAATTCTAAGCACGTACTTTTCGATTCCTTCACTGTTGTATTTCGTTTGACTCGATTGATCGTACGTACGGCGCCCGTATGGGTACCTTCTTCGCCCTCCTCCTCTTGGTAGTTCTATGTGGCATGACATTAGCATCACGCTACCCAAGCATACTTTGACATGATGTTTCGACATACCGCTAACTGATGCCCATATTTACAAACATAGTGACCTTGTGCGTTCTTGCGATACTTGCGCGTCTTACAGATCGGACAAGGGGGTAACTTTAATGATTTTTTCATGGTGTATTACTGCGGTTGTTGAAGTGGATTATATGTACAAAAATGTGAAATAGGATTGTCGTTGCTCAAGGTTGTAGCTCGAGATAAGTTGATCCTGAGTCTGTTGGAAAGCAGCTGGGTAATGTTTGTGTGGGATCTCAGTTCTTGGGGTCCTTTGGATCTGAAATGGTGTATGCGTTCTCGTCTAAAAGACGTTCCAGCTCAGATTTCAATCGTTCAACCCAAGTCGAGACAATGAAAACGTGCGTATCGTCCAAGTCGTCCACAATGAAATGGTGCTTGCTGTCCAAGTTTTTAATGATGGCTTTAACGGTAGTGTCGCACTCAATTAGAACTCCAGTAACTGCATTCACCATTGATTTAGGGAAAGATGCAAGTGCTCACGGACTTGCAAAAAAATTTGCAGCGTCAAAATTGTTCAAGCCGTCAAGCAAATCGCATCTGATAAGCTATGGTCAAACAAAAACTACTCACATAGATTTTTTACACTAGAAAGAATATCTTTATAAGGACGGCTATAACCTTCTATTTGGTAGCCATTGCGCTAAAGCTGGTACCCAGCACTGCTATGACGATGGTTGGACTAGGGTCTTCTGTATTGCAATTTTGGACCTTCTTTTAAGTTACATTTCACAACAACACTGCTGCTAGTTTAATACTTTTGAGCACTACTTAAACCATTGTAGTTTCTATGAAAATGACATTGCGAACTTCATAGTATGATTCTCTGTAACACATTGCACAAGGAAAACAACGCTACTTACGGTTTATGGATTCCGTGGCATTCTACTCCAGCCAGAACGTGTTGGGAATTGACTGTGGGTAAAAAATATGTAAGCTACGCCCTATATTCCAAATCATGAGCTTTGAGCGATGAAGAATAATTTACATTTAAGCAGAAATCTGTGTATAGCCATTGGTAAGAATTACCTTTCAGAGTTTAACTATTAGGCAGCAAATGTACTAACGTGACCGTGCAGTAGATTGTAGAGCTGGTTGCCAGAAAACCATAGAATGACTCGAAGCAAGGAGCATTTTCCTCAAATTGGATACAGTCTGACTGTTGCCAAGGCCTAGGCGTTATCGTGCGGTATATCGGCAAGTGATGTCCTAACGATCTTGACCCTTTACATTCACGCACGCGCTGAAAATTTCCGCGTTCTTCGTTTAGGTAGAGTGTCCAAATCTGATCGTTTTAATCCAATCCGTCACCGTAGCAATGACTCTGCGCAAAGTTAGTAAAGACCTAGCTTCGCGTTACCTGAGCTAACTAACGGAGCATTATGGGGTCGCTTTGGGACTCGGGTGATGCAACAACGATGCTAAATCGGGTCCGGTGACTGTGGGCATTGCGTGGTGGTTTAAACCTATGAACTCTACTCGTCCTAGAAACGGGACCTAGTCCAACACCGCAGATATATTAAATTTTGTAAACATTGAACCTTGACCAAAGGTAAACTTTATGAAAAGTTACTAGAAACATGGTAAACAATACATTGCGATGCTTAGCCGCACTTTACGCTAAACTGTTTCAATCCATCCGAACTTCAAGCCTCTGTCGCTTGAGTAACCATGACTGAAAGGCGACTTGTACTTCCTAGCTGACATAATTTTTCATTTTACCGATCACACAGTGGAGAACCATTCCACGGCCCCCACTGAACAATTACCCCACACCATGTAACGGAACATTATCCTGTCCTTTCAATATGTCTCCATTTGTAGAATGGTTCCTCCAAGCCAAATCATATGACTTTCATCTACCCACTTGGCTTTCATGACGCACGTCTTCCTCGGAACACTGCACATGTAAGTAATGCAAGGAAAATGCGTATGGCGCGCATGCGATAGCTGCGTTCTTTGGAAATGGTAAATTTAATTAGTATGCATTGCCACTCAGCGCTCAACATGCACCTCCAATCCATCCACACCACCGTTATCATCTTGGAATTGCATATAGTGAAAGGATGCGAGAATATATTTATTTACCACTTTTCCCTAAAGACTTCATGTTACGGCTAACAGGCAGTCAACTTGAGTGGCCTGAGAAAATTAGCTGGGGAATAAAGATTTTTAATATTCCAAAAGTGCATGCGTTACCTTCCATAAAAACGGTATGCTGTATCACATTACGAAATCAATTGACGTTGATTAAATTCAACTCTTGTCCATGTTGAGAAATATTAACCGAACCGCTTCAACATCTCCTATTGTCCGTAATGCGAATTACCAATGCATAAACGAAGATCATTTCGGCGGCCAGGTATAAAATGGGCAACAAAGGAATTGGGAAATATCCATACTCACCAAGCTAAACCAACCCAAATTCAAGCTATGAAATCTCTTGCGCTTTTCATGTCCGCCGCCTCGCTGCTTGCAGCTACTGTCACTGCTGCTCCTCTGGAGAAGCGTGCCGCCATGTGCGGTCAATGGGATACCGCTGTTGATGGTTCCTACACCATGTAAGTTTCTAGCACTTGCTTTGACAAGCTAAAACTGGTAGGCTCTGTATTAAACAGCCCTCAATTGACCGTTTAACACGTAGTTACCAAGATCTTTGGGGCGAGTCTGCTGCTACTAGTGGCTCTCAATGCACCACTGTCAACTCCCTTAGCGGAAATACCTTGTCTTGGTCGACTTCATGGAGTTGGGCTGGAGGTTCCAGCAGTGTCAAGTCCTTTGCCAATGCTGCTCTTAATTTCACACCTAAGCAGCTCTCTGCTATCAAGTCCATCCCCATCACTTGGAATTGGTCTTACACTGGCTCTAACATCGTTGCTGATGTTGCCTTCGATATGTTCACCAGTTCTAGTGCTACAGGATCAAGCCAATACGAAATTATGGTTTGGGTACGCATGCTTTTCGATTGTGTGTTTGATTTGGTGTAAATTGGTTCAAATTGGGAGACAGTTAAAAGTTTGAGCCATGATGATTGACTTTTTCTTTGTTTTCAAGCTGGCTGCCCTGGGTGGTGCTGGACCCATTTCGTCCACTGGCAGTCCCATCTACACTTTCACCAACGCTGGTGTTACATGGAAGTTGTACTCCGGTCCCAATGGATCAACCACTGTTTACAGCTTTGTCGCTTCAAGCACCGTCAACAGTCTGAGCACCGATTTGTTGGCTTTCTTCACCTTCTTGGAATCCAAGAGTCTCATCTCTTCTTCTCAATACCTTACCAACGTTCAGGCTGGAACTGAACCTTTCACTGGATCCAGCGCTACCCTCAGTGTTTCCGCTTACAGTGCCGCCGTCAACTAAAGTACTCTCTGATATGACGACCATGTAATGATCTCCTATATCAATCTGATACCTGATAGTAAATCTATTGTTATAACTCGCATTAGGATTCTCTCTCCGTAAGAATCAACTAATGACATAAAGTATTTCTATTTGAAAAAAAAAAAAAGACGTGCACATGGTGATGAAATTTGAGATGAGGTTCCTGATCACTACTCTATTTTTTTTTAATTTTTAAATCTCAACATAGTGTAAGCCCATTCGTTGTGAGCGCTGGCTGTTGCTAGATTATTATTTTTATTTCAAGGCTGCGCAGGCTGAGTTTGGTATTGCCATGAAATCTCATTTTAGAAAAAACGACACGACATAGTTTGTTATCACACCGCGTGCATATTTCAGACATACTCGTGCAAGCACATGGTATGATATATTGTGTTTACGATGAAAGGGTTTAGAACGGAAAGTTTGCTAGTTATAAACATGATGTAAAAATTGAGTGACGAAAGATATCCAAATACCGTGAACCTATTAGCGTGACCTGGTTGCTCTGGTGACTTGCCCTTGGAATGAATTCCAGCATGGAACGACGTACACAAACAAACAATGCCACCATCTGTCTTTCACACAGATGAAATCTGCTGATGAAGGGTATATTATCTTTGGCGGGCTTGAGTACCGACGGTTTTTCATTAATGCATGAGTCCTCGTTGAAATGACATGCCGATGGTCATATTGATGTAACGTAACGTAACGTATGAATTTTATTTTTTATTTTTATGACCCTGTTATTTTGGACGAAAAAGTAGTCTAAATTATGGCCTGTCTCTGGGGATGTGAACAGAGGGGATAGGCCCGCGTTGCAATATTTCTTGCAACGTTTGTGGCGGCTCCCCTGGTCACAGAACATTCGGAACCCTTGACCCGATATAATTGCACAGATCAAATGAGAAAAGTAGCGATAATGACGTGGCGTGATGTATTTTAGCTGAGAACATTGACGAAGAAATATGATTTGACATGTTGTTTGCAAGCTGATATCGCATCGATATCGGTCCCGACTAGCATCTCTGCTGATACCACTCGGCGCTTGCCTCCATTTGCCATGTCCGGGACCTCGTAAACATACCAAATACTAACCTGTCGTGGGAAGAGCGGTAAATCCACATTGATTATCGGGCAGATCATAAACTTGGGGGATAAAATTTTATGTAATAAGATAATAATAGAAAAAGACAAAGAGATGATAGCTAAGATGGTTGAGTGAGGGGTAATAGTGGTTCAAGGTTGAATGTTTTTGATCACAATGATACCAAAACGTGTGAAGGAGTGAATAAAATTATATACAAAAAATCGATGGTTTGGAGTGGGCATTGTGTAAGAGTAAGATGACTGTAATAAAACGAAAATCTAATTTGAATGCGATGCTTGATCTCGCATAGCTTTTTGTACGATGGGATCAGAGGTAATTTCCTGGCTAGTGGTGAACAAAGAAATCATATCGTCAGGCAATTCAGCTTGGGCTTTCTTGATACGTTCGCGGAACAAGTCAATCATCGACTTTCGCGTAGAGGGAGAGCTGGTGCTCATACTTGTAAAGCTATTGTTTCTGGGGAGTCCTCGATCTGAAATTGGGTATCCTTCTCCTTCAAGTCTTGAATCAGCTGAATTAGATGAGGTTTGCCGACCAAGGGAGAGTCTTCGTGTACCAAGAGATATTTTCATTAATGAAGAAGATGTGGCGGTGTCAAACGATTCCGATTTCTTAGTCGCCTTTCGATGCATATGAGTCGTGGTGACATCCCGGATGAAGATTTTCAAAACTCGTCCAGGGTGCTCGCGAGCGATTCTTGAATAAATTTCAAGGTCAATTTCTCCAGAGTCGCCAATGAAGATAAATTTGCGTTGGGGAAAATCTTGCATGATCTGCAACACGCTGTCTCGTTTCGCTTGACCAGGTGTTTCTGTGAATCGCGCTAATGGATTTCCAGACATTCTCAAATGGAAACTGCCAAGAGGGAAATTGTTTTCGTGCAAGAAATCCTTGAGCATTGACACCAATTGGAAAGGACTGTTGGAGACATAGTGAAAGTCTAGGCCATGATCATACTACAAACAAGATAAAAATAAGTACATTGCATGCATGCCAAGACTAAACAGCAAAGGGGAAGAACAACTTACCAAGGATTTGTAGGTATCGGCCATACCATCGACGGCTTGGGCGGCCTTGAAGAAGGTATTACGCAAAACTGTCTTTGCGCCGCATAGGACTTGGGTATCTTTTATGGTATCGTCAATATCCGAAACAATGGATATTCCTTCTGGTTCCAAGAGATTGACTTGCCCAAAGCAATCGGCTGAACACGCATCGTTGGACGTGGCTTTAATGCGGATAATACGGGGATTAACAGCGTGCTCAGACCATGCGCTGATGAGAGTATCAGGGATAATGATGTTTTCTTGGAAGAAGCCAGAAGGGCCGGTTTTGACAGTGATGCTCATGCCATCTTGAGAAACATCTGCTATAGGCGAGGCATCACTAAGAGACAAGGGAAGCGGCTGGTCGTTTTCGGCAGCAGCCGTCAAAATAGAATCGAATTGTTTGGGTGATTGAGATAGAAGACCTTCAGAGTCATGTTCTTGGTAAAGAACGACCCGTTCGGTTTCGTTTTGGACAATTAAATCATTTCGAGCGGTCATATTGACGCCTTTTTCGATATGATAGAGATCTTCGGTAAATTGGTCTTCGGTGGATGAAGCACTGGTTCCTTCTGATGCATCAGAATAACTAGCAACATCGTCGTCTTCCGAGCTGGACGAATCCGATGACATGAAGAAATTAGAGCGGTTGGAGGTCGGTGAGGAGGAGTCGGGCTCGTGGCTGACGTGATGATGATCGTCATACTGGAACACGCCGACGGCATCGACGGTGAAAGATAAATCTTTCTTGTTATTAGCAAGGAAGTAGGATGCCCTTTGCTCGAAGAAAGTGCTTGTCATGGGGTCGGTAACCTTGTTGCCAATCAGACTTTTAGCGAGTCCTGTGATGATGTACACAAAAAGTGGTGATGTTTAGTATTTGCACCCCATGGTGGAAAATATTCGAGCCCCCCGTTTCCAGATTTTCCCATATACTGGAAATAGCAAGGAGGTCATAACATGGCACAAGGAAATCATACTTACGCATCATCCACTTCTTCTTGACACTCGACTTGCTATGAGCAAGAGCCCAACCATTAGCGCGAGCAATCCATTTTGTAGGGTCTAGGCACGAAAGAAATGGATAAATTGCGTTAGTCAAGAATCCATATTTGAACTGAAAGGAATAATATATATATATGGATGGAAGTATGTCCCATAAGGCAACTTCGTCCGCTGGTATTCACCTTCTGAACTTCGTGTGGCATACGTGGGTGTCAGTACGCACTCGTGTTCCGGTAATGCTGTAGAGGATGGAGATGAGGGCACGTCATCTGACAACAGCACATCTGAATGGCGTTCGTTTTCGTACAGGCGGTCTAAGTCAGCAAAGTCAGTTTTCGGGTGTCCATAGATGCTTCCTTGTCGTGAATTGGGACTGGAGTTGGTGTTAATAGTAAAAGTGCGAGTCGCGAGTTTTGAAAACATTTTATATTGAACAGCAAATGCCCATTGGGGGGGAGATGATTAAAGAGGAAGGTAGTATTATGGAGTGAGATGTTGTAGAGAAATTTATAAAATCTCAAGTGGAGAAAAAAAAAATGAAACCGGCTTTTAGCTGGGGAGCAGCATATTTATATAGTTGGCTTGACTTGAGGGAGGGAGAAAGGGGGGAAATTTCGATATAATAGGCAAACGTAACCCGTTGACAAATACTCAAATCATAGTTTCCGGGCAGGCTGGAGCAAGCCTGATGTGGTGTGGTGTGGTGTTTGGTCAGCAAAAAATATATTTTCTCTTCCTTGTCCGTATACGCTCGGCCGTCCCTAGCATTCCAATGCTGCCCGTGTGGGATGACTCTATGATATCCGCTCGCCAAGCACCTCGTTCGTTGAACACCCTGAGACATTCACCTACATGGCTTGTTTTGTTGTAACGTAAAATAAATATAGAGTGGCTTCCAATAATTCCAAACAGGCACAAAGCTGTGTGCTGTGCTGCAAAGCCATACTTTTATTTATCATCGGTTGGAATGCGAATGAGGTAGCGATAGCTAACACCAAAGGTGTGACAACATCGGATAGGATAAAGAGATGCCGACCTTTCGTCTTTTGTCATCCAAGGAATCCAACCCGCAGCTTTCCCCCTTCCTTTAACCAAACAGTATCACAACCCAAAAAGACGGCTTCCGGTTGGTGAAGGTCACGCGTTGATCGGCTCGATATGGCCGGGTACATCACAAATACAAGTGGATAATCAGATTTTACGACTCTGAGATGAGTTTATATAAATTATGGACAGCATAAACATTATATTTAAGCAGCTAGATAATACTAAAAAACTTCAGAACTTCATTCTGGGTAGCTTCACTGCAATTTACAAATAAAAGTGCTGCGTTTTCCGAATTGAGCCAGTATTCGAGATTTTTTTCATTCATCCATACAAAATATCTTTGACTTTCATCATCTGAAATCCAAGTGGTAGCTGTACGTCTTGGTGCGGCATCAGTGTTTCTGTCAGGGTAAAACTTGAGAGACTTGATAAGCATTTTTTGAAAAGATGCAGTAGTGCCAAGGTGGAGAGGTAAGGAATTGTGGAGGATGAATCGATAGCCTCGCTTATAAAGCCATGGAGGAGGATATGGGATAAATTTGGAGCCGAGTACATAAAAGGTAGCCGAAAGGTTCGAGACAATCCATTATTTGAAAAAGACATCCATTTTGCGGCCATTCGCCTTCTAATGTCCGTTTGGCGGCTCATGTGGGTAGAGCGGTTGCGACAACGCACCAGTTAAAGGGATCCTCTTGAAGCCATTTGCCTTCTATTGTCGGTTTGGCGGCCATGTGGACTGAGGCCACTGCAGTCGCTGCAGCTCTGCTTCAATGTATTTTAAAAGCCGACAAGCCAAAATCAAGCCTGATCTCCTTGTGGGGCAGCGAAAGCTTACCCGACAGCGTGTGCCAGACGAAAAAAGAGTATGTCCAGCGACGCAGCGTTCCAAGCCTTCGATCATTACGACTTTGACAAAGACGACCGATTTCAAGTCAGTTGACAATGAGCTTGTTTGCTTTGATTTAGTACGGATGACTAACCTTCTTTAAACATAGGCCGGATTGCCATCTTTATTAAAGAATCAAGAAGGCAAAACTGAATCTGAACGTTTGGAGTTAATTCAACGAGCCAGATGGTTCTATTACACAAAGTTAGAGCAGCTGACGAAGCCATTTCTTTCTCTTCCTTCTATCAAATGCCTCACATACTTACACATTGCCTATTTTAATATAGGTTTGTACAAGCTTTCGATTATACTGAATATCAACAATGGAAGATAAATCGTAATCCCACCGACAACAACATATCTGACAAACAAGATGACCCTGTCCAAGCAAAAGGTACAAAGAATGGCATGGAAGAAAAATTGCTGCTTGCTGCATATGACCCTGAATAACGTTTATTCCATCATTGACCGTAAATAGATTCTTCGACCGATGACAACGAAACCCCTAAACGACTCACCTTCCAAGAAATTGTAGAAAGAATAGAGAAGGGTGAAGAAATACCTGGAATCAAACAGATCCCAAATAAGTTGAACGAAGCCGCTCCTAGCGAAGCTAAACTCTCTGCACGACCGAAGCCATGGGAGGTGCAGCAACGAAGCTCAGAAGCCATCGACAGTAGCTCTGGTACTAACGACGAAAATGTAAATTCGAATCCTACCAATAGTCACATACTGTAGGCAACCCTTAGAAAAAGCATTCCTTTCCTACTAAGTATGATTTTTGATTGACCTACATGACACGTCAAGCTGTACAGAACCGAATCGGATACTTTAGTTACAGGCAATGATGTAAAGAAAAATAAATGAATACTATCTACAATCTAAATAAGCTTGGCCATAGCCATTCTGTAAAACTATCGAAAACATTTCTCTTCCTAGAGAAAGGTGGTATAGGGTGATATACACAGGTTGTAATTTCGGGTAAAGGGGGTAGACAGGTATTTCAGAGGGAGGCTACAATTTGTGGCCGGGTGGTCATCTCTAGGCCAAGCGTAGCCTTTGTGTCAAAGTAATTTCCATGATGGCTGATAGGGGTGCCTGGGTTAGACACCGACCGTCTCTTTGGTAAATAGTGTTCAGGTACATCCAGTTTGCTCGTGGACCGTTTTCGTCTACGAGCTAATGAGGAGGAGACTTTTCGCTGCTCCATTATTCGTTGATGGATAATTGATTGGTTTTGTTGATGTGACCAACCCCATAAATGACTTCCAAGAGTGTGAACCGTTGTGCTGAGTAGCCAATTGGTCGAGGTTATAGTCAGGGATGATAGTACTTCCAGTATCAACATAGCAAGCCTGATCAAAATAAATGAAGATGTCAAGGTACTAACAACAACGGCTACTGTTACCAAGGTAATAAGGCCAAGTATAATGAAAGGTGACAGAGCTAGGCCAGCCACTGTGAGCAAAAGTGTGACCAGTTTGTTGCTCATTGCAAAGGGGAATGCAATGTGAAAAGGCAGAGAAGTAAAGCAAGCTGTTGTGGGGGTCACCATAAGAATTGGGTCGGAGCATCATTCGGTTCATCAATGAAACGACTGGTTCATTAGCTTGTCACATGCAGATTTTTGGAAAACTCTTGACTCTCGTGACGATGTAAGGATTTGTTCATACACTTTGTGAGCTGCGTTTCATCGTCTTGAGAAAGAAGTTATCCCACACAAGAAAAGTGTTCCAGCGTCCCGTCGTACGCGAAACTAGAAGCGGACGTATATTCCCTTGGGATGAAAAAGACGGCCAACCATGCAAATTTTGCTTCCCATCGTAGTCACAAAATGGACAGCTGTTTGCGAAGAATGAGGCCAAAGGTCACGCGCTGGCTGGAGGGAAGAAAAATATTGGTGGGGGGGCTGTCCGCAGGAAATCTGTCAGGCTGGACTGGGCCATAACCAAAAAAATTCAGGCTCGGCGGTCCCCAATTCCTTCAGATTTGCACTACGCTCACATTGTTATTATCTTTCTCTTCTCTTACCTGGCAAATATCCTCCATCGTCATGAAACATCACAAGTACATTCTGGTCACACTCAGCCTAGGAATATCGTCCCTTGCTCTTCCTATAGCACTGGCCGATCCTTCGCCTTCCATTAACCCTGATTCAAGCATGTACTCTATTCAAACCTCTCCGCCAACACCCACCAACGTGTGCACAAAAGCATGTTTACAACCTAACGCAACCCCAAGTTGCCCATCACAATGTCCAGGATCGTGTATGATTCAACAATCCACCGATCCGTGCTGCCCCAACAGTATGGAAGCCATTTGCAACGATACCAGTGTGGCCGTTTCTTCATCCACCAAAAGCAACGCCAACCCATCTCCGCCAGTGACTAGCAACTCCTTGGCGTTGGTCTCGCCCACCACTAGCTCACCTCAATCATCGGCTACCGCTCATAATAATGCGGCATCCACAGACATGACGTCCAATCATGCTTTATACATAAGCACAGCGCTGGTCGCTATTGTTTTTGCTGCTCTTCTTCATTAAGATTAGTGTCTTCCCATGTACCATATCTGATCGGCAACCTGTATATCCCCCGTCCCATACTTTTTTTTCCTTCTCTTTTGCGAGTTGGATAAATATTCTATATTCCTTACATTTTATTATGTACACAACACCTTCCTCTGTTCGATATTATTAAAAAATTTGGCATGTTTCTATTTGGAGCATTCACCTGTAAACGAGATAATTTGTCTGAATGTGAACGATACTCTCCTCGATCGTTCGATGGTAGTGCCATCCGATAAAGTCTCGATCAAATCCTTGGAAATCGAGTGCTTATAGTTATATCGAGCTTCTTCCGTCATCACAAGCATGGATCGCCGAGCTGTAAAATAACATAGGTGTCAATGTGAAATTCGATATATGGGCATGCTATGGGTCACTTACGCAAAAGGACGTCAACCGTGCGACCAGTCTCTGCATTTGTGAACTTCATGACGCAAGCCGAGAGTAATGATAATGAAAGGATGGCAGGGCCGAAGATACTGGGGGCATCTAATTTCGAGGGGGTTCAGCATGATGTTGATCTACGCGTTCACTTATATATGAAACTGACCTGTATGAGGCATGATACCTTGGCCAGGCTCATATTCATTGACCAGGAGATGATTCGGTGGCGGTGACAAATTTTGGTCAGCAATGCGGTCTAAAACCGGTGTGACGAAGTCTGGAAGTGGACCAAGCTCTTGCAGCACTTTTCTGTCCGAACGGGAATTGAATTGCTGCTGGGTAAGTGATAGTTACGCTTTTTGGAAGAAATACCCGTATTTATACCTATACTGATAGCTGAAGAGATGGCCATACTGCTGCGTCCTCCTCTTCAATTCAGGATTGGGGCTATTGGTTGAAAGATAGGTACATCAGTAACTGAGGTTTCAACCAGGTTGCTTCTAGAAGATGAGTGGCCCCCATATGTACCTAATTCCAAGTCCTGACCATAGCCGCTCATCGCAGCATTGGACCAAATGCGTTTCTTCCTCGGGAGAAACAAAGTCCTCAACCACAGTGAGCCCCGGTAGTATCTGCATGATATACGTGTGTCTAACTGCTTCGAGCCCTGCCTCAATTGCTGAGGTTCACCAAACACAAATGAAGGAAAAAAAAAAATCTGAGCTCATGTGACGTTAGCGGATCGCCCGATTGCACGGAGTCGGCCCAGTAAAAATGGTGACTGACATCACAAAGAGTGCGACGGCAGCCGTTGTTTCGCTTCTTAACTTTCTTCTTTTACCGCCTCGCACAAGCATGGCTCCTATGAAATCTTTGACTGCAGTGGCAGTTTTGGCTCTTGCCGTCTGCTCCCAGGTAGTCAGTGCTCAGCAACAGCAGCACGTCTTCAGTGACGTTCAGACCACTATCGCCGACAACTCCCCCCTTGGAGACCTCGGCAACTGGTTTGAAGATGCCTTGGAAGACATTCAAGAAGCTGTCGAGGATGTTCGTAAGACCGTCACCGGTGTTCTTGAGGATGCTTATGATAACTCTCAAAAGGAATGGCTCAAGGTCTTTTCTCACCCTGCCTTCCCTGAGTATTCCATGAGATACAAAAAGCCTGCGCTTTGTGACCCCGACGTTAAGCAGGTAAGTCGGCAATATTATCTACCATAGCTTGCAGTACATAGCATCATCTAACGGTTCATTCCTCCTATCTTTGTGCTATTTGTGTTCGGAAATATATAGATTAGTGGTTATATTGATATTGATACCGACAAGCACTTCTTCTTCTGGTTCTTCGAGTCGCGTGATAAGCCCGCATCAGACCCCCTTATTCTTTGGCTCAACGGTGGCCCTGGATGCAGTTCGTTGACTGGCTTAATGATGGAGCTTGGGTAAGTGTGAGATGATTTCTTGGTATTCAGACTTGGCGCAATAATGGGATTCTCACCAGTGACTGTTTTTAATCTCGTTAGCCCATGCTCCGTGAACGACGAGGGAACTGATACCATCATCAACAAGTATTCATGGAACAACAATGCCAACATTGTTTTCTTGGACCAGCCTTTGAACGTTGGCTACTCCTATGGTAGTGATGGTGCCAGCAACACCAATGCTGCCGCCAAGGACGTCTATGCCTTCCTTCAATTGTTCTTCCAGGAGTTCCCTGAATATGCTGACCTTGATTTCCATGTTGCTGGAGAGTCATGTAGGTTTCTAATATGAAATGTTTTTGAGTTTACGGGAAAATTTTACTCACGCGCGCCCGCTTTAGATGCTGGTCACTATATCCCCGCTATTGGTGAACAGATTCACAACAACAACAAGGGCAAGTTCGCTGTCTCCTCCTTGGCTGCTCATCAGAACACCCTTGCCGATATCAACCTCAAGTCTCTTATGATTGGTAATGGTTTGACCGACCCTCTTATTCAATACAAGTGGTATGCTAAGGTTAGTAGGTTATATATTGACTGCCATAATATTGAACGCGTTTCAAAACTAACATTTGTCATAAATGGTTTTTTTACAAAAGATGGCCTGCGAGAACAACTATGGCCCTGTTTTGGATAACAGCACTTGCAAGCAAATGGAAGCCAACTACCCCGCCTGTGCTCGTTTGATTCAGAACTGCTATGACAACGGAGGTGTCTTCTCCTGCTTGCCTGCTGCGTAAGTATATGCGCCTTTTTCGGCATGCCCATAATCTTTGGAAAAGGTACCAAGAAATTTAACGTGATCGGTTCTCTTTTCAATAGTATGAAGTGCAACAAGGATCAACTCCAACCCTACCAACAAACTGGCATGAACCCCTACGATGTCCGCAAGAAGTGCGAAGGTTAGTAAAGCTATCATGGTCAAAGATATCTCACCTTGTGGCGTTGCAAAAGGATGACCCCACCAGTGAGTGCTGTGACCGCTCACTAAATGAAATTTTACATTTGTACATTAGGAGGCAACCTTTGCTACACAATTTTGGAGAGTGTCAAGAAGTACTTGAACATTCCTGAAGTAAAGAAGGAGCTCGGTGCTCAAGTCGACACATATGAGAGCTGTAACATGCAGGTACGGTAGTCAACCATAGATGCACACATGCACACACATGGACAAGCAAACTAATCCTATCCAACAGATCAACTTCCGTTTCCAAATGGCTGGTGATTGGATGAAGCCTTTCCACCTTGCTCTTCCACCGCTGTTGGAAGATGGTATCCGTGTTCTTATCTATGCTGGTGATGCTGACTTCATCTGCAACTGGATGGGTAACAAAGCTTGGACTCTTGAGCTTCCCTGGTCTGGACAGAAGGAGTTCGCAGCTGCCAAGGACAAGACCTGGTACTCTGATCTTGGTGACGAGGAAGCTGGTGAAGTTCGTTCCGTTCAAAATGGCAACTTTACTTTCCTCAGAATTTATGGTGGTGGTCATATGGTAAGTAACGCACAACCATACCTGCAGTTTTATGTTTAAACGTGAATGCTAACCGTACTGTACAGGTTCCTTATGACCAGCCTGAGAACTCCCTTGACTTTGTCAACAAGTGGATCGGTGGCAAGGCTTTGGCTTAAGCGTTGTAACCAATAATTTTTTCCCCATCTATTTTTCCATTGTCTGACCCCCGTTCCTTTCTTTTTTTGTTTTGTTTAAACCATTATAAACCTCAATCTATTCGTCATGCGATAAGCGTATCTCGTATCATTACTTGAATTGAACATGCGAATTAACGTTAGTCATCTCACTCGTCGCTTAACTCGTCAACTGTTGAATGTATGTGATCAGGACACGCGACATGCTCAGCGAGAGTTACATTGGATGCTCAGTCACGTCGCAGCCACCAGTAAAAGCTCAAAGACGACGGAGAGCTTGACATTCCACGATGCGCAGCGACTGACTGACATGGTCAAGGATCGGGTTGAACACCATAAACCCCTTCAATATATCTTGGGTAGCCAACCTTTCTGCGACCTTGATATCGTCACCCGTCCACCTACGCTCATCCCACGGTAAGCTTTGACATGTCTCGGAAACCTAGTATAATGGCCCCATGATGATAATCTGGTTAATTTTTGATGGTACAGCTGGGAGACTGAGGAATGGGTATACCGGCTGTTGGAGCATTTGAAGCAGCATCATGGCAAGCGACGGATACTGGACCTGTGCACTGGATCGGGATGCATTGCCCTTGCTCTTGCGCGACACTTACCTCAAGGCACAGCAGACATCCACGCCGTTGATTTTTCTCCATCAGCATTAAGTCTTGCTCGTCTGAATGCCGAGCTGTTAACGCCTCAACTCGCCAATGCCGTGAACATTGAAAAAATGGATGTGCTCAATGCGAACGACTTTAAACTCGGTGGCGCCTCTTTCGACTTGATTGTATCCAATCCACCCTATGTGACGCATGCAGAGTACGCCGAACTTACGCCTGATGTCAAGGAATGGGAAGACCGTGCTGCTCTGGTGGCTGATAACGAGGGCATGGCCTTTCATCTTCATATCGCCAACGTCATCGGTAAAAACAATGTGCTATCCAATACGCACAATTGGCCACGTCTGGTCATGGAGATAGGAGGTACGCATCAAGTAAGCGAGATAACAAAAGCACTACATGCAAATGGCTTGTCACGAGTCGAAGTTTGGAAAGATTTGGCGGGCAAAGACAGAGCTATAGCTGCAGGATAATGAGGTGGCCCAGAGGAAACACTTGTAACCAGGATGACTAGTATAACAGTGATATATCTTTTAAGCTGTTTACCTTTGTTTATATAATTGTTGTATATACAGGGATAGTAATATAATAATGATGATAAAAATAAAATGAAACAAAGAGTGGTAGTTGCAGTTATGTAATAGGGAAATACAGTGCACAGGTAATATTAATATTAAAAAAAAGGCTGGTATATTGTTTGTGCTTGGAGCGGAGGAGGGTTTATAAGGGGACATGTACGGCTCGGAGGATCTCCATGACAATGTCGGCAGGTAGAATATCCGCTGTTTCGTCCAGCATGCTGTTTATCTCGGATTGATCGTCAGAGTCTCCATTATCGAGCAAAATTTTATGGCTGGAGGCTTCGTCCTTCAAGACCAAGCGATGGCCAAATACCTTTTCAGCAGCAATGGAGACGAGGTCCGGTGTGACATACTCACGTTTGAACAGGGCAGATAACGCTTTGACCACCAATACCAGATCTTGCGAAGCTCTGGCTGTCAGTCCACAATGCACCAGTCGATGAGTTCGAATACCTACAATGATGTCTCGAATGTATATTACAATATCGGCATTGACATTCACTCTGTTGATGCTTGCTGCGAGCTCCTTTAACTCCTTTAAAATCAAATGCATAATACATGTGATGTTAGCGATAACATAAATGCCAGATAATCATATTTGCTGATCAACATACTTGGTGCCTAAATAAAATCTGTCGCTTCATGATCTGATTGTGGCCATGTCTGGCATCAGCAGCATTTGGGGTATCTGATAAAGATTCGTCGTCAAACCGGTAGCTGACGAAGAAACGGTCGATCTTTGTAAAAAAAGGTTAAATGAATAGTTCTGATAATGCCTGTCCTGTCCTATTCATGTGGCGCATAACTTACAAGTCGACTGAGCATAGATCTTGGAGGAGCGTCTTGCGGCAGAACGGCAATGACAATGAAAGGACTGGGCACATTATAAGTCGCTGAATGGATTTTCAACTGTTGAACGATGATAATCTAGTATCCATCATACTGATTAATTAACCGGCAAGTGCATCTCCTCCTTAAAACCAAACATACCTCTAGCAACGTAGCTTGCACTAAATCACTTGCTTGGTGTAAATTTTTGACGATAACAGCCTGAGCAATTCTTGTTGGAATGAAGCCTTTGGAGGAGTCACCAAAATCGGATTTTCTGAAACGTCCATATTCTTTGTCTTCCTGCCCTCTATAATGGTGTACTGAAAGATCGTTTGACTTGCGATTGATCGTGAAGTCAATTGGACTGATGGGACCAGTTGCTCCTCCGTATCCAGAGGGTACACCGAGTCGGTTTCGACCATCCACAGAGGATGTTGTACTTTGCCCAGCGGCAGACGTTCTTCGCTGAGTTAAAGACTTAAACATTCTCTCCTCTTTGCCATGGGGTCGCCCAGACGACCCATTGCTAGCATGATGACGCATAGATTGGGTGGACGCTCCGCTGCCGGCCCAATTTGAGTCGTTGCTTTGATAAGACGAATATGAGCGATTGCTAGACATCCTTGTCATTCCGTTCGGTTGTAGTGACATTGGATCCAGATTGTTCTCTTCATGTACAGGCACAAACAATTGTTGGACAAAATCTCCAGACGTTTGGTTGGGAGAGCAGTTGATATTGGCACAAGTGAATCCGAATACACTGGTGAACACCTATCCGAAAGAGTTTGTTTAATATATATCAATCACCCTGAGTGTACTCCAAATAAAACCCTACCTTGTTCGCCATGCTAACAACATTGGGAAGCTGATCTTCCGATGCGGTGAGAATTAGATGTCGACCGGGTCCGGATATCAGGCACAATAATATAGAAATGAATAAATCCTGATTGAAGCTGACATTAGATTTCTGTCTCAAAGTTTGAATCTTATCCCTAATCCAATCCTTGGACTGCAGCTGTGGGTCATGTTGCATGCCTGCCTTCCTAAGTGTAGTGAATGCAAAGATGTGGGAGGTGGAAAAGGATGTTCGGAATCTGAAATCATGAACTACCTAAATCATCCATCCAACAAACAATGGGAGGAAGTTCCGAAGGGAAAGCGCAGGCTAGCATTACATTGACTCCATTGCATATCTGTACCTTTTGCATATCTCATGTATGTTAGAATTTACTTGCTCACCTCTGTCAGTGCATCATATCTGGTATTCGACCGTGCGCCAAAGCAGCTCTTGTGTCATTTCTCCAGCATATCATACAGATATTTAAGCTTTATTTACAGTCTATCCCATAGAATGTGAGTTTTCAACCAACACCATGCCGAATATTTATTTTAAAAATGCATGCTTCTGCTAATCCATACATCGACGTCAAAGTTCTGGATGGGACAGTCGCCAGCATGTGCTATCACGTAGGTGCAGTGCAGTGCAGCTGAACTCCCCTTGTGATATCCTTTCAAATCATGCTCTTGGAGAATATGATTTGGACAGCGCCACAAACTCACCCGCAACACACATGCTGTTCCGATCGAGCAAAAATGTTACTTGTGAGAACAGACGCCAGTAGAGTGAGCATATTTCTTCAACTATTACGCAAACAGAGGGTCATTTGCCAAGGTTTCAAGAAATCTCCTATGCCTACTGCCAGGGCGTATTGGTTACTGTACCATCATAGAGATAAGCCAAATCGATCCCTCCGTAACCCCAGTTTAAATGGCTATAGGTAGCTGTAACGCAGAATGGGATTTTTTTTTTCCCAGGTGTTGTACGTGGGCATACAGGAAGGCATTGATTCTTTGGACAAAATCTGGAAAAGCCCCAGAGTCTGATTTGATTGGTCAATGCAGATTTTCGTGAATAGCCCGTAAATGAATAAAATCGTATTCACCCGACATCACGTTTTGCATACTCTTTTTCCTCTTCTCTTCTTTCGTTATCGCTGATCACCATGAGCACCCTTCTACAAAAACTCGCTATATGGTAAAATGACATTCTGCTGCTTCTTGACGTTGCAATTAAACATTAACCACGTAAATTGATCACCAGCACGGTTATTCCAATCGCCACCGTTGTAACTTATTCTAGGGCTGTCAATGCGGAAACGTCTATGACCCATCCACAAAGATTTGTAGCAAGCGGCTGTGATAAAGAAGCCCTTGAATCTGTTCAGTCAGAGTGGAAGATCCGTAACCAAGGAATTGGCTTGCGAGACGTCAGGTATGAGCTGCTATCATGACAAGGAAAAAAAAGGAGATGTAGACTAATTTTTTGAGACAGACGCAGTGGTGGTGGAGTTTAACGGCGAGCTCTTTTTTTCGATTTCGCACCACATGACTTGAATATCCGACAACATCTGTACATTTTTTCTCGCGCTGTCCCTGATTCCTCCACACCCCCCAACCAAACACGCAATGCACGCACAGCTGCTATGTTTTATTCCCTCAGCTATCAACTATTTTACTCTTCTTCAGACATCTTGTTGCTTTCTCTTCACATGTTGACAATCTTGTGTCTAGATGCACCGTATGATTATATATCAAAATTAAAAGGAGGCTTTAGCGAACTAGTGGCTGGAATAAAGTTATAAACCATCTCTCAATGTCATGACTAACCTATATTCCTCTATATTGTCAAAGTCCAGTATCACTGATAAGGTAAATCAAGAGGTGATAAGTAACCTATCTCTTCCAAAAGGGTCTCCACCCGGAAAATACTGTCCACTTACCAACGTCTCGTTTTGTCAGTGGTTTCTTGGTGAGGGGGCAAATATTACGCTTGCCCTCCCAGCTCGTTAAACAGCGCACCCAGCTAGTGTACCTTGAACGGGGAGTAAATTTGTTATCAAAAAGTGTGGGGGATGTGGGTGAGTGGAATACCCGTTCTACATACCCCATGACATGACCATACTTCGAGATAGCTGGTTTGACAACCTCATCCAGTGTGATAGGGTCTATAAATCCAGGCAAAGGATTATCGGGCTGTTTCTTCTCAATGCCCCATCCTGCAACGTCGTCGTCATCTTCGATGGTATCTTCAAAGTTGCTACTTCCTCCTTCTTCAGATGCATTGCCGCTCATTCCATATTCGGCTACCAAGGCTGCCGCTCTTGTGCGTGTACGTCGGGTTGTCCACAATTTGGTGCTATAACTGCCAGAGTTATCATCATCGTACCCGATAAGGTCATCTGAATCTTCTTCATAGTCGCTCATGCCTCCCCAACGATTCCGGCCACCTCGTCTCTTGCGTTTTTTACTAGACTTGGAGGTTTGTGGGGTAGGCGATGCAGAGGCAGAAGTGCTGGGAGCCGTAACTCTTGCTCGCACTGGTTTGGGTCGTGGCGGTGTGTCAGATGATGATCCATTACCATTACCGTGATGTTTGCTGTGTGTACGGAAGGTTTTTTCAACCTCTCCATTCGAGTTTTTTTTGTCAAAAAGGTAGTGAGCCTTTCCGCGCTCATCTAGGACGTAATTTGGATCATTGATCTGCTTTGTCTCCACAAGCAGTCGATAGAAGTTGGAGCACTTTTGAGTTTCGTCAATGAAGGGAGTCATCGTTAAGCCATTGAAGATAGTGTATGAGTAAGCATGTTCAAGTTACCTGATAGCCAACACGGCCAGGAATTTTCATGGAGAATATTCCCCATTGACCATTGGCACCAGCCTCTGCCAACCTGGCATAGAAAAGTTTTTTCTCCTCCTTCAAGAAACGGTTATTAATGTAAAGCGCTTTCGAGTTTTTGAGTACCCATAAATTGCATACTTCAGTCCACTGTCCTTTGCGTTGTACTTCTCCGGGAGCGTTAAATCGATAGTAATAGCTGTTTGGATTTTGTTCAATCATTTGATAGGCTCGAATCCGAGCTTGTGACCATCCTTCAAATGCTTTTTCTGGATCAATCTGATGTTCTTGAAACTGCTTGAGAGCTTCGTCAAGTCCCAGACGACCACCCATTCGGTACTGTCTATCATCAGAAATACATGCCTGGTCAGTCTGCGTTATCTTCAGTCTTTACATGTCGGGGAACTTACTTCTTCGCTTGGTCGTTTGTAGTCTTTTTCAGTGTCACTGATCGCTTCTTAAGAAGCTGCTCATACGCAGCTTTCTGCTCATCTGTCATTGAAGGAGCTTAAAAAATAAAAAGTGCATTTGATGTTAAATGTTCTGGTTCAACCAATAAGTCGAGCTTTGTACTTTGCCTTACCTGCTCGCTCTACTTCCGGGATATGCTTGGTGGCTATCTGTTTTCGAATGCCAATCAAGTACCCAGTCTGCGTTAGACGAACAATCACTTCATCCTAAGAGTATAACTCTTAGTATCAACATCAATAGTCAAATTGAAAAAGATGCCAACACAAACGCGTACTTCATCATTGCCACAGTCTTCCAGCATTTCGTCAATCTCCTCATCACCAACGTAGTCAAACATGGCTAAAATCTTTTGTGATTTCCTAGCTCTTTCACGCCGTTCATACTCTGCAAACTGTCGCTGTTGCAAAGCTACTCGCTTGGCGATGATATCTTTTTCATTTTCGGTCACTTCAGAGCTAAACACGCTCTCTTTCCGAACGGTTTCAATATTTTCACTGGAAAAAGAAAGTCAGTTAGTTCAATCACAACATCCATTAAAAGTGGGTCTGTAAATCAATAATCATATCTTGCCTCTCCAATCGGTCTAATTTAAAGCTGTCCAACGATTTTTTCAGATCTTCTTCATCTTCGAACACACAAGGTTTTACGACTCGTAAATGGTCCTATCGATATGGATCAGTGTTGCTGCTCGTAACAATTCAAAGTCATTATCGTACCAGTATGGATGAAGGTTTGATAGACGATGGGACAGGAACTGTCTGCCAGTGTTGGGGAGGGCGCTTACGTTTGGCGTACCCTTCTACCAAACTCTCCTTGTCAGCTTCAAATGTCAAAAAATTTGACACAGACAATTCACATTTACCTTCCAGAAAAAACTTCGAAACTAGCTTTTCTTCGATGTCAGCGTTCTTCATCATGAGCGTAAATATACAAGGAAAAGAGAAAAAGGCGTATGCAAACAGGAAAACGTTTTTTATTTACTATCGGCTTCTGTTTGGATCAACCCGGGCCACCACCACCCAAGGTTACTTGGTGCGGAACTAGAAAGGATGATCAATGATAAATTTGGTAGTTTATTTTCTGAAGGGGGTTGAGTTCCACTTACGCCCGCATTCATTTTTGAAATGCACTTTTTGTAACGTAACTCGGTTTGTAGAGTTAGTTTAGTGATTTTGGTAAGATTGGAGCGCATTTCAATGGGATACTTCGCTTGATTTCGCTTGACATGTGTGTACCATAAACTGACAAGGAATTTCGAACGCGTAGTTCGTTTTGGGAGAAAAACGAGTTGAAGATTTATCAGTTTTGGGAAATGAAGCAATTTACTTTCTGTTTATCTAGAGACATGAAATGATGAAGGATATGGAGATCATCGCTGTATTTCACTATTGGATGGTTTGCGATAAGTAATGTTAGAATGAGAATAGCCTGTGGGTTGACCAAGCCTTATTTCTGGCTGACTGGTCAAACAAGTCCTTTCCCATGCTCAAGCAAAACATCGTCATATCCCAAAACGAGCTATGCAACAGTCTTCCCATACCAATGTACGTGGGTCTCCTTACCGGTTCAGTGAGGAGCTTACTTGATTATTCTGTAACAACTGGGGACAAGTGTGACTAATGATATGCACAGAGTCACCCACAATCTCAATAAAGCTAATGATAGTCATCTTTCTTTTGTCTAACTGACGGTGTTTGTCGCATTCTTTGCGACTGACGTAAACGATCCTTTGTAATAGCTGAGGTGATATACCATTCACCACACAATTTACAGATGAGCAATTTAAACATAAATAAGCACAAGATGGATGGAAGATATAATACTCAAGCCTACCAAGGCAAAGTTACTGCTTCCCGTTCATCTCACAGAAAAAGTATGCGTCAATCACGAAAAAGTAAATTTAGGATGGGCAGGTAGAAAACTGGGGAATGCAATATTCCCTAAATGCAGCCAGCTAATTTTTTGCGTATCACTTGGGAACGCTATCAAACAAACTTTGGCCAGTGCATTTAAAAGTAAACTGCGTGGCGCGTTTTTACTCAAGGTATCATCAATCCACAAAACCTTTTTAATCGCTACCACTACCTTGTCTCAACAAGCAGAGTTTTCTGCTAATTCAAAGGTCGTCCTTACCCAGTCCATTCATTTTACGCACTCCTTGAAAACCGCCATTACCTCACCCCCCTCCCGCCTAGTAATTTACCATGATGATGTGCAGATCGCCTTCTATACAACATGCGACTTCACATATGTCCAACGAAATTCAGTCAAAGGATTCCGATTATGCCCGTGAAGATAATCAGCAAATGCTGCAAAGAGTGCTTGACATTGTGGAAGAATTGTCTGCAAGAGTCGATAGTATTCAGTCTGGCAAAAGTCGCCCTCCTGTAGACATTTACAAGCCGCTTCCTAAAGTACGTCTTAGTGGAGTACCAACCTTGTCTCTATCCGATGAGGACAGTTCACCACTTCCAGCTCGGCACTCACTTCTTATCAACCAGACCCATTCAGCTATTCTAGCCTTGGAAACGCTTGATATACAAAAGCCTCTTGATCCTCGTCATCCTGATGTGTATCAGTCCTATGTGGACGTACTGCAGACATTCAGTAACGAAACCCTCCCAGATAATCTATCTTGGACCGCTAATACTGCAGGAAGTCAGATGAGAGAGCTAGATAGCCGTTCCATGGACTTACAATCTCGTTATGCCCAGGCATATCTTCTGATGCAGTGTACACAAGCAGCTGCTCGTAATCCAAATGACATTGGTAAACTGATCGATGCTGTCAATGCCATCGCCCTTTATGATATGCAACGAGTCATTGAGATTCACAACGAGTTTCCATACAAGACCTTATCATCAGATACATCTTCAAGCCAGGACCACCTTCGCGACTCTGTGTCTACATACGATAGCTCCTATATCAAGGAGGAAACTCATGCCCCATTGTTCTCTCAAAAAGCAGGCTTAGCGTCAATGGAAAGCATTGAACTACAGCCTGCTGAAGACACTGCATCCAAATCAGTCTATTTGCCTTTGTTGGAGTACAAAGTCCAACTCATGCAGTCGCCTTCCGTTCCTTGCTTTAAAACTGCTGGCTATGTTGAAGAAGATGAAAGTATACCCATCTTTGACCACATTGAAAAGAAACATCAATCTATTAAGAAATGCCAATCAGCTTTGGAACTGGCTCGCTTTGCCCATGATGACGACTTTGACTGCGATCATTTACCCTCTCCCAGACCTCTGTTGGAGAATACAGACCCGGACTTCGATTTGCCAGCTAGGACACCTGTCGTCCTCTGTGAGGCGTTTAGCGAACCAACCGTACGAAGGAATGCCAGTGAATATCTCTATAAAATGCCAAGGTCTGATTCCTCTATATCCAGTTTTCGCCCCATCAGCAAGTCCCTTGCCTCTGCTAGAATACCAAAAGGCAATGCCTCCAAAAACCCAAAATTCGTTAGGTCTTTAGTCAAGAAGAAGGACTCTTTTGCTAAACTGTTCGCTACCGCGACCGGAAAACAGTTATAATTGTAGCAAACTGGAACCCAAAAAAATTAATTCTCTTCTCACAATGGAATTCCCTTCTGCAAAACAGCTCATCTACCACTAAGCGTTCATAATTTTGTTCAATCATATACTTATCCATAATAAACGTATCATAAATCAATCATTGGTTTCTAACGGACTTGCCAGAGTGACGTCAAATTGCTCCCTCCATTACCCGGAATCAAATGGATATCGCAGAAAATTAACCGAGTAGGCGTATGTTTTCTCGCGTTTTGTTATCTTCTTGTCAGCGCTCGCTACGAGGACTCAGCAACCGAGCATATAAACCAAAGACATCGCCACTTACAGCAGTCACTACTGCATTTCGACCATCTGCGTATTCAACACCATTTCGATACTTGTCCGCCATGACCGAAACTCCAAAGTTTACAAATCGCCTAGCGAAAGAAAAGAGCCCATATTTGTTGGTACGTTTGGCTTTTACACATATGTCAAAATGCAATGGTAGTCGACTGACAGGTTTACAATGCCATGACTATTTTACAGCAACACGGTAAGGAGAACAACTCAGCAACACACAGCGGGTTTTTTTACCACGCTAACAAACTCGAGGCAATCATGTTTACTGTTGATATTCTTTAGCACATAACCCGGTCGATTGGTATCCATGGGGAAAAGAAGCATTCGACAAGGCTGTGGCCGAGAATAAAGTCATTTTCCTCAGTGTCGGCTACAGCACCTGCCAGTATGTTTATTTCGTTTGTTCCTTTGGCGCTCTGGACTGCTCCTTTCCTAACCTTATTTGTATACAACTAAGCTGGTGCCATGTTATGGAGCATGAATCCTTTGAAAGTGAAGAAGTTGCTGATATCATGAACAAGTTTTACGTCAACATCAAAGGTAAACTTCCTGCTACATTTTTTAATTATAGACTCGAAGCGTACACTTAATTCTAGCATTACAGTGGACAGGGAAGAGAATCCCGGTGTAGACAAGATGTACATGACTTACGTTCAATTGACTTCTGGAAGAGGTGGATGGCCAATGAGTGTTTTCCTAACTCCAGACAAATATCCCATCTTTGGCGCAACGTATTTTCCACCTGATGACAAACACGGTCGACCAGGGTTCAAAACTGTCTTGAAGAGAGTCGCACAAATGTGGGAAGCGAATCCGGATACCTTGAAAGAAAATGCTACTGATACTATTGAGCAGCTCAGAAGTTATGCAGAGGTAGAGTACAATGTAGGTAATTCGAATGCAGTCTTTCAGGTTACTAAATCATGTTTCCATGGAAGCAATCTGGGACTGGATCTGCTGCCATGGACTTTTCAAAGATTACTTCAAGCGTTTATGAGCACTTGGAGTCGTCGTATGATAGCAAGCAAGGCGGTTTCGGCGGAGCACCAAAGTTTCCTACCTCTTGCCAATTTGCATACCTGTTGGACTATCATCATTATATGAAAAAAGAAGGCAAAAAGCAAGCTCAAAAGGCTTTGGATATGGTTCTTTTTACTTTGAAGGTAATAGTTGATTTATATCTGTATGTGGAATATCAGAGGTTCGTTTAATCAACTCTTGGCTTATATTGACAGAAAATTGCTCATGGCGGTATACATGGTAGGTGACGACATATGCTACAATTCCATTTTTAATGACTAGATATTTAACTAATCTTATTGACATTTAGATCATGTTGGAAACGGATTCCATAGGTAGGTTGCAGTTTGTGAAATAGTGTATACACCATAGTTGTTTTAAGTTGCTGATTTACGCCATCAAAATGTAGATATAGCACGGACGATCAATGGTAAGTTTGAAAATACCTTAAGCCAGATTGTACAGTGCAGAAGCTAATCGAATTACAGGCATGTTCCTCACTTTGAAAAGATGCTCTACGATCAAGCACAGCTCCTCTCAACCTATGCGTCTGCCTACAAAATCACTAAAGACGACTTCTTTGCGGATACCATGAGAGACATCATTAAATACGTCGAGCGGGATTTGCAACACGATGGCGGCGGCTTTTACTCTGCTGAAGATGCAGACTCATATCCAGAAAAAGGTGCTACCAAAAAACTTGGTATGTGGATCTACATATGGCATCTTCCATCATCTATTATAGCGGCTAATACATCCATATGAGTAGAGGGAGCATTCTGTGTCTGGGAAAAATCAGAGTTGACAGATATTCTTGGAGAAGACGATGCTGATATCTTCTCTCATCATTATGATGTTAAGAAGAATGGTAACGTTGATCCAGCACAAGACCCACATGGAGAACTGGAAGGCAAAGTAAGAAAATCCTCTCCATCCAAACCAATGTGCACTACATGCCACTGACCATCCTAAATAGAATGTTTTGATCGAACGATCGACTGCCTCAGAAACTGCGAAACAATTCAATATTACAGAGGATCAGGTGAATGATGTTCTTAACCGGTGTAAAGACAAGTTGTGGGCTTTACGACTGGAGAAGCGACCGAAACCTCATAGAGATGATAAGGTGAAATATTGTATGATAGATGGTATGATGTTGTAATTGTGACATTAACACCTTTGCTCTCTCAGATCTTGACTTCTTGGAATGGTAATGACATATATGTAACCTAGAGTTTCCCAATCATACATGTGTATATTTCGCTGACACCGTATGGTTAATTAGGTCTTATGATATCTGGACTGGCTCAAGCAGCTCAAGCGTTACAAGACCCGAAGATTGGCCAGTTAGCTGAGAAAGCTGCCCTGTTCATCAAGAATAACATGTATCAAGCGGATTCGTCTACTCTGATTCGAAGCTATAGAGAAGGACCATCCAGTATAGAGGGCTTCCTGGAAGATTATGCTTTTCTTATTCAAGGCCTCATAGACCTTTATGAAACTAGCCCTGACGAACAGTGGATAGAATGGGCAGACCAACTGCAAAAGAAGCAGGATGAAGTGTTTTATGACAGCAAAAATGGTGGATACTTCAGTGTAGCTGAAACGGACAAGTCGATATTGCTTCGAATGAAAGATGGTAAGGAAATGGACTAATTTGCTCATGATGGAAGAAGCGTCACTAATGATATTCCCTTTTCGTCCAACAGAGAGCGATGGAGCGGAGCCATCTGGGTATGTTATCGATAATCACTTACGCACTAGCGAACGCACACTCATTTTCCTTTTGTAGCAATGCTGTTGCCCTGAAGAACCTATTGAGACTCGGACAAGCTTTGGAGGATCATGCAATGATCGATCGTGCTGGTTTCACCGTCACTTCTTTCCATAGCATGTTGACTAAGTACCCGTTTGCTATGCCTGCTCTCGTATCTTCCTACATGATGTATGACAAAGGGGTCAAGCAGGTATAATCTTTGGCCAAGAACAGATACCTTCGCAGCAACACTTCTAATATTAGATTCCATTCACAGGTGATTACTTCTGGCCCCCTGGATGATCCGACTGTAAAAGAATTCCATCGATTGGTCAATGAAACTTTCCTTCCCAACAAATTGCTTGTGCATGCACAACAGGGAAGCTTCATAGCCTCCAAGAACCCTACCGTGAGCACATTGACTAACCAGGACCAAAAACCCTTGGTTCATATTTGTGAGAATTTCACCTGTGGAATGCCCATGGAAACGGTGGAGGAACTGGAAAAGTCGCTACAGTAATATCATCGTTTTTTTTTTTTTTTGTTTTGGCCTAACACGCCGAATAACATGACTGCAAAAAATATCTCTATTTCCTTTGTTTTGTCTCCGTACCTATATTCTTTGCGTTTATAACTTCATCCACCCGATAAAAATCTGTAATCAAACATGGACGAAAAACGTTTCAAATTAACTGACGTAGAAACGTGGAAGTCATGGAACCGGTTCACCAAAGACCGTGAGCATCATGTTGTTGTCATGCTAGGTTGCGGTGGATATACTGATATCTTCACTATTCAGTTCAATCGCACTCAGTAGACAAAGGACCTCCTAACTCTCTAGGCACATCCATCGATGAAGAAAGAAGAGATTATAGATTTGACAGATCTTTGATGGCTAGCCGATGGGCAAAAAGCGCATCGCTGTATCCGCCAGAAGTTCAAAGCATTGGCGATAGTACAGCAGAGTGGCTGAAAAATGGAGAGCAACAAGAAGATAACTGTGCCATAAGTAAGCCGCTGTCTAAACCTACTATCTTTGTTAAGCATTCCTGGCACTAACTAAATCAAATTCTAAATTGACAAAGATGCTGAATCAGAAGCAGAACAAATTGTAGTTACAAGATACACCAAGGATGAGATGATGCAATTTAATCCTGTAATGAACTTGACTTGGGTCTGCGTCGAATCCATTAATGCTCTGAACGCTGCACTGTTGTAAATTTAGTTCCTTTGATCATGCCAATGTCAATCTATAGTCTTCCAACTCTTTTATTTCTATTAGAAATAACAAGCTTTTAGACAGACACATCCTGGAATATGAAGAAGACGAGGAGCTTTGAAAAGAACCCTTATCGAAATGCATTCAATACGAAACCAAATATAGCTGCTCAATACAATTTATCATATCTTTCTTTGGTACTCTAAGGATAAATGAAACTAGCGTTTATGCTTTCAATAATTCAATAAAGAAACATCAATTTAGAGGAATATCGGCAGTACAACTGCTCTCGGGGGATTACAGCTTTCGAAGGAATATGTCTTTAGACCGTTGAAACCAGTATAAATCTGCCTTCAATTATGCACTAGATCTTGTATAAAAATAATCAAAAATATAATTATTTGTTCGCTCTCAATTAATGTTTTATTTCAGAAACAGGCAGATGGACCTTATGCATGCGGCCGAAAATTCAGAAGCACGTCGGCAGATCGGGGGTTCTGGCTGCGGTGGTAGACAAGTCACAATTTTTCAAAAGTAACCTCGAAATAAGCCACGGAAGTGGACAATCTTCACGACACAGGCAACATGTCGACGCAACCACGACTGTGCAGAGAAATAGTGCTGGAGCACTTTGGTCCCATCGTGGAGGTATGTGAAACAGTTGAAAGGATAGAAAGAACACGCTGATGAATGGCGCATTTACCCGTTGATGTACCCTTGCAGCAAGTGGCACAAGTCCTGTTAACGAAGGGTAGACTGACACTGTCTGGCATAGTGCAATTCACCCAAATGCCTGTCAGGACCGTTCGAGAAGCCTTAGTAGTCATGATACAACACAATATCTGCTTCTATGCCGAGGCAAGGGAAGGTTTACGCCAAGTTTGCTTTTACAGCATTGGACAGGACGAGATTCTTCTACGACTACGAATTGGTCGCATTATATATTGGGCTGGCGAATGGTTCGGAAAGGAGGTTTGTAGGAAGTCATTACCTTATATAAGGATGATTTCATGATGCTGATCCTCGTTCTCTAGGCGTCAACCATTACACACCTCATGCTATTGAATGGACGTCTGACACTCAAAGATTTAAAACAGTGGGTGACGGATAACGAGTCTTCACCTCAACAGAGTGAGTAGAATGCATTTAAATTGATGTTGAAGACATCACCTAGCCTCATTCTAATTGATTTGAATCATTTCACTCTGTTCATAGAAATCGTCGTTTATGAACAAAAGTTTTCACAGCTTGCATCAAAGCGATTTATTACTGCTGTCATGCCTGAGGATAGTAAAGCACGAATTGATCGACAGTTGGAAGCAGAGGCTAGAGCTGTCAATGAAATCTTGCTTGGACCCAGTACGCGCGAGAAGGCTGAGATCGAGGTCAAAGTTCAACAGCAACTAGAGGATGAGGATCAATCACGACAAATGATCGGAATGGTAATGACATCTTGATATCGACATTATGTAATTATCATCTTTACTTACTATGATGCTTATTCCAGAAACGAAAAGTTACTGAAAACATGGATGATGATGTATCAGCAAGCAAGGTAAGTTATTTGCAATAACATCGGTTGTTGCTGATTCAATGATTTTCTCATGAGTACTGTTTCTACAGCGTTTCGCGTTTACTGTTGAGATGGACGTTGAGGATGATGTATTCTTCAGAATCAACTATAAGCAATTCACAAAATACTTTCGCAACGAGGTATGTAACAATGTCTTCCATCCACTTTCTAAGACTTTCACTAATGACATTCAACTCGAAACAGGCTGTTATCGACCAAGCTACTGATGTTATCAACCGAGGTGCAGGACAAGTTCTTCGTTTGTTTTTGGAACAAAGTGATAGCTTCACTGGTGGCATTGGCAAAGAAGAATCGCGTAAGTAGTTATTGATAGGCTGCACTCCTCTTTTCCGGCTATTAACACGTCTTTGTAGAGCCAACATCTGCATTACATGTGGCGTCAGTTTTACCCCACGACATGCTTACTGATAGCGGTCTGGACTCACGCGAGGACTCTGTACATAATGACCGTCCCACTGCCGCAGACATAGTTACAGAATACTTTGAATTGCTTAGACAATCTCCAGCCCGGTTTATCAAGCGAGCAGACAACAAAGGTCATAATTTCTTTGTTGTGGACTTCAAAAATATACGTTTATACATGATGAGGAAGCTTTTCGACAAACTCTTAAAATCAAGATTTGGAAATTCCACCTGTCGTATTGCCCGCATCTTGATCGAAAAGGGGAAACTTGAAGAGAAACAGGCAAGTTTCGATGTAATGAATGTTCATGGGCTACAACAGTTTTTCTTACATGTACCATTTCAACAGGTGCAAAAGATGGCCATGTTACCAGCAAAGGACACCCGAGAAAAGTTGGCATTGCTTTGTACGCATGGTATTTGTGATATCCAAGAAGTTCCCAAATCAGCTGATAGAGCACCATCAAGAACCATTTTTCTTTGGTTTGTTTCTCTTGACAAATGCTATCAAGAACTATTGATTGATTTATACCGGTCAATTGCCAATGTCAGACAAAGAATCCGTGTTGAACTGGCAACTCGACAACGACTATTAGAGAAGATGGAACGAAAGGATGTCAGCGAAAACCAAGATTTGCTTAGCGCTGGTGACAAGAAGGCTATAGAGGAACTCAACAAGAAGGTTGAAAGACTCGAAGTATCTGCAGGAAGACTAGATGAAATGGTTATGGTGTATAGAGATTTTTAATGATTTTATAACCGAGCTCTCTATCCCAAAAAAAAATAAAAAAAAATTTACCATAGTATAAAAATTTACCGCCTGTTTCCAACCTGACTTCTTCTATCATTTCTGCAATGTCTTACATGTTGCCTAGAGCAAACCGGACATTGCTTCTGCGAAGTCAATGTTGGTATTCCCGAGCCAACACCTTAACATTATTACGTCCAACTACGTCTTATTTCTATCGAGCTCACAGTACAAAGCATGTGACCCATGCTGATACCGCAGCGACGAATTCCGCCGGCCCTGAATTCGTGTCCAAGTACTACCAACCTCGCAAAAGTGAAATCATGGACTTTTTATACAGTCATCAGCAGATGCCTGTACCTACTTCGAATAATACTGCGGTTATCGCAAAGTGTCCACAATGTATGAAGGTGAAACGAAATAGCTTTACTGCACACGTCGACCTAGAGCACGGCAATTATTCATGTCGGACGTGCAACACAAAAGGATCATGGCAAGACTATATTAAGGCGTTTCGGAAGAAGAAAGGAGACAACATTAAAGCCATTTCAACATCGGATATTCGCGGTGATCGCAAAAGTGCACGGTTTTCGCGACCAATGAACGAGATTGAGTTGTATTCCACGCAGCTGCAAGGAAATCCCTCTATTCTCGAGGATGTTTGTATTGATACCAGACTTACCAAGGAAACCCTTGAAGCTTACCGTGTTGGATTAGCGGAATACTCATCTGCTGAATCCAAACTTGCTGCAGCAGGAGACGGCGAACCGAACCACACTCAATGCATCACATATCCACAAACTACTCTTTCATATGGAGATAACCAAAAATTTACAATTGAGACAACCAGATTGAAAGCATGTCATTTGGACAATGTTCAGCAGCCAGTTGCATTCGATCCTGTTGCGCCTATCGCCACTGGACTTTTCGGCTATCATGTTGCACCTGCCGAAGCTGAAGCCGTTATCATCACTCGAAACGAACTTGACGCCATGTCAGCATATCAGAACACCGGCATTCCTAGTTTCTCATTACCGACTTCGGTTTACCAGCTTCCACAGACGGTGTTGCCACTACTAGAGCGGTTCTCTAAGATTTACTTATGGTTGGATGATGATGTTGACGGACAGCTGGCAGCCGAAACGTTTGCACATAAGCTGGGCGAGTCGAGATGTTTCATTGTTAACACACGCATGGGTGATGCTCAAGGACCGTTGACCGCTCACCAAGCACTGTTGCAAAACAAAAATCTGAATGACATTTTGTCCAAGGCCAGCATCTTACAACACGACCAAATCGTAGATTTTCATGAATTGCGCGACGAAGTCTATCGAGAATTCTTAAGCCCAGACCAAGCCAAGGGGGTTCAATCAACCGACCTGCCGGCTTTGAATGCGGTTCTTAAAGGACATCGTCCTGGAGAGCTTACTATTCTGACTGGACCTACTGGTGTTGGCAAGACAACCATTATCAGTCAATTGAGTCTGGACTATTGCAAAAGTGGTGTGACAACCTTGTGGGGAAGCTTTGAAATCCTGAACAAGCGACTTGCCAAGAAAATGCTGTGTCAATTTGCGGGAAAAGATCTGACCAAGGCACCAAATGAATTCGATGTTTGGGCAGACAAATTTGAACAGGTAAAGTTAAACGTTCACAAAACGTACTAATGGTTGGCTGCAAAAAATAATGTTGGTGCCATTTACTGATATTTCCTTTATTTGTCGGTTATAGTTACCACTGTACTTTTTGAAGTTTTTTGGAAGTACTTCCATCAAAGATGTTATTCTTGCTTGCCAGCATGCAGTTTATGCCTACGATGTTCGACATATTATTCTCGATAATCTACAATTCATGTTATCTCAACAAGGCAGGTCATCGCTGGATAAATGGGACATACAAGATGAGGCTATAGCCGAACTTCGTAAATTTGCAACGAGTAAAGATGTGCATATAACTCTGGTCGTTCACCCTCGAAAGGAGAATGCTCCTGCGCTTGATATTAATTCTGTGTTCGGAAGTGCCAAAGTGACCCAAGAAGCCGATAACGTGGTCATTATACAAAAAAATTCCCAAGGTGAAGATTTGCGATTCTTAGATATTAAGAAGAACAGGTAAAGTTTATAGAGTTATGTCCAAAGTGCCGGGAACATACTTACTTAATTGTGAGCGTACAGATTTGATGGAACTTTAGGATCCATACCTTATAAGTTCGATAATGCTACAATGAAGGTAAAAGACGTTTGTTTGAGCACGACAATTTCTGCCATAAAATGACTGACAACCTCTTTGATATGATCAGATTCGAGGCTATACGCAACAAGAAATGAATGATTTGAAACGTCGGACACAGAGTAGTCAAAAGAGATCGTATGACTATGATGAGGGCAATTACAATCTCGCCGCCAATATGGCACAGGACACCTTCTAGATCAGAAGAGTGATGTTATGTATTTAATTAATGACAAATGTACGCTCTTTCTTTTTATTGTATCATAATAATAGCAATTTCCATAAGATTTAGAAAGAAATGTCGATTTTATATCACTGTATGAGAGATATGGTTTGCAATTGATATTTTTTTCCCTCATCTTCATTTACACACGATTCTGTATGTTCAACTGGTCGTACATATCCTGTTTTGGCAGATGTTCTTCCAGCAGATCAGCTATGCATCTGAAAACCACAAGGACTTACAATGTCTTTCCTTTAAATATGAAGTACACCTCCATTGTGTGATATCCCAATGGTAATAATCAAAAGGAAACCAGCAAGACGGGGCCTTGCATGAACGAGGGGTTCCACCCGTGACAATATGTGACTGTCAGACAACGCCCGTCGAAACCGCGGGAAAGCATTTACAACAACGTTAGCAAGTGAGCCGTACATTTTGCAAGCAATGAAAACGGAAACTCAAGCAGAGAAGCGTAAGAGCATAAGCGAACTCCATCGAAGTAGATACAAGCGCAACAGCATTTCGAAAACCAATGAAGAATCCCGACGTCGCCGACTGGCCATTGACCAAGCACTTCGCCGAAAACATCGCGAACAGCTTATAACTGCAAAGCGGTTCCGGCACTTGACTCAGAAAGAAGAGTATGAGAGTGCTGGAGAGGATGACGGTTAGCTATCCCATCAATGACGCTTGTTTGAAAAAATGAAAGAACGTCTTGATATCTAGCTGGCTGATTTCCTAACGCTTTGACTTTTGTCTTCTGCCTAGGAGACTACCCGGTCAATTACGAATTGAATACTCACGATATTTCCAAACTTGAGGAGGAGTTGAAGAGTAGTTCCCACGAAGTTCGACTTGATGCCGTGAAGTTTTTGGGAAGAGCACTTTTCGATCCATCGAAAGCGGTGCACGACTTTGTAGTTGATGGCGATTGTGTCAATTTACTCACGGTAAGTAGATGCGGCTATTTGCAAATATCTCATGATCTGTATTAATCTGTTGCTTTTGAAATTCACATTAGCAACTTTTGACTGCTGGAGATCCAGATGAACAGCTCCAAGCTGTCGTCGGCATAACCAGTAAGCCATTTGGAACATTGGTCCATCATAAACTCAGCATGAAAACTCAGCAATGAAAATTTATGATCATTAGATATTGCTGCTGGATCTTACGAATTTTGCATTAAGGCTACATCCACTATTCCATACCTTGTCTCGTATCTCAAGGAATCCAACGTAGTAAGTGTTCTTTATATATGATGGTGCGGATAATGCATCTTGTTTATTGAATACAAAAACATTCAGGCATTGCAAGACCACTCTGCATGGGCGCTAGGTAATATGGCAGTGGAAAGTGATGAAATAAGATCAATGCTGAGAAAGAATGGAGTCCTACAACCTTTGGTCAATTTACTCGATTCCTCGGTACGAAAGCTTTTTTATCCTTCTCTGAATATCGTGGACGAGATCATTGACACTCCATATAGGATTCCAACTTGGTGCAAACTGCTTGCTTTGCTTTATCCAACTTGGCTCGTGGTCCGAATGCACACCTTGAAGAATTCTTTCAAGCCGGTATTAGCCCTAAACTGGCATCCCATCTCATCAATAACACAGTAAGGACCCCCTTGCTTGACGTGATGCTCTTCTTGCTTGCTATTTTTGAGACTCTTTACTTATTGTGTTTCTGATCATGATAATAGCCTGACACCGTTACTGAAATATGCTGGGTTCTGAGTTATTTGACGGCTGGAAGCGATCAGTTCATTGGGCAACTGTTGAATGAAGGAATTGCACCCTTGCTTGTAAGATATTTTTTTTCTCGGCTATGTCTTAGCCATTTCCATATTGATCTGTAGGAAACAAAGATCACTATCATGGATGATTCCATGCATTCTAACTTCATGCATTGCTATATAGGTCCAAAATATGGAACCGCTACACTCACAAGGTGCACTGGCTTTACCTCTCATTCGTACATTTGGCAATATTGCAAGTGGGCCAGACGACTATACTGATATCCTCATCAAGGAGCAAATATTCTTACCTGGTATTATCAGCTTTTGCCAGTCAGATTGCAGGTACGGCATATTTGTGCTCCATTTTAGTCGGAGGTTCAGAACACCTTATTTAAAACCATGACATTGTTCCTCATAGGCCTGTCAAGAAGGAATCGCTTTGGGTCCTTTCCAATATTACAGCTTCGTAAGTGCAGCTACACCTTTGCATAGCCAAACGTTCTTTGTTTCAGTGTTGCTGATGCTCTCTTTTTTCATGCTATTAGCCGCCGCCCCGAAGTCCTTGAAAAGGTCATTCAAGCGGGCGCCATCCCAATTCTAACCGAAATTGCCTCACATACCAATTTCGACATACGCAAAGAGGTATTATGACAGTCTGATTAGGCTCAGCTTACTATCAGTCATGCTGCTCATACTAACTTGCTGATGAAGGCGGCGTTCAGCTTGACCAATATTGCCTGCCATGGAACCAAGTACATACAAGCGTTGCCCAACAATGTTTTACTACCAGGTAGGAAAATGTTATCTATAAACAGTGTGCTGTGAACAAATTTAGTGATGTGAAAATTTCAACAGGATATTTGGAATTTGTACGGTCAGAGGATCCAGAGCTGATCAAACTCGGTTTGACATATCTGCAATTGCTGCTGACCCATGTGCCTGAGGTAATGTCAACTCCCGTCATCTTCCTTTTCCAATCATTTATCTGATAATTTCTGTTCTGTAGGGAAAGTCGCTTATGCAATCCATTCCTGATAGCATCTATGCTCTTGAATCAGTCACACTCAGCACCCATTCCGATTTGTGTCGAACCGCCAGCGTTTTGATGGACACTTATTTCGGAGAAAACAACGAAGGCGTTGAACAAGATATACTTGCCTGAAAGGAGGTGCTGTGTCGATATAGGAAGTACGATGTATAGCCCAAAAAAATGAAAGGGACCAAAAAAAAAAAAAATAGGTGTAAATAAATTCTTGCTTTTTCATACTTACCCCGTTGTCATAGTTCATTCACACTTTTGATGGACTGCTTTGCACATCCACCATAACATATCCGAATAAAGGGGGGCTATGCGATACCAGGGTAAAGGCAAGCAATAAGCGTTGCAGAGAATCAATTGAACATTATAAATACATTTTAGTTTTAAAGGTGCAATATGAGAAATAATAGTTATCTATGACTCTGAGAGAGTCTACTGTGATTTCTAACTTGCCGGTATGGGCAGGCGGTTTACTTTCTTGCTGTGATGACGATAGGGTTTTCGTTGGGTGTGGCGAACATGCCGAGGGCATATACAACAGGGTCGACAGGCTTGCTCTTGTCACGCAGCTCAACATTATAGTGCTTCAAGAGCGTGATCAAAACAATCTTGATTTCATGAATGGCAAAGAAACGACCAGCTGTAGCAAAAGATGAATCAAGAAGGTCAGCAAACCTGTAATACTCCTCCCCGCAAGAAAATGCTACCCCAAATATATATGGACACTTACGACACATATGCTTTCCAAGACCAAAAGCAATGTTATCACGACCGGTCTGTGTTGCTTCTCTCTTGGTCTCTGTGAAGGGATCCATCTCATCAAGAGTTGAATCAACAGTGTAGGAATCGAACATGATACGACGACTCAAAGATTGAACCAAGCGGCCCTTGGGAATTTGGTATCCGTTCATGAAGGTATAGTCTTCCATCGCCATTTTACCGGTAGCTAATTTGTCGACACCGAGACGAAGGACTTGACGCAAAAATCGGTCGAGGAAAACCATTTCCTTCAAGGATTCGTCATTGATTTTATCATTGTGACGAGCAAGAACTTGATCGATTTCCTGGCGAAGTTGGTCGCAAACATCAGGTCGGCAAAGGAGCCAGAACAAACCGAAGCTTAGATTCTGACTGGTCTGTATGCGTCCAAAACAAGAAAAAAAAAGCGTTAGGTTCTAACCCTTGCTTGTGAACATAAATTTGTTTACAGGCAATACTTACAGTATGAACGGAGGCGAAAGCGATCAGCAAAACACCATCAGTGATTTCCTTGTTGGTGAAAGTCTTGCCATCAGGATACTGATATTCAATAAGCTCCTGAAGGTAATCGCATTTGCTACCACGCTCGAGTTCACCGTCACGAAGCATCTTTCTTCGCTTCTCCACAACGGGATCAACATGGGTATCCATGCAAACCTTATGGCGGTTGAGTGATTGCAAATATGGAAGCATTGGTTTGTGGAGGAACTCCGGTAAGACTTGCCACAAGGGAACATTGCGAGTGATATCGTTGGTGAATTGAGCAAAAGTATCAATGACTTCGCGGTTCTTGGCGACCTCTTCACCGATGAGAATGCGAACACTGATAAAAGCTACGAGCTCTTGAAGAAAGACAGGAGTGTTTTCGACGTTGAGAGGCAGGTCGGAGGCAATTTGAGAAAGGCCATAATTGACGGATTCAACGATTCTTGAGGTGAAGTTTGGCATTTTGGATGGAGCTAGAAGTAGCTTGATGATAGCAGGGTTTGCAGTAAATCCTAGGAAAAAGGTATCCTTGTTGAACACGTAGTTAACGTGGAGAGTTTCTAGCGCGCAAAAATGGGCGAAGGTAAATTAACATAGGACAACTTTGGCTAGGAGACTGAACCCGTTACGCTACAAGTAACCTCTCTTACCTGTCAAAACACCATGCTCCAAAGACAAGACGTGTCCATCCTCCTTCATAACCTGTTCGGCGATCTTTCCCCCGGCAACCGTAATGGTCTTTCCAAGGATATCCAAGTCAAAGGTGTCACCATAGTTTGCAACGCACCAGTCAAGAAACCTGTTGGCGTTGAAAGTCATGTACAAAGTATGTCCAACGAGTGGCAATGAATAAGCGACCTTGCGAGGCATATTGAGATGGCTGTACTTGGACTTATTAATCATCGAAGTGATGTTGTACAGCGTCAAGAGAGTGGCAGCGCCAACAACAATCAAGTCAGTAGGCGTGGCTCTGTTGTATAACTGGACAGCTTGGGGAGCATGTTGGTTCAGCAAGTCAATAGACTTTGATATCAGAGTGGAGAAATCCATTGGGTTTTTTAGTGACTGAATGAGAAAGAACAAAGAAGTGAAGTGAGCAAGGGTAATCATTTTTATGTATCACTTTTTAGTAAATTACTCTCCGCAGGTGAGCTTTGTCTCCGTTCTCTGCAGTTCCAATTTTTCACTCTCAGCAAATTGTCGCTCGCTCGGTCAGCACTTGCGACACTCGAACTGTCTGCCCTGGTAACCGATGCCCAAATGTACCATTGAGGAAAAAAACCAGTCATTCTTATCTCATAGGCGCGGTAACTTACTTTACACCTAGTCCTTACAAAACATTACATGTAAGTGATCATGCGCTGAAGATGCTCATATAACTTTTCATACTTGAGGTGTATGCTTCACACTATGCCAAAATGCCAACAAGCACTATCTATTTTACATTTACACTTCAGATGTTTCTTTTAAAAGCAACCACTTTCCAGCACAAAAGTTTTCATTGTTTTTTTTTTTTTTGTTGGCTTTATTAGTCAAGCATTGCTATCGACATGGCAAGAATAAAAAAATATTTGAAACAAAAAGAAAAAGAAAATGTCTTTACACTTTCAGTTTCCAATTTTTTAATGCCCCCAAATACAACAACAACGTTGCTACCTAGATAGACACTATCGCATCCATTTCCTTACTGTTGGGTGGAGAGAATTTCACTGTCACCTTGGTCAGTGATGGAAAGGACGGAGGTGCGGAAGAGCTTACCGCAAGCGGTACCGAGCTCAATGTTGTTGCCATTGTAGTGATGGACAGGAGTCTTGGAAAGCATGGCATAGTACTCGATCTCGGACTTGCGGAGAGGAGGGCAGTTACCAGCAATGATGACGAGCTTGGCTAAAGGAGGAAAGGGGTGTGGGTGTTAGCCACAACGAAAGGGACGATCTCTGCTCGGAATGAGCTCCTGTCCCTCAAAGACAAGATGTCTAAGAAAATCTACTTACACTTTCCGTGACGGAGAGTCTTCAAGGTGGTCTTGTAACCAAGAGTGTACTTTCCAGACTTGGTAACGAGCTGGAGACGGGAGTTGATGGACTCGACGGTCTTCTTGGTCTTCTTGACGGGGGCCATTGCGAGAGAGAACTGGGAGCAAAAGAGGAGGAACAAAAATTTTTCACTGTCCTCATCATATTAGAATTTTTCTGGTGGCTTGCGAATACCAGTCACTTAGGCTGTTAGCAGCCAACTCAGACCAACCCTTTTTTTTTTCTTAAGCGATATGTTCACTGTCAGAAGTGTCTACCGAACAGCTCATGATTTTTAAAAGAAATGCCTATAAATTTTCAAATAAATGATTAGATACTGAAGTTTCAAATAGTCCAGGTCAAATTATGTTTTTACCCAACTTTCTCTCTGATTTGGCAGTCCTAACTCAGCTAAGCCACTCAATTTTTTTGGGACCTGCCATTCTGGGCCCCTTGTCAAATGCACAAGTTTGAAGCATACTCAGCTGCACACAAGATGTTCAAAGCATTTCAACTTACTTACAGTTTGCCTCGATGCGCTGCCCTCAGCCCAGCATTAGTTCGATATGCATCCACAGCCAATGGCTTCAAGCCTTCCATTAAGCTCCTTGCCAAACTTCGACAAGAAACCGAAGTATCCATGTCAAAAGCAAAAGAAGCCCTAGTTAAGGCTGAGAATGACTATGAAAAGGCTCTTGCTTGGCTTGAGGAGGATGCCAAGGTTTCCGGTGCCAAGAAGGCGCAAAAGGTTGCTGGTAGAACTGCTGGTGAAGGCTTGATTGCTATCGCCACCGTCGAAGCTCCCGGTCGCGGTGAAGGAGGCGTTAAGAGCAGAAGCACGATCATCGAGGTCAGTTGTGAGACTGTAGTTTCGGCGGAATTGTATGATCATGAAAATGCTAACTTGTTCTTTTTCAATGATATAGCTGAACTGCGAAACAGATTTTGTGTCTCGAAACGATCTCTTCAAGAATTTGGCCACTCAAATTGCTTCAACCTCTCTCTTCGTTCCTGATGTCTTCCAAAACCTCGACAAGTCAAGATTCATCCACCATATTCCTGTTGAATCTTTCATCAACAGCCCAATTATGCCTCATCCTTCATCAGCATCTGCAGACGCCTATGCCTTGTTCAAGACAGTCCAAGAATCTATCGTTGAGACTATTGGCAAGCTTGGTGAAAACATCACACTCCGCCGCGTTGCTGTTGTTGCCGACCCTGAATCAGAATTGCAACAAATTCCCAAGCAGCACGACAGAACTATCCTGGCTTCTGCATACACTCACGGTGGTGACAGCACCACTGGCAAGATCGGAGGTATTGCTGTGCTTGGCCTTTCTGGCGGACCTGCCTCATCGCCAGCTTTGTCTAAGCTGTCTCGCAACGTTGCTCGTCAAGTCGTAGGATTTAATCCTACATTCCTCAACGAATCACAAGCTGTCGTTCCAGAAGGAGCCGATAAGAAGGAGTTTTTGGAAACGAATGTCTTGACTCACCAAAACTATATGCTCGGTGGCGGTACGGTTGAAGAAGTCGTGGCCAAGACTGGCAAGGACGAAGGCGTAGACTGCGAGGTCATTGACTATGTCAGATGGGAAGTCGGTGAAGGTATCGAGAAGGCTGAACAGGATTTCGCCGGTGAAGTCCTTCGCGCCGTCAAAGGCAACTAATTAACATCAAACTGGATAGACTGCAATAATGTATTTAGAAGAGATTGCAACTTCTGCTGCACATAACATTATAATTTTTTTTTTCATTTCATAAAATAACACCATCATCACAATCGTATTGGCTATATCATTAAAAAAATATATCGTAGTAACAGATAGCATTTCTAGGGTGTGAATTTATTGGCAAACCGTTCGACGTATCATTTCGAGATATACATGGGCGAAGATATATTTATTGCAACAGTATAGCGATTATAAATAAGGCTACTATGAGTGAATTCCTCAATATGGGTTGGGATATGGGCTTGTATATTGCTTATCTTGCATGTAATCCAAGTCGCGAAGTGGTACATGCTGTCTGAATCGCTTCAATCTTGTCGAGTAAGCACCGACCATAGCAGCAAAGTAGAGCTGGAATAGATGGATGTTTTAATAGAATTCGCCGCTCTATGTTTATGAGAGATACATTAGTTATTACCTGAATACCGTTACCAACAAAGGTCAATACACCGACAACAATGGTAAGAATTTTGAGAATGTTGGTACAGTAGTCGTCGATGCTTTGTTGGTTTGAAGGTATATTGACGGAGCTGTGATAAGGCGAGCCGTCGGCTGTGGGGGGACCACCCTGCTCGTTCCAGAAGGTAACGCAGTTGTTGTGCGCATCTTGCTCTCTGGCCAACAACAAAATGAAGGCTGCAAGTGACACTCCGAGAGTTAAGAAGGCCATGATCCAATTGAAGGTGTTGAATAGCAAAACCATACCACGACGTTGCTACGGTACGACTGTGATCAGTAATAAAAACTTGTCCACTTAGCATCATTATCGACATTCTTACGGTCAGGACACCAATCAGGCCGAACAAGGACGCCAGAAGCCAAACTATTGAGACGGCTACCGAGGACCAGAATATCGCATTTACTCCGTTTATACGATTGTCGACTATACTGTAATACTCTGCAGGTAGTATCTATATTTAGCAAGCATGTAGCTTTGTGTTGGATTTGGTTGAATGAACACTACTTGCCGTTTTTATAGACAAAGCAAAGGATCAAGCTGGACCCATAGAAAGCCTACGAGTTGCGTAAACTGTTGGTGATATTGCGATGTGTGCTTCAAACTGATGCTAGTTAATATCTTACCAATGAAAATGTGGCAATAATGCCTACTCCCACTCTGTGAAAATTATGTTAGGCCCTGGTCTTTATCTATATGTCATGTCTACACTTTACTTGCCTAAGCGGAATGCAGCAACAGCAGGTAGATGTTACCATGTAGGAAGTAAAGGAGAAGGTAAAGAACTAATGAAGTGGCGGTGAAAAAGGGACGATTCAATTTTTATGATCTTTGCTTAAATGAAAGAAAAGGCTGGCTTCCGGGCTGTGCTTATTCCAAGGGGTGACTATGGTGGCTGCCGTATTGTACGTAATAAGCGCAAGAGGCTCATCAACGGAAGATCCTTTATGCTTCTAGCAGCAGTTTTGACGATATTGTTCACAGTGAGAGCAAAGTATGTAATGTACCGTTGTCTTACTTACTGAACCTCCCAGTTTTTTTTCCTTCTCAAAACATGAATAAACCACAAGTTATGTGTCCCAGTTACCACCTTTCAGTAATCAGCCACTACTGCGGATTTGCAAGGCATGATCTATCAATATCCTACAACCTACGCCTTGCGGCAACGATTATTACACTCACTGCAAATCATCTTTTCTGTTGACAGTTCTATCTTATTTGCATGTACTGGTGTTGCTTCTTCCGCGTCAGCAAAGCGAGCCGCTTTTGTTTGCATGTTTATCGTTAAAAGCCTTATGTGGCTGACGTCCTGTTGAACACAGCCACAAGGCCATTCCCTTCGGCTGCCTCGTGACTTCTAGCTTCTGTGAGCCCACTTCCATTACATTGCAATCCTCCTGTCTCAAGCAGTCCACGATTCAATGGTTTCTTTTATTTTCTAGTACAAGACTACGACTGTGGCAAGATGTACTCAGGTACTTGATGCCATTGCAATAAAAGGGTACTAGAAGGGCTGTTAAAATTGCTGAGGAGCGATTGTAAGTGTGTAATGATCATGAAGGGTTTGTTGGAAAGCTGGAACGTTGTCACTTGGTTTTCAGATCGAACAACCGCCGAAGAGAAGTGATTTCTTTATATGTTTTGAGATGGGTGGTGACTTGGGTGATTTTGCTTGTTTACCAGAACGCGCGCCTGCTAATCAGCCTATTATTAATTTTTTAACTTCTTTATTTTCTACCATTTAGAAAAATGATTGGGCTTGTGAGGATTGCTAGTTTGGAGATGTTTTTATGTTCACTACGGACAAATTTAATCTTAGCTATTAATTCAGGCAGGTCTTATTCAACCATCCTTCGAATTTATTCAGCTTGGCGAGCAAAAAATACCTTGCGTGACTCTATACATCTACATTTGCAAATCAGGTAAAAACAATTAAAAATTAAACATCTGCGTGACATTAAAAGACAATAAAACTGAAATGAACGCATCCAAAAATAAAAAGATTCATAGAGCTCATATCTATGATTACTTTCTTTACACCTACTTCTTTTTTATTGCTATTTTCCTAAGAAAACCCCTTCCCGTCCTTACAAACAAACCCAACTATGCAAGATAATTTTACCCAGAGCATGCAAGGTCAATTCATGGCTAACGTATCTTTACAATCTCTTTCCTTGAAATCCACAAAGCGTCGCAGTTACGATCCAAGCTTATCTCGTAGAGAGCAGCTTTACTTAGGGACTCCTGAGCAGGTACCCAACCAACGCAAAATGCGGCGAAGCTCATCAGCACAACCTCTATACCCATCTATGCTATCAATTCTTGAACAAGACATTCAGCGACCAAAAAGTGCTTCTCGGCCGCTGCGTACTCCTTCTCCAAGCTCGTCATGTAACTCCGACCCAGTCACTGGCTCTCTAGCAAGCATAAAATCTTCTACCATGAGTATGTTTAGCACGTTGCAAGAAGCTCTAGTCAGGGCCGAGAAAGCTGAGCTCCAAGCGAAAGAAAGTCAATTGAAATGGTGTAGGACTGTTACGGAATTGGATCGTCTCCGGGATGAAAATCTGCTGGTCAGAAATCAATTCGAAAATAGTCAAGCTGAATGTCACCGGCTGCAGGATCTTTTAGAACAACAATCATGTCAGTCTACAAACTCGGTGGCCGAAGCTCCCTCCGTCTCCAGCAGTTCCTCCAAAATGAAGTATCTATTGGATAAATTTAGTAGGAAAGCTAGGTAATGTTCAAAATTTTATCTCAGAAGCCGGCGGGGTAAAAACAAACATTCATCCTTTACATAACTCCATTTCAGGTCACTGTCGAGTAACATGGTGAAAAGAATGCTCCAATTTCCTGTCAAATTTTAACCATTTACCATAGAATGCATAACCTCCAGTTCATTTGAAGCTTGTCAAAAAAAAGTCTGTACATATTCTTCTCATAGAATGAAGTCCAATTTGGTACCTCATTGTTAATAAAAACAAAATGAAATAGTTTATCCGCCTGCTCACGCACGCTGCGCACTGGCATTGACAGTGTTTAATTTTCTTCTTTTCATCCGATGTTGAAATGTTTGCATAACTGCGAGTTCAACAGTGTGTTAAGCTCAACAAATAGGTAATGTCAAAACGATGCTCTTCTATCATTTGGATAAACATGTTAGAGAAGGTTGTTACAAATTCACCTCAGTTTTCCACAGAAGTTTACTACCGAGCACTGAATGACACGACGATAGAACTATTAAAATTTTGTTTTTAGAAGCATGAGGATTTTATCAGGTTCGGTCTCCCACCCACCACAGCTGTGCTCACCAACATATAAGATCAAAAAACGAATGACTGGAAAACAGTGAGGAGGATCAAGTGTCATTTACTCGATATTTGTGGATCTAGTCAAAATTGAGCTGTTCCGTGTCAATTCTTATGTTACGCGCAGGAGATAAGTATGAGGGGCGTTGACGAATAATTTGCTATTATAAAGGTAGAGGGATTTTGCATTATGTTTGGTTTAAACCAGACACGCTAATTGATGGGAAGGATGATAAACGTACTTCCAGGGCATTACCCAGTAGGCACGAATTAAAGCAAAAATCTCCATAAACGTAATTGCTCATGCTGAAAACTCGGTAAGGGGATATGGGGTATCGTCGCTTTGCATGTTCCACCATTTAGCAAGCAAGTAAGCAGAGTTTTCCCGGCTCTAGACCATGCTTTCAATACAAACCCCTTCTTCCGAAATGTAAAAAGCCATTGCATTAGGTTAGGAGTACACGAGATTAATACGTCAGATCATGATTCCACTTCAGTGATACTTCACGGCGTCCGTTGAATTAGTATCAATTACCAAGCCATTCTCAATCAAGAAATTGGCCTTCTAGGATCGCATTTCCCATAGGGCTGTACGGTCGCTTTTGGCTTTTCTGAACTTTTGAGATCATTTTGTTGACAGGTTGCGGGCATGGCTCTTTTTTTTGTTGAGGTGGTAAGGAGGGTTCGAAGTGATCCACTGGTTGTGCCTTATTCAGATGCTGAGAGAGGATTGAGAAATTCGGAGGAGGAGGTAAGCTGGCACGGCGTGAGAATTGAATGGGTAAATTGCCTTGACGCTAGCGAAAATCCCGGAAGGATAGTGTCAGCCAAATACTGAGACAATTTTTCTAGAGAGGGGAATTCCTGCAAGAAACACGCCGCCTCCACAAAGCGAAACGAAAAATAGGTGGGAAAAAAAACTGGGAAAGATTTTTGGCATCAAAAACTAATGCATAATATTATTTACACAAATGTAATGTTTTTAATAGGTAGGGTGATTAACAAAGCTTTGCAGGGATCGCCGGTACATCAACGCTGTCATCTAAATGGCATGATTAACTTACCCAGTTGCCGCCTGGTGAGGTGGGAGGGCTGGTGAGATGTAGTTGACGAGCGGTTGGCGGAGAGTAGGGTGGTAAGTGTTCTGGGGCGGAAAATGGGCCAAATGTCAGATGTTGTGTGGTAGATGATGGCTTATTGTCTGTCGATGTGAAAGATATAGGCTTCGCTGACATGCTGTGAACACAAAGCAAGGTGTAAGAAAAAGGGAGATTGGTCACCGCAACGGAACTCCCTAAAAATTATTGAGGTTTTTTTTTTTTTTTGGTTTACTTACAGGCGTGACTCGAGGCAATTCGCCAACCAGCATAGTCAGCCAATAGTTTGGATACCCGACAAACAAAAACTTTTGGCCCAAACTGTTCTGAAAAAGGGTCAATTCACCCATCCCGCTTTGGTCTGGAGTATGCAACATGACGGAAGAGTATCTGATAATGTGAGAATGGCCATGATCATTTGACGCCACGGCGCAAGTGCTCGGCATGACCCCCATATGAGTAGGAGATGCTGTCGATATTTATCATTAGCCAGGATCCCCACAAGCTGTAACTCATAGCTAAACAACTGTGTCTCGGAAGAAACGTGCTTGATGAACCTGACACAGGCGTGTACTGCTTTGGTAAGTAACTTTGAGGTAGCGGTTGTCTTTTTGCAAGCAGTCATCGATCAAACCGATTATCTCGAGATATACAAGATCCATGCCTAGCATGGTTCATGTATGTCCACCACGCAGATTCAACCGTGTCGCGCACACATCCCTTCTGTTTTCTCTGTTATCCGATACTCGAAGATCAAACACCCATTCGCAATCTCTGACTGCTTGCAAGGAGATTATTTGTGAGACGTTCGTTAATTGCTAAACATTTTTTCTTTTTTATTTCATATAGAGCGATAATACGGCGACAATGGGGGCTACTGGCAGAGGTGAGATGTACTTTGCATAACTGAGCAATGTGATTCGAACCAGAGATAACTATGATGTAGTGGTAGGGCGTTGCTATGACTGAAAGTGTATAATCCTATGAAATAAAAAGATTCGGACGCCACTGCCAGCGAGATTTGAGAGCCGTCACTTGGTTTCCTGCAGTAGCTTCCTACAATCAACAAACAATGAACGGCGAATCCTCGTCTTCGAATGCTGCATCCACCGCACCTGAGTCTTCTAACTTGATGAATGTTGGCCTTCAGGACGAGATGGTTGGTTTTGCAGTCACTCCAAAGACCGATTGCGAACACCTTCCCCGCACTCGACTGGTTACCGACTTGACGGACAGTATCGTTCGCGAAGCTCTTTGCACGCACTGCGGAAAGCCCGAGACTTGGCTATGCTTGACTTGTGGAGGTGTATATTGCTCAAGGTACGATTTTTCGTTCGCTGTATACTAGGAAAATCCCATTGTAGTCTAATTGTACCGCAGATATCAAAACAACTGCGCCAAATTGCATTCTACAGAAGCAGGGCACGCTATTGCACTCTCGCTCTCGGATCTCAGTGTTTGGTGTTATCAATGCGACGAATACATTACTTCTCCGGTAAGCGATTGTAGATAACTACGTGATGGTTAACATATTTGATCTAATACTCGTCTCCAGTCACTCGACACGTTGAAGCGTCGCGTTTATATACTAAAGTTTGATGCTCCACCCCCTGAGGGCAGTGAATTAGATGTTGGCGCTTGAAGCGTTCTATTAAACAGAATGTGAACATATTTCATCAGGGTGTGTTACTATGTCTTTTAGTATGGGAGGAGGGATATTCAAAGAAAATCAGCAGTAATAAAAAGGAATGATGGTTAGGAAGCGGTGCAGTCGGTGGTTCCCCGTGGATTATAAGCGGCATCTTTCTCTATTGAATCATATTCTCCTTTTAGAGAAGCATTACCCGTACCACCAATCAGTAACTGCGCCACCCTTCAAAAGTTGCATATAAGCAACCGAGACAAATACCATGAAAGCTCGACAATATGCCTGGTCAACTTCAAACTGTTCTTCGCTCAACGAAGCTTCCCATCCTGCTACGAGTTCCAAACGTAGAGGATGCCCCTGCGCTCTTGGAGCTCCTCTCCGACCCACAAAACACGGAATTTGACCCGCATGCTGGAAATGGATCCTTTAAACTTCCTCAAATCGAAGGCATGGTTGTTAGAATGCGCGAATCAGCTGATTCAGACGTACCTGGCCGAGTGAATCTTGTCTTAGTGGACACTTCGTTAGGCGACAAGGTCATTGGCCTGGGTGGGTTCGGCCATATCGCAACGGAAGGGGCCAAAAGGATTGGGGATGTCGGTATCATGATTACACCGGAAGCTCGCCACAAGGGCTATGCTGCAGAAGCCATGAAGATGTCGATCGGTTATGCCTTTAAGGTCTTGAAGCTAGACCAAGTCACTGCTACCATGCTGGCCAAGAATATTCCAATGCGCAGCTTGATGGATAAACAGCTCAAATTGACAGGCACCATCAGAGATGGCGAATTTGGCGAAGAGGTTTTCTACTCCGTTCTTCCGGAGGAATGGATATAGTTGTGTTCCCATACCCAGGAAAGCGTACATTAACTTGGTGGCCTTGCATCGAATACCCGCCATATATTGTAACATAGTTATGTATAGATAGATGGCTGTACAGTAGTTTACGGGGAAGACGTAATACACTCATTCATCCATAATGAAATGAAATACAACCAAAAGGACGACTGGCATGAATAGGTGTATCATATTGCTTGGTATAAATTTTGCGTATATGGCCCGATCAAACTCGGTAGCTGCCTTAGCATTCACCACTATATCACAAACGGTGCTGTCAAAGGTTCAGGTTGGATGGTTCAGGTTGATTTATGTGGAAAAAAGAATGTATGATAGGATAAAGTGACATAGTTGAAGGAATGGAAGTAAATACAGCTAGCTATTCAGATCAGTCAGAGTGATTCCTAGAGGAGCCACCGTTGCCATCCCAGAAGATTGTGATTTCGCCATCACCCGGAGCCGACATGACACTGTCCGTAACATTGGTACGATGGCTGCCGGAAGTGACTACGCTAACCGGTCGTTCTTGCTTGGCCTGGTCATCTACATATTCATCGTTACCAATTACGCTGTGGCGATCGTGAAAAGGATTATCGCTACTTGCTTGTTGTGCAGTCAGAGAACTCTGTGATGGAGCGGTATCTGATTCATTGCTAGTTTGCTTGGTGCTATTGGAGCGTGATGAGGTGACCGAGCCTGATTCTGGAGTCAAAATGGTTCGGACAGATCCACTTCTCTTCATACCACCTGTGCCATCTTCTACTTTGATAGTATTGATTCGCATCAACGTCGGTTTAGCTCTTTGCATTTGAACCGCTGATACAGAGTCGTTCCGCGTTACTGCATTCATAACCGAAGAAGCGACAGATTGGTCATCGTCATCGTCTTCAGGTGGAGTTTGATTTCCTCCTCTGGAGACGCTGTCCATCTTTCGTAAAGTGACAACACGTTTGAGCTGTACTGTACTTTCATCGTCCAAATCAGCAAATGGATTTTCAGATCGAGATGAGTATCGGGAGGTGTAGCTGTTAGGTGTAGAAGGATGTTGAAGATAGTCGTTTTGATTGCTGAGAGCGAGTGAGTTTCTGAGCGATGCGCCAGTTCCCAAGCTAGCACTTTGCATTCCCAAGCTAGCGCTTTGCATTTCAGTACGGGTATGATGCGATGATGGTGGCATATAGGCGATGGGTACCACGGCGGACTGGGTACCTGGTCGGTTCTATCAGTGTCAAAAAAATTATGGTTAGATTGTGGATATCAGCATGGAAATAGATAAAAGACATATTTAAGAGAAATTTTTACCCAATGTTCGGATGTCTCACTGTGCGAGTCGCCAGATTTCCAAAAGGGAAGACCTTGAGCTTTTCTTCTCTTGTATCGAATGATACCAAAAGCAACAAGTGCAATAACCAGAAGACCCACTAAGCCTCCAACCAGACCGGGAAGTAGTCCAGCATTTGACCCAGAAGAGCTAGAAGAGTCGGACGACGTTCCCAAATTCTTGCTGACACAGACTGGCACTGGGCAAACTGCACACTGATTCATTGTAGTTAAACTGCACACCATGTCGGATGAGCAAGCTGGGTTGCACTTAAGCTGGCAATTGACCGCTTGACAGCTAGTTCCAGTCGAAGCTGGTGCCGCAGATTGCGCTGGGGCAGCTAGGATGATTACAGCAGGTTTGAGTATTTTAGTAAAATGGTATACGCAATGTACAAAGAGAGTAGAATTGTACCTGAAGTTGGATCAACGGCCAATGCAAGGTTGTTGCTTCCTAATAAGACGGGAACAAGTATGGCCAGCATAGTTATTGCCCGGTGTATGGATAGCATGAGTGGAAAAAGGAATGGAACGGCTGCAAGCTCTCTGAGAGAGCTCTGCAAATAACTAAAGCCTCTCGGCTTGTACAACCGCGGACCTTCAATCGCAAGAATTGCATGGCTGGGAGTACCGGATCAGGAAGCCCAAAGCAGGTGGCCAGAACATCTTTACCTTTGGTCCATTTGCAAGAATGTACATCCATTCGCAATATTTACCTACTAAAAGCTATAAAATTCAGAAGCCACCTCGATGCCGGGAACCTCTGCAAGCGCAATCGACTGAGTTAACGAAGTTGAGCGAAGGCCCACGTGGGAAATGACCTGATCGAAGGCAATGCCGGTCCACTCAAGCTGAACGAAAATCTTGCTTTTATCAAACTCCACAAGCCATGGCACAACTCAGTCTTGTCCTGCAACTCACAGAGAATTTGGGGGAATCTATGCAAGCGCTCACTTGATCGATTTCAGCATTTTGCTAGTTTAGGTGATTTACCTTCAAGTTGACCATAACCCCCCATATCGCGTGACAATACCATGGTCTTCAAGCGACTGACTAAACCATCAGTTGAGGTCATGTTTGAGAACTTGACAATTTGTATTAGTGTTCATAGAATTGGATGACTTGTCGTGAGCATAAACTTGAGGGATTCAGCCTTGATTGAAAGCAAAAGTAATAATTAAACAACAATGTAAGGTTGTGTTGAGCCAATAACAGGACATTCCTGTTAGCATTCAATCCCCTCGGCTCAGAAAACATTTACTTAAACTGGTATCGAAAACCACTTTGACCGATTGTTTTTTTCACTCATGGTCAAATTCTAGTAATGTACATCCTTTTTATATTAACTATCATCTATACTTCCTTAGAGTCAACCCATGACTGTGAAAATGACATACCTTAGAGAAAAAAAAAGGGGAAAACGATATGGCTGGTGCCTGAAACCTAAAACGCTAAAATTTCAAACCGGGCAATAACTGACTGGAACGTCTCATGCTATGCAACTTCTGGCCATCAACGTATTGACAAACGATCCGGATGACCTATGTTTTCATAGCGTCACTGTTCTTCTTGCTTGTAAGCAAGATGACCTCGGACAAAGTATCGGCCGCAAATGACACCCTCCTGAATGATTTATTCTTAACGGATGTAAACCTTCGTTGACCCTTGCAAGACCTATCAGCAGGCATGCATATTATTTGCCGAAATCAGATGTCTTACATTGATTTCCTTTAAATGTTACGTGATTTCACTCTTCGAAATTCTGTTCGTCATCATCTTTTTCAATGATATCTTTATTGGCTACTTTTGCTCTACTCAGTTTATTGGTCATGGTTGGCCAGGCAAGGGTTGTGATGTGTCCAGAAGACACACAGATTTACCCTTCTGGATTTTCAAAAGGTCCTTGCTACCAGTCGTATTACAAGGCAATGGTAATCTTTGGTGATTCATGGACAGAAAATGGGTAAGATGAGGTACCATGGTTGGAATCAAATTCGTTATGATATTCATTTGCCCAATTATAGGGACGCTCCCCTTGATGCGAGTTCATATGCCGAAAACAATTTTGTGAGTGATACAGACAATCGTTGCTACTCCTAAATGCTAATTTATCTCACTCCTATAACTCATCCCATTTTTCCCTTGTTAGGATCAACGAGCAGTCAACGGGCCAACATGGGCTGAGTATCTTACTGCGTCCAGTGGAATAGACCTCTACGACTTTGCAGCCTCTGGTGCCACTGCTAATAACTCCAATTTGCCACGGCTTGTTCCAGATGCCGCTCAACAAATCGAGTCATATACCAACTCGCTGACGGGTGGCAAATCACTTCCGTTTGTCAGTACGTTGTATGCACTATGGTTTGGAGTAAACGATGTGCACGATACATACACGAATGTGCAGCCAGATGAGAGGGATGAAAAACTGGTTGTCGCGGCAGACTCAATTCTGAATGCGATTTCTACTTTATATCAAGGCCAAGGTGCTAGACGGTTTCTTGTAGCGCTCACTCCACCCATAGGTTACCTCCCAACTCTCACAAATGGTTCCACGTCAGTCGATCATGATGTGGCTGATGGTTTGGCACAGAACTTTAATCAGTACATTGTGGACAGGCTCCAAGCTTTCTATTCGGCCTATCCCGATACTGAAATTATCACGTTCAACTCGTATGCCTTGATTATGGACATGATTCAAAACCCAAATGTCTACAGTATCAGTAACAGCATAGAGGCTTGCGTCAATTCAGACGGTTCCCATTGCAGCGAACCAGATCAGTAAGTGACATCTTTTCATTCTATGATGGTGATCTTGCTATGCTGCCTAGGATTTTCACTCAATCCTTTTTCATTCATTAATTAGATATTTATGGTGGGACGGGTGGCATCCAACAAGTAAGTACATTGTGATTTTAACTAATGTCTGGTTGGGTACATGTTTTTAACGATGATACATATGAACAGCCAAGACTGAATCACACTTTTCATCTGTGTTGGAAGATTTCTTATTCAAGGGACGTAACAAACGGATTTCGAAGCACTATGTAAAGTCGTCTATCAAATTCCGAGCTACGTGATAACTGGATTATTGCGTTGGTGAAAGCACCGACGGTTGTACTCGATAGAAATCTGTAAATGCTAGTTAAATGCTAGTTACTCTATATTTTTTTGCGAAACACTCAGTAGCTGAGTGTTGCGGATTAAAGACTAATAAAATTAATCAAGTCTGATGATAGCAGAACATACTGTTTATTTTTAAACACTTTTCTTAACACCGTCCTCTAACAGGAACGAATTACTGAATCTTTTTTACTTTTTCTTTTCATGAGGGTCGCTTATGCTCTAAAGGCTGCTGAGTAGCAGCTATCACCATCACTTTCGAAACAAAAATGTCCCTTTTTGCACTGGAATATCCCATGCGTACATTTATATAGATTTACAGTATAGCATATAATGATTAAAATATCAAACAATCGGTCTGTTTGTAGTACTAGAGGATGATGGCACGCCATACCAACAACCCCCCGGCGTATATATGAATTATACTCGTCGTCCAAACCAACCTCTTGGCTTTTCACGCATTGGCTCAGTAGAATTTCTATGTCTCCTGCTTCGTCCAACACCACAAACACAAGCCAAGAAGTAAGCGCACGTTGCCAGGAATAATGCAATAGCTGCTCCTAAAGTCATCCACACCGCAGGACCAATGGTGACTGTGATGGTCGAAAGATGAAGGTCGTTTACTCCTGACTTTAGCTCGTTGTTGGCGACGATCTCAACAATAAACGTAGCCAGAGTAAGTACGAAGGAGATAAAGGTCAGGAAGGATGCACAGAGGGATGCAGGGCGATTGAAGTGGCCGAACAGAGCGATCAGCAGGGACAAGAAGGTGAGACACACAGCAGGTATGAAAAGGCCTGCTTGAACGGTGGTGATCCCCTTGTGTGCAATTGACGGCATAAGATTCTCGAGATCTCCGGTTAACCCAGGCAGTTCTACCAAAGGTTTTATTAGACCCACCATCTGAATGCTTCTACACATATATAAAAAAAAGGTTACTTACGGTAGTCGAACCCAAGTTTAGCTGGAGTGCAGTATGTGATGCCTTTGCCAGTCATACCTTCACACAAAGAAAAGGCACCAACTGTAATGTAGTTTGGAACACCAACTGCTCCTGTGAGTGCATTTATGATGCTGTTGCTAGATGAGACCAAATCGATTCGAGAGTAATAGATATCTCTGAAGAAGCCAATATTGCTGATATCACCTAAAAGAGCGAACAAGCTCAAAATGAAGGCGGCAAAGTTGAGGAAGGCAGCAATGAAGTCGATCATGGTGGAGGGAAAGAAGAAAGAGGTGTTTTTTGTTGCGGATCAAGGCACTTATGTTGACTTGTATTTTTTTTTTGCTTAGTTCTTCTTTCAACCATTGCCAAGGCCTTCAAGCTGGTAATGTAATTTCCATGTATGATATATGACGCAAAACGTTGCACCAAACATCCATTCTGGGTGAGCTGTAATCCTGGTTTGCATCATCGTTCTCAGTTGTTCGAATAGCAATGCACTTGGTTGTTTTTCATCCTGTTTTCATAATTATTTTTTTTATAAATGTTTTGATCATTTCGGTTAAATGTCGGTATGAATAGCATATTTAATGGGAGCATACAAGTATTACAAAAATCTACAGTGCCACGGCTAAATCTTCAGATTTGACGAACACACCTCGATTTGCAGTGGTTTGAAAATATCTCATTTCGTCTACTGAGCCATCATTTTTCCCAACTTGAACAAAGAAGGTGAGTATAATTTTTCCCCTAAAGAGTGATCCCGAAAATAAAATAAGCTCTCTTACCTCTTCGGTCTAACTCCACTCCGACCCACGTTCCATCCGCAAAGTCAACTTCACCGATAAATCGAATGGTCCCAACAGTGTCATCGGTTCTCCTCAACAATCTCACTCTCATACCAAGCCTGAGAGCATGTCCTTGGTAGGTACCATTAGCATAGGATGATTGGTGAGGTGGCTTAGGAGGCAATACGAATTTTAATCTGGAAGCGCGGGTCGCTGTGTTTGAGCAAGGCAGTGGTGGCGAAGCAGGTGGGGTTAGTGGACTAACAGATACATCACTGCTACCAGCGCTATTAATGTCATATGTGTGGGATGGTGGCAGTGGTACGAGTACTGGTGATGATGGGCCAGATAAGCTAGTGGGGAGTGACGCAGCCGATTCCATAGATGCCGAGCCAGCGGACGATGCTACTGAACCCGCCGAACCACGCCTTGTCCATCCGCGCTTGCTGAATGCATTTGAAATTCTTTGCGAGGTGGTCAAAGTTTGGTTGTCTAAACTCCTAGAGAGCGACGATCTGACGACAAGGATGGAGGATTGATTAAGCGATGATCGACTGCTGCTAGATGATCGTCGCCTTCCTGGGAAAAATCCGTTGGGAAGTTTATCTGCACTATGCGTTCTCGAAAGCGTCCGGTAAGGTACAGAGAGATCTTTTTAAATGCGATAGTAGATAAGATGAGTGGTCACTCGAATTTAAACTTTGTTTGCAGATCACATATGCAACACAATGCCAACTTTTACCTTCTGCTAATGCAACCAGAACTGTAGAGTCCAGGGCATTCAAGGATCCACTGTTTTTCACCTCAGGTAGCCTGCGTTCAATGTACTTGACAGTCATATCCCTGGCGACGTTCAGAATGCTTCTGGCATTTAGATTCCTTTGAACGGCTTCTCTACACATTAAATGCAGAACAATGCCTTGATACAAGATACCAGCATTGGCGTCCTTCATTTCGTCTTCTAGTAGGCGCTGTAGCAGAAACTCTAAAAAGTCAAGGGTATAGGTGATTCCGTCTACACATGATAGTAGGGTTGGGTATTCTGTGCAAAAAAATAAGAAGTGTTCGGCAATGTGACGGGTTGCATATGACGTGAGGGAGGAGATAAGAGAGTGTGAGGGTGGTGACCATGCGATGAACGGGTCTTTCACAGTGAGTGACTTGGAAGCACTAAAGCAAGCGTACAATATTTGTATGGCGTTATGGCGATGAACTCGAGCAACCGTGTATGCAACAAGACGCTGGCGCATCTCAGTATCGGTAATTTCCCTCGCAAAGTGACGGTGAGCCCATATAGTTGGAACAGATTTCTCTGGATCACTCAGCAGTCCTCTTAGCAAAGCATTTTCGAGCGCGTGAATAGAGTTCTTGTGAGCAAACATAAGATTTTGTGGTATAAGAGATTGACAGTCCTGACAGACGCAGTCCAGCTTATGCAATATTCCATACATGTTTCGAAGCACCTGGGCGCACAAAGTATCGGTCATACCTAAATAGTCAGCGCCAATCCATATTCGTTGTAGCTGATACAACGATTGCTGCTTAGCGATTAAGGAAGATGGCAAGTGATTGAGGGAGATACTTTGGATGGGCAGTGGAGCAACTTGCTCGGTGGGGCAAGTTGTATTGGATTCAAACGCTTCAATTTCGCCAGTGTAGATGTACCGTAGAATGGCTTTTAAGCAGTCGGGGCTGAACACGTTGGAGGGTAGTCGAATGTGAGCAGCCGCTGCCTCGACAAACTCCCCAGAAAACATGGCATTGAAATAAGGCGATGCAACCGACAGCATGAACTTATGCGCTGGAAAGTGGACGTGGTCGACGACAATGTCAATATCACTGCATACACCGTCCCTTCCCATGGTTTCGATGTGGCGCTTAAATTGTGAGTCACTGGATTCATGGTTCTTTTCCAAGCCAGGAAGTTCCAGCCGTGTGAACTCAGTGACATCGTTTCGAAATGCAACTCCCACCAAATGCTTTACAGCTTCCAAGTGACCCAGGTACATGAATTCTACGAGGGCTTTAAAATGTTCATAGCTTGAATGATCGGGGTCCAACTTGATTGACATGGTAGTAGGTTGAAGCTCCGGCAAAAAGATCCGTCTCCATTCTTCGTTTGTGCGTGAAAAGAGTACGGCTGGGAAGGTAAGACGTCTTAGCACAAGTGAATCCTATTTACAGCATAACCCCACATATTAAAATGATGGCATGATTTTTTGAAAGAAAAGATTTACCTTTATGCACATAAACATGATAGTAGCCGAATACAAATTGCAGGTCGGCGTGCCAACTTGTCGGATCATCCAGAACAAGCTTTAGAAAATATCTGACAGGATCATTTGGCGGCTGCGGTAGATTTGCAAGATATTGTATGTGGATAGGTTTTGCTAATCGTTTTGTATCTGGTGAGGCGGCTGATGCCATAGAGTGTTGTATGCTGAGAAGGTTGACAGTAATAAAGGGGTGCTAGCCGACTTCTTAAAAAAGTAAAAATAAAATGAGAAGAGAAAGTGAAAAAAGGATGCGACCCGGTTTAAAAAGTCGGTTTGCAAGTTATTTGAGAAATAGAAACCCGAGAAATCATGTAATAAGCATTTTCTTCATTTGGGAAGACCACGGAGGTCAGGGATGAGAGTTGTAAAGATGTGGGGAAATTTACACAGGGTGGATTTTCCTTTACACAAAAAAGTCTATTATGGGTAGGGGTGGCAGGAAAAGGGAAAACAAGGAAAAAAATTGGGTAGGGTGAATATATTATCCTACTGATCTTTTTTACGCATGGCCCACCAAGTTATGACACCAGCTACAGCTACTACGGATCCTACTCCAAGCACCCATTTTACGAGCTCTTGATCATGTTGTTGCTGACGACCTCTTCGTTTAGACTTCCTCTTTCTTCTTCTGGTAGATGAAGTACCAGCAGCCCCGGTTGAGCCTGAGATGCGCGTGTCACTTGCCTTCTTGTTTTGGTGGTCACTTGACGGCCTGGATGCGTGCCACTCCACTACTTCCACGCCAGGTGGTACATCCAAATTGCCAATACCATCCAATTTTTTGGCACGACCAAACCAGCGCCCAGCTTGCCAAACATCTTGCGTGACACCCATACCATTTGCGTACATCACGCCTATGTTGAAGCATGACTGAGCATGTCCAAGCATAGCACTTTGTTTCCAATATTCGACTGCCAGAACAGGATTTGGCTCGTTAACATGAAGGGCTGCATGTTCCTGGTCTCCAGATCCTCCTAGATAAATCAACCCCGCCTGAAAAGCTGCACTGCAGAAATACCGTTCATCGCGTGTGTGTGGGGGATAACTACGCAGTGGCTTGCGTTGTAATAATGGGTCGTTGGGGTCATCGCCATGGGAAAAGTCAAAGTCAATATGTGCTGCTGTGGTAAGCATGCACTTTTGAAAATACATGAGAGCGTTGTCATAGTCCTTGACAACATCGGCTTCTTCTGAACCTGCAGCGTAGGTGGTGCCGACGATATAGCAGGCTTCGGCATCGGGTGCTCCTATTGTTTGCCCATCTGCCGCGACTGTCCCGTCGGCAGCTTTTTTGTGCCATTCAAAAGCCTTCGCAGCGTTCCGACTCGGGTATACTGGAGTCATAGTAGGATTTTCTTCCATTGCCTCTTTTCCGACCTGAGTTTGGAAATTTTTTTGGATGAATCAGTACATCGGAAATACAACAATGGTCTAAAAGGGTTCAGCATGCATACCTCATACATGGCGGCAATCTTTAACATAGACTTTGTATGCCCTCGATGTGCAGCCGACTCAAAGTGTTGAAATGCACGCTTGTTTTTGATTAATTTAGTCATCTTACATTTAAATAGATTACCAGTGAAATCCCCATAAATTCAGCTAGTCCTTACCTTAGCGTCATTCATCCTGGTTTCAAACCATCCACCCAAGTAATAAGCACTAGTGGGATCCATGTCCATTTCCAGCCCGTGGTAGCCTCCTGAAATCGGCACAACCCAGTCTGTATCACTATCTTCCTTTTCCAAATGAATCGTAAGCAGTCTATAACGCTTGGTGGTTTCTGGTGGAAAGCTGGCGGGAGGAGTAGCACTAGCAATGGGGGAATTAGGCTGGGAGTTCTCGGCAGACGAAGGAAGCGATGGTGGCAGTGATGACGGGTCCAGAGCATGCTGTGAGCTGGTTTCTAGAGTCAATGACTCGGACAGTGCCGGGGCGGGCAAAATGACACTTGAATTTGGTGAATGGGAAGGTGAAAGAAATGCAAAAGATGAAGCAATAGATAGTGAAGGTGATGCTGTTAGCGACGAAGGGTTCGATGACGGAGTGGCATTATTTTTCTCGAGTTGCCATAGAGACACAAAGTGGTCGACAGGAGCGAACAGTTTTCCCTATACCATTTTTTTTTTCGAATAAGCAAAACTTTTTTTGTTATCAGACTGATTCCAAAATACTAACCTTCAGCACGGGCTCTTGACCTTTCAGCCCAGCCTTGACGTGTTGCTGCTCAATTTCAATGTCGAGATCCTTTGGCTTACAATGTTCGGGAACCAGGAATGAAATCGTCACCTGGTCTTTCTCCTGGCTCCATATATATGTGTTGGTATGCAATTGTTCGTCCGCTATTAATGACATTGGAAGGATACAGAGACGGAATTTTGTTTTGGTGAACCCGGCTGACGAAAGTGGACGATGATTTCCCAGTCACGCGCACATGTGTTGCTGTGTGAGCCAACTTCTGCCCCTGCAAACATTTCCCATCTGTCGCGCCTAACGTCATCTTTTCTTTCCATAGAATTGAGGATAATGCAATCTTTTATTTAATGCCTGTATAAGAAAAATAAACTAAAATACCATGTTGTAACTTGCTTGTCTCACTCTTCGCATGGAAAGGCGGAACCACAAAATTTTCAAGCAGGGCATATGGCATCAGGAGTCATTGTGCTTCAAAATTATGAGGGCCTGAATCTGAACGCTTGAGAAGCCTGGTCTTGCCAAAAAAAATCTTTGCTAGTACACTTCCCAGTTGCAGTGACGGAATTTTTTTTATTTTCGTTGAATGGCGCAAATAGAAAGTACATCAATTAATATTAATCTTGCAGTCAATTGATTATTCAGTGAATAGCGAGGTATTATAATCCATCGATGTCATAAAATAAATATTGGAGTGTAAATGAAAAGAGTTTGTTGTGTAGGTTTTTTATACCTCCTCCGCGGCATCGTTCTTGACCTCGACTTTATCAGTGGTCTCGTCAAAGTTTCCGTGAACACGTCGGTGAACACGCCTTGCAACTGCATCTCGAAGTTGATGGACACCATAGTTTAGGAAGAAGCCAATGACGGCAACCAGGGCAACTAAAGCGTACCAAATGGCAGCTTCCGCCCCCTGTGACCAATCCAGGAAGGGGTACACCCAGGCATGGTCCACGGCAAAGATAACAAACGTCAAGCACGTGTAGAGTATCAAGACGAAAAGTGGAAAGAGGACCATGCGTGGAACGCAAACCATCTTGGTGAAGGTGACTTCAGTCATCATCATGAAAAATGATACAGCATGAACTGACGTTGCCAGCCACCATTGTTCGGTATTAGAAACCTCTGGAATAACAAAATTTCATCAGTCTACATGAACAGAATATGACTGTCGCTTCACAAGGTTATGTGGTGAAAAAACTTACGGTTTTTAATATAGCCATAGATCAAGGCCCAAAAAACAACAGGAGTTACAATGCTGCAGATGGGAGGCAAGGTGGCAATAAGCATTCAAGTGATGAAAAGCAACGCGTCCATCTTCTGTGTCAGAAACTCACTTGAAACATATTATAGTGTGATATAGAATGACAAAGAGGTAATTCAGAAAAGACCATTGATTGAAAAAAGATTGCGGTGTATGAGGCTTTGGACTTAATAAATATCGTACATGGTGACCGTATACACACTGTGGCAAAAATAGGGCCAAGGTGTTAGCATTGAAATTTTTGACAGTCTATTCATCTTTGGAATACTTTACCAATAAATAGGAACACAATCCAATATAAGTCATATCAGTAAAGAAGCAGAAAAAATATTGGAAAAGACCGTCTCGAGCCATAGTGCCCATATTGCCGAACAACACTATCAAGCCATACAATACTGGCAATGTGCGAATCATAAGCAATGTCCTTGATGAGACCCAATTTGACGTGACAGCTCGTTCTGGTTCGAATTGGTCCAGCTTGAACCAGCGAATTACTGCATTACTGCTCTTTGGAATGGATTGCATTGTGAACGAACAAGAGGTGCGGAGCGGCGAAGGAGCAATAAAGGGGTATTTAAAGCAGTAACCAATGCCTACGTTATTTTATCATTCTATTTATGCCACAGTCTGGTGTGCATATCTCTTTATGATGACACCCAATTGTTATTGTTTTAATTCACCTCCTGTAGCTGATCAGCCCCACTAGCTTTAATAGTCGACCTGCCATCATGCTTGTCGTCAGGACGACGCAACCCTATGTGCAATGTAGGGATTGCACCACCTCCTTCAGCTGTTACTGCCAATTACGCATAACACTCGGTGGCGGATACATCTTTGCTAAGACGCATCGTATGTGTCAACGTGGTGCAACGAGTTTTATACATCCTTAGCAGCTTTGAGCCAACTGATCATGAGTAAGACCATGCTACTGATGAGAGATGGTCGAGGGGGGTTGAAGTTCAAAAATACATAAATTGTAACTGCAACTCAGTGGTACAGCAGCAAAAGCAAAGACCTCTTCAGAGAAATGTCTCATTTACAGTAAAGAAATCCTTTTACAAGTGCTGCATATTATCCATTGTATTAATTGCCAAACACTTCGCTTGGGGCTTCAATGATCGAGCGAATAGACGCTACTTTAACATGTGATATACTCTTCAAAATGGAAGTGAACCTCCATCAGCTCCTAGAATGAAACATTTGAACAATAAGTATTCCATTTTAGTTTCATGCAATATTGGCGATCAAACACACAATTACGATGAAACTTGAGCGCTTTGATGCGCTTTCAACACAGTGTGTTACAACACAGTGAAATCATGAAAAAAAAATAGCAGACTTTTCAGCCAGGAGGCCATAGTCAATCTCGATATCATTTGTCAACATCCAATGCTAATTTTGGCTGTTATTTCGGAGTCCCCCGCCTCGCCGCTTCTATAACATAAACCTATATCCAGAGCAGTGGATGGTTTGAAAAAGCTCATCGTTCTATATATCAAGGGCAATTCAGGATGCCTTTGCAGTAAGTTTTGGTTGGCAAGTTTATGTTTCACACCCTTGAGGGCAGTAGTCCCCCTTGAGGGCAAACTCTCCTGCTGAAGTGTGATGATAATAAAAATCGAGTGCCTATTGGCTAAACGAAACACGGTAGCCGATTGGACCATTGAACGAGTGCGAGCAGTGATTTGGTGACGGAGTTACGCAATTTTCCCCGGCTTTTTTTTTTTATCATTCCCCACACCCAGCTGCCTCGGAAAACGCTCGTCAATGCTTTCAGCTTTCATAATCCAATGACGCCTCCCGAGGACATGGATAAGCAAAAGAGATTCAAGGTCGGGCGGGCATGCTACACTTGTAGACAAAAGAAGATCAAGGTAAAGTAGTAAAAGAACCTGATTGGCGTGTTAATGCTTTTTTCTCACTCACAATTCCCACCTCCCCTAGTGCGACGGCCTCCATCCTTGTATGCAGGTATGTAACAGACTTGTTTATTAGTAAGTTTAACCAAATTGAATCTTACCTTATATCTCTACCCCCGTGTTGGCTTGTGGTACGAATTCACCTGTAAAAGTGCAAAGGTAAGTAGAGTACCAAGACATCAAGTAGCTACTTCTCATCGGATATAACCAAATCTAATTCCCAATTTTGCCACTATTTTTATCAGTTCGCCGCCGACCGTGTTCATTTGCGAAAGATGGAAAGGCAGATATAAAGGATTGGACCGAGAATGCGGAAGGCGATTATGATTCAAAAGACGTACCGACACCACTGGACGCCGATATAAAACGCAGCAGTAGTCCCAGCATTGGCGAACAACGACCCTTCAAGCGAACCTATTCGGATTTTGAAACAAACCCACCTACGGACACCACGTCGTTGCACAATGCCAATGCTTTGGCTTCCTCAGCCAGAAAACAACTTTTTCTTGCATACTTCAAATTTCGCCACGAAATCTTTGCTATATTACCCAGAAAGCAGCTATTACAAGACTCTTCCGATTCCGACACCTTCATATCTCCTTTACTTCAAAACTCCATATTTGCTCACGCTGCAGATCATGTCGGGAGAGATTCAAGTATTTCCGGAGCGCCAACGTCAGGAACGTCCTTTTTTACGAAAGCCAGCTACATGGTCCCTGGATACATGGACCAAAGTCGACTTAGTACAATTGCTTCCTTTTGCTTGATGTCATTGTACCATGACGATCACCTATCCTCCCTTTGTAAATCTTGGATGTACAGTGGAATGGCATTTCGAATGGCTATCGACGTAGGCTTTCAAAACCCAACCAATGCCGACCAGGATATATATAGCTTGGAGTTACGGAAACGAATTCTATGGGGCTGCTATGTGCTAGACAAGATTCAAAGCCTTATGTCTGGAAAACATTTGATGATAACAGGTCATAGTGTCGAGCTGGAGTATCCTATACCTATGCCAAACGAAAATGCCCTAGACCACGCTGTTCTGGACGGATTCGTCGCCATGATCCGACTCATGCAAATCTGCGAAAGAGTATTACATTTTGAATTTTTTATTGCTCCCCATACTAAAGAGCATGAGCAGGCCTCACTCGATTTAAGCAATGAATTACTCAATTGGCTTCGAATGCTACCAGAGCATTTGCAGTGGACGCCTCTTCCGCAAGTTAGCTCTGAAGCCGACCTCCAACCTCCCTCTAGCGCCATGATTGCCAATTTACATCTTTGTTACAACCTTGTCGAAGTGCGCGTTCTCCAACCATATGCTCTTGCGCCAGGAAACAAAGCAATAAGAAGTCGGTGCTGGGCTGTGGTGACCAACATTTTGCAACTTGTTGATTTCGTCTACGAAGACCCCAGCATTGTTTTTACACCTTTCTTAATCGTCCATGCTGCTGAAAGGAGTGCTCAATTATACATTCATGAGCTTAATAGTCGGGAAGGGAGCAAGGGCGACTTGACGCACCATCTGTTCAGTAGAGCACTCATTGCCCTGAAGCATTTGCACCAAGCATTCAATATACCCGAAGCTGGAGTGGCGGTCACCCGATTGGAAACAGCATTAGCACAAGCGTCATCGTTCAAATCGAACGCTGTGCCCGTGAATTCTCGAACGCATTTATCCATCGATATGCTACCAAAGAACATTCCTCAACAATCGCCCAATACTGAAAGCCCATCCATGGTAAATAACGCTTCCATGAACAAATTCCAAGCACCACAAGGGGTCAGGCAAAAGGAAGTTTTACGGCCAACTCACCATGATTCACAAATGTCTACCAAATCGCCTGCATTTCGTTATCGGAATGGCGAAATACTTCAAGACCAAAGAACAGAGTCTATCATTCATGGACTCCGAAATGGATCAGACCCTGTGTTTTCTCAAACACCTCAGTTTGAAACCAACAGAGCAGACCCTTTTGCATTTGATGCGCTTCAAGTCGATTCTGCCGGCCAACCTCAATGGGATGTACAACAGATATCGTCCAACGATCCCACTGTCAATGGTCCCGTCAAGCTTCAAAACTATGACTACTACATGAATGCTCAGAATTTACCTCGACGAATTCGCCTCTTCACTCCATATCCCACTTACAATATCCCTCAACCCTCCACCACGCGTGCTTCTGGCTCTGACCCCATTGTCTCTGATGCTATGCAAGTGTCACCGTCATCTGTACCATCACACGCATCTGCACATTCGCAAAACTTTCCCTTGTCTATTTCTGCTGACTCCATCGACCACCACACCGCAGACCAGTTGTTGTCAATGGAAACCGATATGTCGCACCAGAATAACTGGGATGCGCAAAGTAAATGGTATCAAGATTTGCATATTGAAACTGACACCAATTCAACCTCGACCTCGAGAGACGAGCTGCAGAGACAAGCATCTAACAATGGCTCAACGCAACAGTCCAGCTCGCAAGCACAGTCTTATCGTGGCATTGGACTTGGTGTCTATGCGTCGGCTCAGCGCCATCATACCGATGTTATTAGCCAACATACTCCACTCGGACATGACCAAAGTCAGACAGCAACGTCAAGTCAAATCTCTCTGACCCCACCGTACCAACCTTCTCCATCTCATGAACCAGAGTCTCATAAACAAGATGATCCCCAGCATGTCATAGATCATCACCACCTTCAGTTCTCGACGCAAGCAACAGCCTGATCACTCTATAAGAATCTCTCTCCATGTCATATAATCTTGTACTTTAGCAGTTGTATCGGTAGCAGACCACCATGCTTTTCATATCTATTTATTATTTTGTATTTCTCTTTCCCTCCTCATATATCTTTTTGATTTTTCTGTGTACTTTTATTTTCTCGGGGTTATCCGGAGATTGTGCTTTTAATTAAAGTCTACATAGTGCTTTTATTGACGCGGTCCATGTTATCTGCCTGAAACTGTACAAGAGGCTTCAACTGGTCTAAACGAGTACGAATCTGTTCATTGATCATCGACTTTGGATCTGCCCAGAAATCCACATCCTTCGTAGATGGTAGTGCGGTATATATATCTACACTGGCCTGTGAGTGTGCAAATTTTCATTCTTACTGTTTTACAAAATCTGACTGCTTACCGTTTAAGATGTTTAGAATCTCAGGGGCAAGGTGGGGGAAAGCCTCAGCCAGGAGACGGGTTGCAGGCAATGCTTCAAGGAGATAAGGTGTGGGTTGTATGGCAGGGACTGAGCCATCTCTTGTTTTTGGAAACGCTAATCTAGACAATCTAGGGAGAACGCTTTTTTCGACTAACTGCGCACTGAACATAAACATTAGTGAATGCAGCTTGCGTTATATAGTCATATTCTTCTTAACTTACTAATTCTCTAAAGGATACTTCTCAAACAAATAGCCAGCCAATAGTATGCCAAACACCTGTTGCTCGGGTTGCGGCTGCCTCAACAGTTCGCCTAAAAAGTTGGATGTAATATCTGTATCAAGCGCACCAATTAATACCGGATCAAGATTACGACAATGTTCGCAGCGACACTCACATATAGAAGGAACATGTTTCATCATCATCGGCAACAAGCGCTTATCGTAGGTCTGGAAATGTAGCAGCTTCAAAAGGATCTGGTCATCGATAAATAAGCCATGAATGAAGCTGCATATCTGACGCCGTATCGATTCAAGCGGGTCTGTTGGTTCGTCATCCTTCCGCAAACATATTTCAAGAAGAAATTGAAGCATGGTCGAGTCTTGCGCATACATCATAGTCGTGAGATTTCGTGCATTAAAAAGTTGCTCCTTCTGAGCAAACACTGCAGAAAACCGTTGCCATGCTTTGTGCTTGGAGGCTGTCCTTAGGCTGCCCAACAGCTGAAGTATTACAAAACAAAACCAAGGTAAGTCTGGGAGCACAATAAATTTGCCACGTTGCTCCAAGGTATCCATCCACCTAAAAACTTACAGATAAAAATATAGGAAACAGTATAGGTGAACGAAATATCCTGGTATCAGCCTTGAATAGAATGATGGGATCGGCCATAAGGGAATTTAGTCTGTGATTACATTGGGAAATAGGTCAAAAATCGGGTATCAAGCAGGCTTATGTAATCGTGTGGTAGGTTGCTTACGTGAAGAGAGTATCTTCATTACAAAGGCAGTTGACAGTTGATACCCATAGTTCACGGGGCGCCAAGCTGTTCATAGTATCCCACACTGCGATGAATGCCTCCTGCACTGTCGGAGAAGACCTAAAAGGCGAATTCGAGAAATATATAACGTGTCCTGCTCATGCCGTCAACAGCCCCGGCTTGCTTACGTACCGTTCGTCCAAAAGAGATGGTAACACTGTGCTCACAACCGCGTCCATTCTATCCATAAGATCAGCAGGTGGTAAAGTAACCACATATCTCAGTTCTGACCGCAATGTAATGAGTACATGCCCACATGCCTCGACTGTACATGGCATATACGTACCTCTTGCTGCCTCAACCGGTTGGTGCAAGTGACTTTTCAGTACATTCATATTAATAGCTCGTCTCGGTTTTTTCAAGGTGAACCTTGATTCCATATCCGCCCGCTCTCGGCTGCCAGCCGCTATAAGGGCGGCATTCACATCAAATAGTTCAGGGAACTGGTTTGCAACACAGCACAGCAGATCAGGGTATATATCACTGAAGCCAGGTGAAAGTTCTGCATGATCTAGAATATGCTTTACAGGCACGCTTTCGAGTAATGCTGCAGAATATGCTAGAAGTACAAAAGTTTGTTGGGTTCATAGAGTGCTGATTGGCATGTTGGATATCAAGTCCACAAAACTTTACCTGGAAATTCTGTGATTGACTGGGACGGGATGGATTCGTTGTAATATAATACATAGAAAAGAAGAATCACTTGTGAGGCTGTCACGTTCACTCTTTGACTCAAGGTGTCTGCTATTGATTCTTCAGACAATGCGTGCACTTGCGGTGAATAGAAGATACTAAAACGCAATCTTGGAATGAGTACCAGCGGCGTTGTATGAAACTTTGCCATTTGTAGCGTGCCGTTTACCTGTTTACATATTCTTTAATGAGAGGTACTAGCTGGGTGTTGATAGGAAGTGAAGCTTTCAGAATATAATCCTTGACTTTTTGAGAAATGTCGACATTCTCGAAAGCATGCCCTCGTAACAGCAAGTAAAAGTGCTCAACGTTAATATCCAGGGACTGAAAGTGGTGCATTGATGTACAGGTAATTGGTGAGTCCGATAGGTTAGCTAAAGCTGTAACATGGATAGATCATTCTTGGCTTTACCATGAACTGTCCAGCTTGAGAGAAAAGCTCAGAGATTTTTTTATGACTCGCGACAAGGTGACCACAAATTTACGCATAAAACTGCGAATTAAATTTTTTTTTTCGTTTCATTTATTTACATCAAAAACATAACGATTGTACGTTGAGCACTATTGTGACTAATATCACACTATGTTTACGCGTCGTCGGCATTCATTAGCATTGGTGTGCCAGGCATTTGTGGTTCACTAAAGCGAGTCTCGAGGAAGGTCTTCATGATACCGGCTTCTTTTTGGTCAAAGCGACGATAGACAACGTCAGTCTGATCGAGTGGGAACCGGTGGGTCAGAATAATGGTTGGATCGAATTCACCTTTTTGGATATGAGACAAGCAAGTATCCCAGTGACGTTGGATAGGTGCCTGTCCACAGCCAACAAGGCGAAGACCCTTTTCCATGACAGCTCCGATCAAGAAGTGGTTTGTATAAGCGGCATAGTCAGCAATCAAAGCTATGGTACCGAACTTCTTGGTGGATCGAATCATCTCGTTAACTACTTCGCTGGAATCCGTTTCCATGCCTAGAGTTCTTTCGACCTTGTGGACAATGCTCTTAGCGTAACGGAATCCGGCACAGTCGATGGCACGGTCAAGTCCACCTGGAACAAGTTCGTTGATCTTGGCCGATACGTCAGTATCTTTGTCAAAGTTGACAAATTCAACTCCCCACTTATTCTTTGCCAATTCCATACGCTCAGGAACATTATCCACGGCAATAATACGAGAAGCTTTGAACACATTGCGCAGCCATTGGCATACGTTGAGTCCAATAGGTCCTAAGCCCCAAACTCCAATAACTTCGCCTTCCTTGACATCAGCTTCCCAGATGGCGTGGTAGGATGTGGGTACAATATCCGAAAGGTAGAGGGCCTTTTCATTTTCGACGCCTTGAGGGACTTTGATCAAGTTGGTATTACCGAAAGGAACTCGGGCATATTCAGCTTGACCTCCGCTGAAGCCACCCACGAACTAATGATGGATGAGTTATTACTTGCTGTCTTCATGCTATAGATCAATTTGAAAGAAGCTTACATGAGAGTATCCCAAAACACCAGCAATTCGATGGCCATACAACTTTTCCATGACGGAACTGTTGTTAGTGCAATCACAGGCAGTAAATTGCTTCTTCTGGCAGTATTGGCAGGTACCGCAGGCAATGTTAAAGGAAGCCACAACTCGATCTCCAGTTTTGACCTTGGTGACTTTGGGACCAGTACTTTCAACGATTCCCATAAATTCGTGTCCAAGAACTTCTCCTGCCTTCATTTGCATAATTTCTCCATGATACAAGTGCAAGTCAGAGCCGCACACTGTATTATCGATTAGAATAAAAAGTGTTGTTGCTGTTTCATATTAATATAGGTAATAATACCTGTGCTTCCGGTGATGCGGATTAAAACGTCTTCATCATCAGTAACTGCAGGCTTGGGCACACGTTTCATCTCAACCTTGTCCTTTCCCATCCAGCAGCAGGCAAGCATATCGGTGTCGGCATGTTCTTGCTTGTCTTCGTTTGCTACTTTCACGGGGACTTCTCCCATCTTCTTCTGAGCCAAATTTGATGCTAGGTTTGCCATTGTAAAAAGTGTTATAATGATAAGAAACTTGTTTTTACTTGAGGGTCCTGCCCGATACTTATACATGATAAAATGTGTATTGGTCATAATGTTCTCAGACTTGCGTTTCGATGACGACAGCCGGCGGTTTTGCATAAGCTATTGCACCCATAACTCCCGGATTTTACTGTATTTTTTATTTTTTCAAATTTCTCCGTATCTTAACAGTTCATCTTCAAGTGTACTTAAACACTCCACGTAACATACCATACCCTTGGCAATTGTTCAGTGTTATAGCCATGTTGGAATTGAAAGTCAGCATGGCCTACTTCGAAAAATTTCGTCAACATTTAACATTCTTGCAGGCGGATAGAAACCCAAGCTCAGCAATGAAACAAAGCAATTCATTGATTTTTCCGAGTTGAAAAATAAAATAAGAAATTTGTTGTTGGGTTGTTGATAGCAGGAGAAGAAACAGAAATGGTGCGCGCCCATGCTCAAGGCGTTCTGGTTCATTGTGTATAACGGCGGGTTGAGGTAATATTGCTATTCTAAATCTGTGTTTGGAATTCGCTTACCTTGAATGAACACGTTGTAACGTGAATGTCTATAGTGATGATCGTGAAGGAAACAATCTGGAAATCATAGAATAAATCATATATGTGCATACACCGTGCCACCTCTGCACCATCTGAGATACGTTGCGTTTACTATTGCAACAAAGGTGTGACTGAGTGAAGACCAGGATTATTCACAGTAGTGTTTTACAACTTTTATGGAATCTTGAGCTAAGGGATTTCAAGTAATAACAATGTATCGCATGTGAACGGTAAACAACATTGATCTCTACTGCTGACAGTTCGTCTTCCAATGAGCCTCTTTATCGAGGGCCCCATGTAAGATTAGATAACACCACATGGTTGTGGGATCCGTTGCAAATTTGCCGTATAGTCTTCCGAAAGTCTCGTCATAAGCTGTAAACGATCAGCGACGCCATTTCACGGCATTATGTACTCGTTTACCTTTCCCACCTAATCGGTAATGATATATAATATTACCGACTGGAAGCCGATACCACTGTTTCCATTTCACTTAGTTTTGGAAGAGAACGTTTATCTTCTCATTATTACAGCAAGTGATACAATTTACCCGTCTTCAGAGTGATTGCTACTAGAGGTTGCATTTTCTAAATACCATTTATGCACTTTAGCCAACGTCTAGGCTGCCTAGCCATGAATACACTAAGAAGAATCTGACGTGGTTTGCAGGTCTCAATACTAACGTACGGGAAAATCTGGCGGGCCGAAAATGTATAAATGGGAGAGATTTTGATCTCTCATAATCATTAACTTTATCATGTCTAGTTCAACAGGTCTTCCAAAGGCTACTTCCTTCCACCAAGTCATTGCATATCGAGCTCAGGAATTACCAGACCATACTTGGTTTTACTATCCTGAACCCGCCAATGCTGCACATTACAGGTCGCTGACATTCAAGGACACTGATATGTTATTGGATCATTTGGCTGCTCAGTATGAAAAATTATTACCAATAGCGGACAGTAGCACTGTCAGTAAGACTGCACCAGCGTCTATACCTCAACCTCCTTTGGTCACTGCTACGCTATGTTCCAGCAACGTCCAGCTGTTGCTGACTGGTCTTGCTGTACAGCGATTGCAGCATGCTTATGCACACATCAGTCCTTTGAACTCAGATGCTGGTATTGTATCGCTAATGAAAAGCGTAGATGCCAAGGTCTTGATCGCCGATAATGTGTTCTATGAGCGCGCCGCAAGTCTGGCTGCACAAGTAGAAGGTATCCACATTGTTCGCATGATTAAATTTGATCCCGTCGATGAACTGAAGAAAGATCTCAAGACATTTGCCTACGATAAAACTAAGGATGAAGGAAGCTACTGCTCCGCCATCCTACATACCTCAGGTACCACTAGTTCTACTCCCAAGCCAATCTGGCACACAAACAAGTCTTTCTTAGAAGGTCTACCATTAGTCATTCGTAAAACTACGCTAGCCTTAGGACTCTTGTAAGTATCATAAGCAACGGCAAAAAGTGCGATCATATTGGTAACCTGCTGTTTTTTTATTGTTAGCTATCATGGAATGGCAGGAGCCGTAGCTCTTATGGCTGCCCAAATGGCTGGATCTATGGCAATACCATTGGCCAAAGATTGTAATCATAGGACTCTTCCTGAAGTTTTCAATAGCTTAAAGGCTCTCCAGAACGTTGACCGTCTTATGATTTATCCCATTCTTGCTGAAACGATTTTGGAAATATATGGCCAAACAAATGGCCCTGAGATTGAGTATTTACGTAGACTGGAGTCCGTAGAGGTTTGGGGAGGCAAGCTATCCAGCGAAGTTGCACGTGCACTACTGGACTTAGGAATCAACGTTGTAAGTATACCGACAAAGAAGTATCGTAGATTTAGTTTCATCCTTATTAAACATCCATTTTCTACCAATTTCAGAGAACCGTCTTTGCAAGTACTGAAGTAGGATTATTCCCGCTCCGAAATGAACCGACTGAGGAGCATTGGGACTCATTTGTTTCCAAAAACGACTACCATTGCAAATGGGAACACATCGAAGGAGACCAATATGAACTTCTGATTAATGATCCTCCCGTTCTTGGTCTGAACCTCGGTGTTCCCCAGGGCGGCGTATTCCGTACCAACGACGTGTTTGAGGAATATCCTTCCAAGTCTGGAAAATACGTCTATATTGGTCGACGAGACCTGATGTTGATCCACTCTAATGGTATCAATACTAATCCTGTTCCCTGGGAAAATGCCCTTCGACCTCTCGAAGAAATTGAAGAATGCCAGCTTGTTGGTCATGGTCGCCGTGGACCCGGTCTTTTGATCGAACTGAACTGGAGTAAGGTTGAGGACGAAGAAAAGGCTCGAGCTACCATCTGGGCAGCTATAGAGGAATATAATAAAACTGTTCTGGTATCGTCAAGAGTGCAACACCAAGAGGCTATGTTCATCCTACCTAGAGGATCTCATCTTGAACGAAGCGATAAAGAAACCGTTAAACGTGGTGTTAACATCAAGAAATTCGAACAGGAGATCAATCAAGGCTATCAGAACTGGAATAGGGCCGCTCCTTTTGCCAAGGTATAGATAACCAAGCATAAATAGGTTCTGTAGATGAAGACTTTGCACCGCTAGTATACACAATAAACCCTACTATTTCCATCTTTTCCTCTAGTCTTAAAAAAAAACATTCTGACGCAATCGTTTGATGCAAGTACTTAAAGAACATTGTGGCTAAAGCCAAACATTGAATTCATTGTTTTTATCTAGCGGCTGTCACTATTTATAAGACCACCATCGTTTAGGAAAAGTACCATCAGATATGAAGACATTCAAAGTCAATTTGAATTGCTGGTGTCAATAGTGGTGTTAAATTACAGTCAAAGCAGGCAACAAAGCCAACGAACAACCCACCAATAATGGCACCAAATGTAGTTGCACTGGTGGAAACCATTCCAAAAACGCACTGTTGTTGTCATCCACTGCGGCAAACAATGATGAAGAGTAGCATAATGTCATACGAGCATGGCATGTAAAGACTGATAAGCTCTGCACAACAATTGTATAACACAGACCCAATAAAATCATGACATAAATGCGCCGCACATCAACTAACGAACAGTTCACGAGGGAAAAAAATGGCCTTCTATTTTGCGGATTATATATCAAAAAACAAGTGATTCATGGAAAAAAAATTACAATTTTGGTTATGCTTTTTGGTTTCTCAAGGGGAGGGTTTGGTGGGAGATGAGATTTTGTGATTATTTCTTTGTTTGAGTTTTTGCTCCCTTGAATGGAACGTTGAAACCAGAGAGCAAAAGTCGTCCCTCAGCATTGGTATTAGCAGTGGTGTTGAAAACAACATCAAAACCAGTCATCTTTGGGTACATATCGAATGAACCTTCGATTTCAGGGAACAAAGCAAGAGCACTTGGTGGGAAACCAATTCCAATGTTACCGTTACCGTCACCAGATGTCATGGGAAGACCGTGCCACTCCTTCAATCGTGGCAAGACGATTTCCACCAACTTATCCAAAAACTGGTACATCTCCTTGCCGCGAAGTGTGACCTTGACACCAATTGGCATTCCTTCTCTATTGATAAAAAAGACCATTTGGACGTTAATGTAAGGCACAACCATCATGTAATCTAACAGTCTTCAGTGCAGGTACCTGAGCTTCCAGTTAGCGACGGATGTCTTTGCAAAAATGACTTCGGGCTTGGTGGCGGTAATGCTCTGCAAAGCCATAAACGCAGACAATATGTGGTTCTTTTGATGAATAGCATCCTTGACCATGGCGTGAACGGTGATCTTATCGAGGGTAGGGATGTTGCTGCCATTCTTAAGTGGTTGAATGGGCTTCAAAGGCTTGCCTCCCTTTCGCTTTCTGACCTCCTCGACTTTAGGTGCAACCACAACTGGTTCTTCAACCTTTTCAGAAATAGCGTTGTTCAACAATGCCTCCAAATCAGCGTTCTTCAACGTTGGTGGGGAAACTTTGGTATGGTCGTAGGTCAATACCATAAGATCTTCGGCAACAATGTTGTGATAATGCTCCTTCAATCTGTTCAGTCCATGGGAAGAAGCAACGACAGCTCCTGTGCTGAAAAGTCTGTGACTAGGCGCTGCTCGGGCGAGACTGCGTTGTGCTAAGAGCCGTAATGCCATGGTGAATGAGAGCTTTGCTTGTCAAAGTCGAAATAAACAAATTTGTTGGAAAATGTTAGGCGACCGGCGATATGGCGGTCACACACACGTGATCTCAGATTTTTTTCGTTTTCTGCGGTTCTGAAGCAGGGCTATTTTTTTTCCTGCTTTGCAACGACTTACAGCAATCTCAAGAGCCACTAATATTATATAGACCTATCATGTCTGAAGAACGTGCAAAGAAGAGGTCCAAGACTGCCAAGGAAGTGGATCCAAAAGATAACCCATATTTGGCACACTTGCAACCAACAAACGAGTTTTCACAAGTCGACTTCCATGGTTTAAAAGCTGGTAATACAACAGGTGCTCAAGCTGAAGTTGTAGAAAACGGCGACATCAATCCTTTCAACAACAAGCCTTTCTCCGCAAAGTATAAGAAGATTTTGGAAGGTCGCCGTAAATTGCCTGTCCATGCTCAGCGCAATGAATTTTTAGAGATGGTACACAACAACCAGATCATTGTGCTTGTCGGTGAAACTGGATCAGGAAAGACTACTCAGTAAGTTTATGGAATGTTATTTAGAGTATATGGTGTGTGAGCTTGGGCAAACGCATGGACTATCTATCTAAACCACTTTATCAATTAGAATCCCGCAGTTCCTTGTCTACGATGATCTGCCCAACCTCAAGAAAAAGCAAATCGCCTGTACTCAACCTCGTCGTGTCGCTGCCATGTCCGTGGCTCAGCGTGTAGCTGATGAAATGGATGTCCCTCTTGGTCAACAAGTTGGTTACAACATTCGTTTCGAGGACAACACCAGTCCCTCAACCTTTTTAAAATACATGACGGACGGTATGTTGCTCAGAGAAGCCATGTCTGATCCCCAATTATCCAGATATTCGGCTCTTATTCTTGATGAGGCTCACGAAAGGACCCTGAATACCGATATTCTTATGGGTCTTGTGAAGGAAATCTGCAAGCGAAGACAGGACCTCAAGGTCATTGTCATGTCTGCTACTCTTGATGCTGGAAAGTTTCAAAAGTATTTCAACAATGCTCCGCTTCTTAATGTACCAGGTCGTACTTTCCCTGTCGAAATTTACTATACGCCAGAGCCTGAAAGAGACTATTTGGAAGCCGCCATTCGCACAGTACTTCAAATCCACTTGTGTGAATCTGAAGGTGACATCTTGGTGTTCTTGACAGGTGAAGAGGAAATTGAAGATGCGTGTAGAAAAATCAAAGCAGAGGCGGATGAGCAAATAAGACAAGTTGACTGCGGTCCGCTCAAGGTAGTCCCTCTGTACTCTTCACTTCCACCCAACGCACAACAACGAATTTTCGACCCAGCTCCACCAGCACGTAAGGCAGGTGGTGCACCTGGTCGTAAAGTCATCGTGTCTACCAACGTTGCTGAAACTTCCTTGACCATTGATGGTATCGTGTATGTTGTGGATCCCGGATTCTCCAAGCAAAAGGTGTACAATCCAAGAATCCGAGTTGAATCTCTTCTTGTGTCTCCCATCTCCAAGGCTTCTGCTCAACAACGTGCAGGTCGTGCTGGACGTACACGACCAGGAAAGGCTTTCCGTTTATATACCGAGAATGCATTTGTCAAGGAATTGATCGAACAGACATACCCAGAAATTCTTCGCAGCAACCTTGGCACTGTGGTTCTTCAGCTCAAGAAACTCAAGATTGATGATTTGGTTCACTTTGACTTTATGGACCCTCCGGCTCCAGAAACTTTGATGCGTGCTTTGGAACTGTTGAACTACCTTGGTGCTCTTGACGACGATGGTAATCTGACTCCTCTTGGTGAAATCATGTCCATGTTCCCATTGGACCCTCAGCTCAGCAAGATGTTGATTGAAAGCCCTGGATACTATTGTTCAAATGAAATTCTGTCCATCACAGCTTTGCTATCAGGTATGTCACGCTCAATAATTAATTTCCGGTATTTTGTGCATTGATAAGCACTTTAAGAATTCGAATGCATCTTACTAACAACTATATGTCAAAAATTGACACTCCGTCGCCCAACCAACAGTTCCCCAAATCTTCATTCGTCCCAATGAAGCAAGAAAGGCTGCCGACGAAGCAAAGGCTCAATTTGCTCACCCAGATGGCGATCACCTTACCTTACTCAACGCTTATCACGCCTACAAAACCAATGGTGCAGATCCTAAATGGTGTTATGATAATTTTTTGAATCAACGTTCTTTGAAGTCTGCCGACGACGTGCGCAAGCAATTGAAGCGGACCATGGAACAGTATGATTTAGACTTGGTATCTACCAACTTTGAAGATAAGAATTATTACACCAATATTCGCAAAGCTATGGTGTCTGGCTATTTCATGCAAGTAGCCCATTTGGAACGTACAGGCCATTACCTTACTGTCAAGGATAATCAAGTGGTTGTCCTTCATCCATCATGCTGCTTAGATCACAAGCCTGAATGGGTACTCTACAATGAATTTGTGTTGACTACACGAAATTATATTCGAACATGCACAGAAGTCAAGGCTGACTGGTTATTGGATTGCGCACCTCAATATTATGATCTCACCAACTTTCCCAATTGCGAAGGCAAGCGGGTACTAGAAAAAGTTTGCGCACGTAGAGCTTCACGTGGGTACCAGGACGACAAGAAGTCTTCGAAGCAGCGAAGAAAGTAGCGGAGTTCCCGGTTGAATTGTGCCTAAAAAATAAAAATCCGTTTCTCAATTTACATGTGTCATCATTTTATCTTTTACTCTTTTCTCATAATGAAGACTTTGCCTACTGTCACGACCTTTGCTGACACTGTTGCTCAAGTCGAGACGAATGGAGAGGAAGCTTATGGAGCCTTAATTGCTCAAGCCGTTGATGTTCAAGAAATTGATGTTGGTTGGACCCGAAGCAAACAGTTGTGGAAGCCTTTAATGGCTCGAGGTGTTTTCGGTGGCCAGGTAAGGAATGAATCCTCAAGTACAATTGAGGGAAAGCAAATGTACTGACCATGCTATAGGTTGTAGCACAAGCCCTCATGGCTGCGGCAAAAACAGTTGAGAGTCATTTCTCTCTGCATTCTCTGCATTCATACTTCATTCTGCCCGTAAGTTACCTATGAGAGAACTTTTATCTATTTCGATCACCGCCCCAAGCGACTCCCAGAGATTGACATAATTATTTTTGGGGATAGGGTAATAATCAAATGCCTATTTTGTATCAAGTGGAACGTCTGAGAGATGGAAAGACCTATGCTACCAGAGTGGTTAAGGCAATGCAACGAGGACGAGCCATTTTCTCGGCTAGTTTCAGCTTTGCTGTTGCTGAACCTGGTATCTCTTTTGATCATCAAGTTGCTTTCCCAAAGGTTCCTGAACCTGAATCCTTGCCCTCCGAAGACTTTCGTGTTGAGGAATTGTTAAACCACCCTGATCTTGAGATCCCTGAAAAGTATCGCACTTACCTCCAACAGCGTCTGCAGGAACAAGCTCCTATCGACTATAGAGATGCTCATGTTGCCAGTGTTGAGGAGCTTGCCAAACTGACTCCTGTCAAGTCTGATCGCCAACAGGTATGGTTTAAGGCTCAAGGTTCCTTGAACGATGACCCTGTCCTTCACCAGGCTGTTCTTGCCTATGCTTCGGACGCCAACCTTTTGCACACAGCTGTTCGAACCTCTGGTTTGGCTCGCACCGAAATCGGTATGATGGCTAGTTTGGATCACGCCATGTGGTTCCACGCTCCTTTCCGAGCTGATGAATGGTAGGTGTTTTTTAAGTCATTGATAGGCTGATATGGCACGCATCGATTAACCTGTACTTTAGGCTCTTGTACGATATGGACTCTCCTCGTGCTAGCTCTGGCCGTGGTCTGTGCTTTGGCCGTATCTTCCGACGAGATGGAACTCTAGTTGCGACCACAGCACAGGAAGGTATCATTCGATTGAGCCTTCGTGAGCAAGAAAAGCGACGCCAAAAGGCGAAGAAGGAGAGCAAGATCTGAGATGACTTATACCATGTCAAACCGAGTTTTTTTGATTTTAGTTTTCTTCATTCTTACCACTTTCTATCTTTCACATTTTATACTTTTCCCAATTAATCATTGTAGCATACAGGACATAGATTTTTATATGTTTTTTTTTCTAATTATTTTTGGTCATTAAATCTTATTTGATTACAGACCAACGATACACTGCTGTCAACATGTCTAATCGTTTGGATTGTGGTCGGTTTGAAAGCTTGTTTGCTGCCAAAACTTGCTGATAGCCTTCAGTGTGGTTGACCAGATAAGCCACTGGGGACTTGCAATTTTGCAACGAGCTGAGCGTCCAATTTTTTTTTTTATTTCGATCCACACATAGCCTATCTTTTGTGCTATACTGCTTGTCATAATATGTCCAGGCATTCAGACGTCGACGATACAGCATCCGATTCCGATGTCTCGGAACTTAACAACCATGATATCGGTGCTTCTTCAATTGCTGTGACGCAATTAGGATTTGCAGAAGATCCCGAAGAACCACTTACAGCCGAAGCTTTTCCTAGTAAATCGGGTGGCCTACCAGTAAGTCGAAATCTTTGACAGATGCACGCCAAGTGTAAGTAATCCTTCACTGATACTAACTGGTAACCCTTCTATAGCTATGGCTAAACCCAGAGCACATTCTTCAAGAAGTAATATGCCAGGTTTGCGAAAAGCCTATGAACCATCTTATACAGGTTAGTAGTGTAGTGCCTTTCTTCGAATATCTCAGTAATTAACTCATCAAATAAATATTTCAATTAGCTCTATACACCGGAGGATCATCCGGCTGAAGCATACCATAGAACTGTCTATGTCTTCTGCTGCAAGGACGGTGCTTGTCACAAGAAGAATTGGAAGAAATGGTAAGGAGTTGTTGATACGGCTATTTTACTTGCATCAGGCGCCATCGTTCTCACCCAGATTAGCTTCAAGGTGTTCCGAAGTCAATTGCCACGACAGAATCCTTACTATAGCCCAAGCTCAGAATCAGACTCGGAAGACGATGACAGCTGGGAGCCAAAGCAATTTGATGCTCCACGTTTGTGCTCCATTTGCGGTGTTCAAGGTACGAAGACCTGCGGAAAATGCCACAACGAATATTACTGCTCACGAGAGCACCAATTGGCTGACTGGACCTTCGGCGGACACAAGCAAACTTGCTGCCAGACTCTGTCAGAAACACAGCATAAAGACATCACAGCGAAGCGTAGGCAATTAGTGTTTGCTGAGAAGGAGATAGTGAGCGAACCTGAAGGTCGCGGTGAAGATGGAGAAGAAGAAGACGCACAACAGGAGTTTTCAAAGGAACATAATGGTGCCACTGAAAGCCGTGCATTGGTACCAGCTGGTGACGAAATCTACGAAAATACTGAAGTTGACGTGGACCAAGCTTTTCTTAAATTTCAGCTCAGAGTCCAACTTTACCCTGAGCAAGTGATTCGATATACACGTACAGAATATGGACAGGAAGACGCTGAGCCTCTGTGGGTAAGCGACAAGGGAAAGCCAGATCCCAAGGTCGATGTGCCAGCATGTGCAGCTTGTGGAGCGGAGCGAACGTTTGAATTCCAAATCCTCTCGACTCTCCTCAACTACCTCGGCGTGAGCCATGTCGCAACTGATTCCCTTGACTGGGGCTCACTGTATGTATATACCTGCAAAGATAATTGCCCCACTCAATCCAATTATATAGAAGAAGTGTTATGGAAACAGGATTTCTCAGAAGAAGGTGTTCAGCTTCCAACCGCTCGACCGGATGCTGTGCGTGCTAATGAATAGTTTGTAATAATAAAGATGCATGAAGGAAGTTAGTTTAACATAAGGTACAACTGCTGACAATGTTTGTATGGAAACATGGCTATGGTTTTAAAAACCGTTTACCCCACAAAAACGTCACCAGCTCATGTGTGGCCCAAGCAAAAATTTAAGCTTTACCCATCGTCTTTCATGGACTATGGTTTTATTAATGGAATTAGCATTGATTTCAGCAGGTCTGGCCATAAAGCTCAGTAAATAACATATTGGAAATACAAACTATCCCGTCAGTTTAATTCATAAATGGTGTGTGAATTTAAAGAGGTGATACTGAGTGGGGTGACCGATTCAGGTGGTAATTGAATGATGGGGTCACGTTGACGGTGTCGGTCCTCTTTCGTAACAAGGAAAGACAAGCAGGTTCCCGCACCGCACCCCTCATCGCCTCCTCTTCGGTTCGTAATATATATAAAAGCATTAATTGCGCCATCCTTTGACATCTAAGGATTCCTCTTAATGCCATTACGTCTGCCATCTGCAAGTAGTGCGAATAAAGGCATAATAATCACATGCCTGGCATTCTTACTGTTCGTTTTATTCTACACTCAATCGGCCATGTATCCGCCAGACGAAACCACCACACAACCCATATTACCTCCCCCATGCCAAGACTGTCCCCTTTCTAAACCTCGTCCTCCACGAATTCCTCTCCACTTGCCAAATGCTCGACCTATGGTTGCTAAACGCAAGTTCACAAGCGACGCCATAGAACAAGTTGTTCAACGTGTGACAGCTGTCATGGCTGATAGAGATTTGGCTGCCCTCTTTAGAAATTGCTATCCTAATACGCTTGATACGACAGTTGCATGGTTTCATGATGACCATGCTAATGATTACAAGCGGCCGCGATCATTTATTGTTACTGGCGATAGTAAGTTATCCAATTTTGATTTAAAAGGCTTATAGTTTACCCAATTATACTGATGCATAGCTTGATAAAGTACCTGCGATGTGGATACGAGACTCTACACAGCAACTTTTACCTTACTTGCCCTTCGCGCCTTTAGATTACGATTTACAAAATTTGATACTGGGAGCCATCAAAGTACAGGCCACCTACCTAGCCTACAATCCGTACGCTAATGCATTTCGGATGCCGCCCGACGGACCTAAACCCGTTCATCATCAAACCCACGGAGATAGAGTTGTACCCCCTTATGACCCCAGCATTGTATGGGAAGCCAAGGTTTGTTATTTAAACAAACATCGATGCTACTTCTCTTTATTTGCGCTGACTCTTGAAATTTTAATGATAGTATGAACTGGATTCACTGGCTGCCTTTTTCAAGCTGAGCACGGAATATGTGCGGATCACAAAGGATTCTATTCGACTCATCCAAGATAAAGAATGGCTTCAAGCCGTTCATCGTGTACTTGATCTTATTGAAGAACAAATGAGAGGTACATGGGAAGAACCTCGTCGATCGAAAGAAAAGGAACCCCACTATTCTCTAGTCAATACTACTTCGCTCAAAGGAGTTCCTCTTGGAGAAGGCTACCGATTCTTACGCACCACTGACATACCAACTGAGACGTTGGGCCAAGACGGCTTAGGTGGTGTGGTCAAGCGATGTGGGCTGGTTAAGTCCGCGTTTAGGCCAAGCGATGATGCGACCACAATGCCATTCTTGGTAAGCCTTTTCTTGTACAAAGTTTGGGTTTGCAGGGTACTAACCTATGTCAACACAGATACCGGCCAATGCCATGATATCTGTAGCATTACAAGATTTGGCCATGCTCTTTGAACAGGTTTCGTACAAAGACCCATTGGCCGTCCTGCCAATATTAGCGGAACGCTGTCGCAGCCTAGGTTTGACCATTCGTGAAGCTGTCTTTCGACATGGCGTAGTTCAACATCCTAAATACGGTCAGGTGTTTGCTTATGAGGTGGATGGATTCGGTGGACAAATGCTTATGGACGACGCCAACATTCCCTCTCTCCTATCGTTGCCCCTTTTAGGCTTTATATCCAAACGAGATCCATTGTATCTAAACACAAGAAAATATGTTCTTTCTGACGATAACCCTTGGTTTTTCAGAGGTAGTCAGATCGAAGGCGTCGGGGGACCTCACGTAGGTCGAGACATGGTATGGCCAATGAGTGCCATGGTTCGAGCTCGCACTGCTACGACTGCTGACGAAGTGCTAGATGCATTGGAAATGCTCAAGCGTACCACGGCGGGTACTGGTTTAATGCATGAATCGGTTAACAAGAACAACGCTACGGATTTTACGCGTTCATGGTTTAGTTGGGCCAATGGACTGTTTGGCGAAACCATCCTTGAAGTGCTTGAAGAATGGCCTGAAGTGATCGAAACCATACAACCCGCAGATTGAATGTCGTACAAACAATTGGCGGTCTCCCATTTTACCTTTAACTTTTTGCAAAAATAAAAATTAACATAAGGAATAAACTCACTTTCATTGCGCCCATGAATCGTCGTTCCAATCGAATTCAGCTGGATTCTAAGTCTTCGTGGACTGCGGCCTTGTGGCCGCAATGCAACTGCTGTTTTCAGACACCGGGGGCTATCAGGTTGCCGGATGATGAACCCAACATGCCAAGACATGCTGCTCATCCACGAACCTATATGTTCAGCCAAACCAGTGATATGGAGTTTGAGGCTCTGCTGTCAGAAGACGACGATGAACATGACCCACGGCTCTTGGAGGATAATGATAGCTGGTTGGAAAATGATGCTGAGCTTGTACCTGTAGATCGCATAAATCGACTATTGAAAGTCAACCAAGAGGTAAGTTGCAGTTGATAATAAGCCAAGGAAGGGTTTGACTTGACACCATCATGCCTATTATTCAGCTTGGACCTATGGTACATGATGATTTTGAAGACACTGAGTTACGACCTAAACGTGAAAGTCTTCCGCAACCATACATTATCCATGAGCTACCTCAACCCCGCTTGCAAGTTGATGCTTCTTCGTCTGCATTGACTGAGGAAAACACGACGCCTAGTGGTATAGTTGATGCAGAAGAATTGGATATCCAAATTATTCCCACTATCGAGACGGAGGACTTGGTAACTCCGTTGGTGGATATAGACAAGGTCGAATCCAGCTCACTTTCACCTCTTCCAGTGAGAAATTCGTTCATAGAGCAATCATCGGCTCTGTCGGCAGAGGAAGTCGATCAGACGGACATTCAAGAGGAGATGGAAGCTGTAAATGACTCCGTCCCTTCAGGAACGACTGATCAACTTATTGTAGATGTCACTGAGACATTGGTAATGACACCTCATACAAACAATGAAGCTGTTTTGGAGGTTTCAGAAACACCCACTCCTTCCGTATCTCCCATAGACGACAAGGAAGATAAAACGGTCATGGATAATTCTTCGGAGGCGGTTCAGGTGACGGAGGAGAATCAATTGGCAGGTACAGCGCCGACGGTTGCGCAGACTGTTGATATCTCTTCAGATGTCAAGGCTGATACAGCCAACATCTCCAGCGAGTCACAAAATTTACAGAATAATCCTCAACGGCCTACACATGCTCGCCGTACATCCGTTGCTCAGGTCGCGCAATCCTATCTCGGTGATAAACTTGAAGATCTTACTGAGAAGTTGACCTTTATCAAGAAGAACATCATTATGAGTCTTGAAGAGGATGAAGATGAGGAAGATGAATTTGCGGCCTCTACCTATACACCACGCCCATCCAAGTCTCAGCAGATGCGTCCGCGGCCCATGCCAAAGCCTCATTCAACAACAAGTGAAACGCCAGTTTCGCAGAGGTAAGTGTTGTTTTTGAACAGGTGAAATCGTTCTTTTGTGCATCGTCAGAAACTAACGGATTTCATGGAACGATATCAATTTTAGACCACAACGGAATTCATCACTACCAAAGTCAATGACAAGCCAGAAACCACAGCAGGACTATCCTCAATCTCCACAAACACCTAGACCATCCGTGGAGCGTTTTAACTCTTTCCAAGAAGAGGCCTCAGCTTCATTTTCTCGTATTTTCAGCAAGATCACCTCAACCAACGATAGACCATCATTCTCCCCATCTTCCTTCTTTGCCGCCCTGGCTGGTACAGAAGAGGAAACTGGCCCATCCTCACCGCTGCCCCCACAATCTCCTGCACCCAGTAGTGAGATACGTACTGCACCAACCAGGACCTCCAGCCGTGGTTACGTTGACCAGCAGAAGATGGATGTGCGTAATGCCGAACAGCGAGCGCAAGCATTGCGAAGACCTGGCGCACGCAATAGTATTAACATGTTTGAGGAGGGTCAAGCTGATCAGGAAGGTGAAGTTGTCTTCGATTTCGGAAAGGTTCTGGAGATGGGACGTACTTTTGGCAAATCGTTGGGTGGGGATGTGGTGCAGAACGGCCTCAAGGTGTTCAACGACGTGTCAGATCGGATGAAGAAACGAAGAGGAAGCGGCGAAGATAATTGGTTAGGCAGAGACAGCTGGCTGTAGTTATATCCATTCATTTTATTACATGATACATTTTTTCTCCTCTGACACCATACCATTCAAAAAAACCAAAAAACAACGTATACCCAACCCAATTCCCTATCAAAACCAATATACACGATTTGCCTGGTTTTTATTTAATTAGATATTCCAAGCCGCAACATCCAATCCGGAGGCTACAGGTGATGGTGCGTAGCATTCAACAGACACACATAAAGGCGTATTATAAAAAAAAAAAAAACTGGGGCAACACAGGTTATTCGTGAGAGATTTGACTTCAATAGGGTGACCATGATCAGTGTATCATCACAAAAATCTCCGCATGGAACCTCTGAAAGATGAGGCGAACGATTGTACATCGCATGCGAGATAGACTGGCTAATGTGCTGCGGTATTCCATTTGCGATGGATATATCCAACGCAGATATTCAATTTAAAGCGTCGTGGAAAATGTATACTCTCTTATCTTAGCTTGTGAAGCAGCAAAAGAAACTGTTTCCTGTCTGAAGGCTCGGCACCTTTAACCCTTTGCCTTTGCATATCTCCACATTTTTCTGATACTGTTCTGAGGATATATTCTCAATGTAGTCTTTATCAGGCCAGGCTGCATAAAAGTAAAATTCATCGCCAATAACTTTGATGCCATACAGGGGATATAATATGTCTCTGGAGTAGTTGACTTGTGTCGCGGGTATAAACGACGCGATTAGCTTGACGTCCCCTTGCTGTACCTCAGGTTATATCGGTGGTTGTTCTTGCGAAGGAACCACACAATCTATTCGTCCCTCCGGCCCTCTTTATCAATGAATGCTTCGAAGCTCTCACCTCCAAACATTCAAACGTAAGTTCGAAGGAACCATATACAGACGCCGGCCATCCTCAAGCTTGCACTTCTTTGAAAATTCGTTGACCAGATCTTGAATCTATGGCACAAACCAATTGAACGACAAATTTATGTTATTGCTCAGCAAAAATTTAACCTTGGTCAGCAGAAGACGTTGAGCGTCAGTCAAATCAAGGTTTTCGGAAGGCTGGAACGTCAATATGCGATTGTAATTGAAGTCTGGTAACGACATATGCTGAAGATAATCCGACAAGTCAGCACTGATTGATCCATATACTTTTTGATACGATGTTACTTCAACAACATTTGTCTTGAGGGCGTCTTCTTCGTATTTACCAAACAATGAAATCTGGCCTCTCAGATTAATCGACTTCATGAAACGATCTGCGTTCCGTCAAAGCTTTTTTGGTTCAATTCGGTCACCATGTTGTGTTGATCGTAGAAATCAAAATCCTTACTATACACCAGTTTTATGAGCGAATTCTTCTCATGCGACAAGTCCTTAAATGAGAAGCAGGGACCATATGGTATCATTTTATAGCTTTATCTGCTTCATTACTTGATCTTTTATAGCCGATGTGTTGACAGCACGGAAGAGCAAGAAGTGATAGTCAGCCCACATCTTCGTCGAGCCAAAAATCGTAGTTTTTTAAATGTACAATTCGCCTCAAATGGACTAAAAAGAGAGCTTGCCAAAATAGCATTTTGTGCGCATAAGGTCTCGGATGAAGGTCTTCACTTTCTTCGCCCGTCATCCTCATGATAAAAAATACTTATCACCATTGTGCTTTGCCTGGCTTTAGAGCGCCGTTACATGGATGCTCAGGTTCCTTGCATCAGGCGCAGGAATTGTATTATTCGTTACTCTGTCAACAGAGGAAACTCGATTACTAAGTGCAAAGATTGTTACAGCGTAGCTAAACAGATTAAAAGTCACAACTCATAATCATAAGTCTGAGCCTTTGCCCTTTTTCTTTCAAATATGGAGAATTCTGCGGAGTAGCATATGCTTATCCAATACCGGGAAAACTATGCACAAGGTACGGTATGGTAACGCAATATGGGTTATAATAATACTGAGACTCAAATACTTATAATGCTTTGAATTTTCTTTTCTATATAAAGCGTGCTAAACAAAGTTATAATACCAGCAGTGTGCAATAGATTGCATGTTTTCACGACAATGATTGACCATGCTGACTAGTGATCGTGTGCGTTCCTAGGAGGAATTGGTTTCACTCAAGCAATCAAAGTTTATGTGACACGGTTCACAGCTGTCACACCCAGCAGATCTCTATTCCGAGATGGTTATATTTTTAAGCTTGGAGGATATAAAATACAAGGTTAAAGGGAAGTATTCCATTGCAAGAAACATAACGAAGGCTCAACTTAAAGCAGAAGCGATCATTGTATTCAAAGACTCAGATTGTAATAATCGACATGCTGTGTAATTGATTGTCAGTCAAGCCACAGTGTTACTGCGACAGTTCGTACCCCTGACTAGCGGCAGCATGTATTTAAACTGAGAAACGGCCATTCACTTTCGTGCACTTCTCTTTTTACTTTGAAAGAGACCGAACAATATGCGTCTGACATGTGCCTCATTATGTTTAATAGGTTTATTTGTCCAAAAAGCTACCTCTGTGTCATTGTCGTATCCATTTAACGGGGGGACTATAACAGCGGGAATATCCTTTCAAATTGACTGGCAACCGGACGGATTACCCAGTCTCTCAGGTGATGGATCGATGGATATTCTTCTTGTTACTGATATTTCAGCATCTAAGGTGGTAGCCGTATTGGATTCAAACGTTTCGCCTTCAGGGTTGTTTACCTCGGCGACTGTCCCACTAACTGTCACAAATGGAGCGTATTACATCCAACTCAAAGTGACAAGCGGTAATGAAAAGACTGCAGTCAACGGGCCATTCATTATTACTGGTGGATCGCAAAGCAGCAGTAGCTCTAGTGCAAACAGCTCTCAGACTTCCAATGCAGATGCAAGTAACTCTCAGTCTTCTAGTACAGCCACACATACCGTTACAAATGCATCGGCAACATACAATTCCCCAGAATCGTCATCCCTATCAAAAGGCGCAATTGCTGGTATAGCAGTTATAAGTGTCGTTGTGATGGTAAGTTTATTGGATAGTAGGATCTAGTCAGCGTTATGCAACTAATCATCCTGTTTTAGGTCGCAGCAATCGGTGGAACAATTTTCTGGTGGCGCAAGAAAAACAGGCTTGTAGATGCCATCACAACAAAGTTCGAGAATGAAGCTAAGTTTTATGATCGACAAGCTCAGATGAACGATGTGCAACCTACTAGTGGTGGTACTCCTTCACCAACTTCACCACAGGCTACAAGTTATAATGCTTCATTTCAAAATACCAACGCATTGAGCACCGAGCCATATAACTATGTAGCCGGCCCTAACTATGCTGTAGATCAACAGAGTCAAATACCACTACAATCCCCACCTGCATATTATCCGAGTGCTCACATTCATAATTCCGCCACTGCATATCCCATTCCTATGCCTATGCCTGTTCCATTTGTTAGGCAACAAGAGGAGCCACATCACCAGCAGTCGATATACGATGCATATGTCAGCAACGCCGGAAATCCAGCTATGACTGACTCCAGTAGAATGGAAGTCAGCACTATATCTTCTGCACCAAATACCAATGACACATCCTCATTGTTGAACAGTGCGGTTCAACAAAGTTCCATCCGCCATGTGCCGCATACTCCAGACGAAGTTGTTACTTCACCACCACATCTAAATGATGCACAACATCCTCCACATACTGCATAATTTGATTTCTATCTGCCAAGACAGACGTTGATGCCGTCTACAGCTATATTGAGCAATCCAGAATGGCTGAGAGATTGGAGGTCACAACCTTAAGCCAATAACACTTTCAATACAAAAACACAATGTGATTGCCAACAGTTGAAACATTGCCCATAACGACTGTCCATCTTGATTTTAATCAAACCGCTCACATCCCAAGAGAACTCGTAAAAACTACTAAATGCGAGTCGCCTTTTACTATTTCATAATCTATCGCTTGTCTTTCTTCGTTGGCCTATTAATTACGTGAATGGGCATTGCGTACTGATACATTGGTCAAATAATAAAGATCTGTACAGCCCTTAACATCATTATATGAAGTAGCGATCCATGCTGCTATGAACTAATGACCTTCACGTCAACACTCTCCTACCCTTATGCTATCATTTTTGACCTGAAGACGCTCTTGAAAGTCTATCAACTTACCCCCTGTGGATTGTTTCATGATTAATATTGGCATTTATTCAATCTATCAAACGTTCGTAAGCGGATCGTAAGGGTGTTGCTGTTAAATAACCGAATGTCCTCGCTGCGATTTCTCAATCATAGCAGAATCCTGCATAAACCGCCAACTCCACGAAGGTAATTTTCGATGCCTTTAATTCTTCTTGTAAGGACTTAGTGATACAATTTACCATCCACAGTGTATCAAGAAATGATTTCGATGCAAGCAAGTGTATATATCAATCTTCAGTCCGATATCATAGTCAGTATGCCGTGTAGCTCTGCTGAATCTTGCACTGTGCTTGTTAAGAAAAAGACAATAACAAAAAATGACCTTGTAACTACCTTCCAAATTTTTCTTTGAGGAAGCCATCTAAACATTGTACTAATCTTTTGGAAAGGCATGACGCTGGTGTGAATTAATAAGGCACAATAAGAACACTAATTAACGCGCTCAAAGGTCGTGGACGCTTCAACCCTGAATAATCTTTAAATATTTCATAAAAACTGTCCTTACGTACTATCCTCTGTTATTCATCCGGGATTGCCCAAACCGATAATTCATGCGCAGAGGTGAATATTGGTGGTCTCATAGAGGTCGTTAGATGAAATTAAGGTGTAGTTACTTAGGCATTCATGGCAGAAAACGAACTTTAATGTTGGGGACAAAGTCAAAAACGCCCATGTAAATCTAAGATTCAACTCACGGTATCATTAAGGACTCGATGACTACTTCGGAAAAGGACAGGGTGAGATCTTGTGCTGAAGCTGAAACTAAGCGGTTGGATTGGTGTCATAAATGGTGGGTGATACCACTTATGGAAAAGTGAGAAAAAAGAATGATAAAACATAGAGACTATAAGTAGATGGTGCAAGTAAAAATCGAAAAGAATTGACTTGGGCAAGGGTGAAATGTAGAACGACATTCCAGAGGACAGCCCGTCATGAAAGGTGCATTTGAAAGAAGAGGGCGTTTTTCAAAGCCCGCATCTGAAGGGAATTTTGTACCTATGTTTCTAAGTCATGCTAAAAAAATTCGCGCTGATGGACATCGTGGTTGGAAACCGAACAAGTATGGTGTAAAGTCAGTTTTGCATGGTATTTAGATTTTTTGTCCTTTGGTTGCAGATAAGCCGCTTTTTTACGACTGGATTGTGTATGTCCAATCGAGAGAGCTATAAAGATTGACTTTTATGTTAAAGGGTACTTTCCATGGATCATGTTTGCTCAACGTCGCTGAAGTATTTTTTTATATAGGAATAAACCTTGGCAAGAGAGGATCATCTTAAAGATATTGGAGTTGAATGCTTCTATTAGAAATGATGTGGTTTTCTTCTTACCATTATGGAAGCAGCTATTTTCGGCTGCTGTCAATTGCCGTTATGAAATGTGTCGAGAAAATGCCTCCGCTTCAGTACAATTTCATCACGTATTTTGACATCAAATTTGTACATTGGTTTGGTAATAATATATTCGTCAAATATGATCCTTTCATATGCTATTGAAAATACATAATTTTATTAAGGAAATGAAGAGTCGACATACTGAAGCTACTAAACGGGAACGCCTCTGTTGATCTTGACGGCTTTCACTTGCGTATACTCAGCAAGAACGTACTCCCCTCCTTCACGGCCAAATCCAGATTCTTTGTAACCACCGAGCTGTTGATTCGAATGTCAGCTTATGTATACAACATATGACTCTCATATCAGTAAACTTACCGGACTGGCAGTGTCAAACATGTTAATACAGTTGACCCAAACGATACCAGACTATCGCGTAATAAATAAGATTATTATACAGTTACATGAATAAATTTATATCTGCACACTTTACCTGAATCTCGTCTGAAACACTCAAACATGTGTCTAAGTTTTGAGAGAACACAGCAGCTGCCAAACCATACTCAGTATTGTTTGCAAGTTGAATGGCTTCATCTCTGTCCTTGAACTTAGATACGCACACAACGGGACCAAAAATCTCTTCCTTCATAATTTTCATGTCCTCTTTGACGCCTGTAAAGACTGTGGGCTGAATATAATAGCCTTCGTTGCCCCATCTTTCTCCTCCAAGGGCAACGGTGGCCCCTTCTTGCTTGCCAGCTTCGATGTACCCCATCACGCGGTCATACTGAGTTTTCGATACTTGAGGACCATGAATAGTGGAACCTTCTAGTGGGTTGCCAATGGGTGCATACCCAATGTATTCCTTGAAACGCTTGATAAAATCGTCATAGATGCTTTCCTGCACATAGATGCGAGATCCAGATGTACAAACTTGACCTTGATGAAAATAAATTCCACGGTATGCCCACTTGACCGCCTTATCAATGTCTGCATCTTCGAAAATGATATTGGGTGATTTTCCACCAAGCTCAAGTGTTACTTTTTTCATATTGCTTTCCGCAGCTGCTTTCATGACAAGACGCCCAGCTCTCGTACTTCCAGTGAAGGTGATCTTTCTTACAGTCTTGTGGCGGCTCAAGAGCTCTCCAGTAGTTTCTCCGTATCCAGTTATAATGTTGATAACACCAGGAGGGAACCCAGCTTCCTTTGCAAGAGCCGCTATCTTGAGAGCAGAAAGAGGTGTAATCTCCGAGGTTTTTGCTACAATAGTGTTGCCAGTAGCAAGCGCTGGGCCAAGCTTCGTCATGAGTAGTAAACTTGGACTGAAAGACTCAATTAGTCATTAAAATTGTACCATCATGTTTATCATAGTGTACTCACAAGTTCCAAGGAACAATGGCTGCACAAACGCCAATAGGCTCGTGACGAGTCATTGTCAATACTCCCGCTACTTCGATTACCTTTCCTTGTAGCTTGTCTGCCCAACCAGCAAAGTATCTCAAACATTCTGACAGAAATTTTACATCAACGTTACGAGCAAACGTTATTGGTTTTCCACCGTCGACAGTCTCAATCTGAGCAATCTCTTCTTGATCACGCTCAATTAAGTCTGCCAGACGTAGCATTAAATCGCGTCTATCAGAGGGAGTTGTTTTTGACCAGACTTCTTTATAGGCCTGTTTCAAGTCACTCTTGTTATCATACATGTCTACGTTTAGCTATCAATATTCAAAATACATACCTTGTCCGCAGCAGATACTGCTGCATCTACTTCTTCTTTACCAGCTGGAGTGCAAAGTCAGCCCAATTCCTCAATTTTTGTCTGTCTGTTATTGTAGTATTCAAAGATACATACCTGCCTCCACTTTGAGGATCACCTTTTCATTGGTAGGGTTCACAACTTCGATTTGAGAGCTGCCACTGACGAACTCATTGTTGATGAACAGCCCCCTCTGCACTGAAAATGATGTCTTAGTAAATCTGATAGGAAGGTACAAATGCTTTGAAAAACTTTACATTGAAGTTCATATCCTAGATCCGTGGTGTACTTTGTAATTAAATCTGATGCCATGATTTATAATAAGAGGGGGTAATTACCAAATGTGTTGTACTTTTTATATGATTTTCTTGTGAATTGTCAGCAGGGTGTGTTGCAACAAGTTTGTTACACATGATTCCAATAAAACATCATCTCAAAGTTTGACACTGTCCAAATCAGTCAAAATGTTGTTTCATCCCACAGCCACGTTCCGTGGCTATGAGGATAGTTAGGCAGCCAAAAAACCACGCATTTCAATGGCTTCAAGTAGAATAGCATTTATGTACTTCTCCTAGAGTGAAGAAGGCGGTAAAGTAGCTTCATGTTGATTGCACGGGAAGAAGTCGTTGGAGCAAAATATATTTGGTTGGTAGCAGTCATTAGTTGAACTGATGCAATGCTGTGGCTCAGCTTTGGCGTTTCAAATTGACTGTATTGATTCTTGCCATTGACTCAAATATGCGAGCGCTATTACTTAAGGTAAGGCGTCCCATTCGTCAGCAAGCGCCTTAGCACCAACTTAAAAACATCACGATTTGGCCTATTACAAAATAGTCGTACTGCACGTTAAATCACACTTCATTGAAGTAGGCCACTTCTGTAATTTGTAGGGAGCCTCCTCAGCCGTTTTGATGGGCTTAAGCAATTATGGTGCATAGATCATGATTTGTATTTCGATTGCTTCCGTGTGACAGAAATCAGCAGCATATAAAAGCACTATCGTAGATACTTGAAGCACAATGATATGTATTTGCTTACCAATGGCCGTTCAAATAATGCAGTATACTGATGGATCCATTGTGTGAATTATGTAATGTAAGTGAGACATGAGAAGAAATTATTACTGGCTGCCTGAAATATGACTTAAACACTGCCCCACCTATACCCTTGCAGTTAAAGTTGGCATGCATAAATGGGAGCTGCATATCATTACTAAGGATTATGCGCCTCCAGATACAAAATGATTGTGGCAATTTTTTTCTCTTTTAAACCTTATAGGAGGCGGTCCGAGGGGCTATATCTTCGCTGTCAAGTAAAGTCAAGTAGGTAGTAGATGTCTTTGAGGAAGAGAAGCCAGATGAGTACTTGGCTGAGCAAATGATGGCTCTAGTCCTTATGAATGTCTGCAGAAGACTGTTGCGAAGCTCATCTTGCCATAGTGCTATATTTTCAACAGCAATTAATAAGAAATTTGAAATAGTAGTACGGAGGCTACAAAAGCCAGTAAGATTGCGCTGTATATGAGAAGAATAACCGTTGACATCTGTGATAGTATCGATAGCAAGTATTACAAAGACTTTAGCGTCGTAGACTTACGGCCAACACACAAAGACAGTTTATTTTTTGTTCATACGAGTAAAATCGGTAACATAAATCACTGGAAAGAGTTTAATTTTGCTGGGAAGGCTCTACCTACCCATCCCACCTGCAAATGGGCACAGTAGCCTGCAGGAGGTGTAAACGCAGATTCCAGATTGAAACAAACGGAGTAAGAGTGTCTTATAAATGAAAACAAGTACTTATTCAGCAGAAGTAGGAGGACTACAATTTTTCCATCGCACTTGCATTGCTAGGACAGCGAGAAGAATGTGGGTAGAAAGCTACGAATCCCAACTACAAACTGCAAATGTCCGTTGACAGGTTGAGGTCGAAATTATACTTCATATATACTGTATCCAGACATCGTCATTTTCCGAATGGAACTAAATGGAACTGAAGATTGCGAATTTGCGAAATAAGTAGAAGATTGGATTTCATTTGTCCTAGATGCATCTGTTGGAGTGACCACAACGGTCAATGTAGACACGATTGAGCACGGTCCATTAACGAAATTTGGGTAGAATTTAGTATTCTTGATGAAACGCAAACGTTTTGCGCAACACACTATGGAGAAATGAATAATGAGTTCAAAAGAAACGACAACTCTTAATTAAACTTGATAATTTTCTTCTGATGATGATGATACCATAAATCAATTTATGTGGGAGCATCAATACATTTATTATCACAAGCTGACAGCCAAGCAGGTGAGCATGCTTGCCACAGGAAAGTAACAACGAAGCTATTTCAATAACGTTGAATGTTTATATCAATAGTCGCATTCGACAGAAGTAGCAAAACCTAAATCTTTAACACACTTTCGGAATGACCCTTCTTTGCTGACCGGCAAAGTGCAATATAATGTGTTGTTTTTGAAATTCGAGCCTCCAGTGTTCTTCAAGCAACAGTCCGAGACTTTGGAAAAGCTGATCTTGAAGCCTTGTACTTCACAGATTGAGTTACCGTCATATGCAAGAGCCAAGGTGATCAGCGCAGTCAACATCAGGGTAAGCAGAGTCCATTTCATTTTTGTTTCTTGTAAAAGCGACTTGTAAAGCGACTTGAAGTTTCTCCCAATCTGTAAAGCAAACTATCCTCTTTTTTATGTGCTACTTTCTAGGGGGAATTCTCCGCTCAGAAACCGCAGATCAGGCTATTTTAAGCGACAATGCATGGATATGCGACTCATGTTCTTCAATTTTTGCAGACGAGCATATTAGTTGAGCCCTGTCCGCGCTTCGATCCGATAGTTGGACACAACAGTGTGTAGCGCAATGTTGACATCTGGTCGTTCTGGCGTGCAACCGCCCACATATCGTCATAGCACAGTAGTTCACCTTAACGCACTCTTCCAAAATATGTTGAATGGAAATAACCAACGACCTTTAAGCGCTGTGTCGATTGTTCGGGTTGTAAACAGTTCACTATGAGGTGTTATTTTCGAATCAAGCACCGAAGGACAGTGGATACCACTTGTTGTGGCAAAAATAAGCTGATCATATTGTTTCCGAGTATACCAAATACAGCATCGGTCCAATTACCATCGAAATTATCTTACATGTCTCAGAGAAAAAAGCACAAGCAGAACTTGATCAAATTTATTTTAACGCCAATCCATACTGCCCAAATAAAAGAGCAATGCACAACCGGCCGCCTTGTAAATCTTCAATCCTGATACCCTCTTCCTCTCATAAAGGGTAACGCAATTTGGCCGTTAGGTGGTATCTAAGCAGGTGACTTCTGGCAGATCCGCATATGGTTATACGGAAATGTTCTTACATTTGTATATCTTCGCATGTCGGAGAATGATCTGAGGTTCGGCTGGAAATGTTCAGATCAATGTTGGATAGGCTTAGGCGCAAGCGACTTACGCAATTCGAGGTGTGTCCAAGATACTCGAAGAGAGATGATTATACAACTGCTAATATCTTACAATCTGCACATGTTGCGGCAGAAAGGATAAAACTTGTTAGTGATACATCACTAATATGTAACAGTGCACGGTGGAATATATTGAATGAAAGATATCACCGTGGCTGTTTGGAAGTGTCTGCTCGGTCATTCTTATGTGTGGACAAAATGAAATTGAAGACTTTCCCTTGCTTATGATTATTTCGTTGCGGATTGTCTCTAATATGCTGTTGAACATGTGTCTTCTCTACTCCCAATCCAATAGAGTTCTTAGTGGATGCATATTATTCAATTCGTAGAACTTTAAGGAATCTTTTATTGCGAAAG